CTTTAAAAAAAATTATGACGTCATATTTTATGGTATCATAATTTTCCCTTAAGGGGATAAAGTCACCGTATAAATCCCCACACATTTTTTGTTAGGCCCAAGGGAATGTATTTGATTTCATTCTCCACTTCGTTTGTTTAAAGTAATTACTCCCCTTCACATATTTATCTTTTTTTTTTTTTAAATAACATGTATAGAAATATATTCATTAAAGAAAAATGTATTACTCACCTACCCCTGGGTTCATGACCCTTTTCTCCCAAGGCTTTCTAAGTACAGACTAGTTAAATAATATGTGTTGTTTAAAAATGAACATTGTAGCTATTCTCTGTGTGTAACCACTGCTGAGAGAGGAAGCCAAGAACTGTAACTGTACCTTACCAAGTAAATAAAGTAAAGGACCCTTTTCCACGCCTTTAGGCATATAGGGCTAGACCTATATTTTTATAGACCAAGCGGCACAAGATGGTTGATGAAGTCAGCATCACGCCGGCGGCCTCTACTTCCCGGGACTGCATCCGGTACCCACTCAAGGCTGGGTCGACCTGGGAGCCAAGGGTAACTTACCAAGCATGTCATAAAATCCAACTACGGGTAAAGAATTTATCCCTTAAACCAGAGGTTCTCAACCTTCCTCATGTTGTGATGACCCCAAACCATAAAATTATTTTTATTGCTACTCATAATTTCAGTGGGTCCGGGGCCCCATTGTGGGGAAAAACAAGAATAGACCCACTGCCTACCCAAAAGCATGTCGTAAAAGTCAACTAACTGGGAGCTTCCTTTGAAGTAGGAGTGCATCTGCCTGAGAGGCAAGAAACCAACAGTCTGCATTCAAGTGAATCAGATCTGTAAAACTGATGCACACACAACACTCAGGTTCTGAAGCAGGACTGCAGTTCAGAAGTGGACGAACAACCAGAACAAAAATAAGAAGAAGATAATTTCAGTGAATATGTGTTTTCCGATGGTCTTAGGCAACCCCCGTGAAAGGGTTGTTGAACCCACAAAAAGGTCGCGACCCATAGGTTAGGAACCGCTGCCTCAAACTGACACAGCCATCATCTCTAACCAACTACCAACAAGTCTATGGAGATAAGTCTGGGCAAGAAAGTGTTTCTTTACCAAAACCAAAGCTTATGGGACCCTCAAGCTGAAATTAACAACGAATCAAAGTCGCAAACAATAAAAAAAAATGTGTTGGACCAAAACCTCAGTGAGTACATCAGAAATATAATTTAACATTTAAAAATAAAACAGCATAGAAATCAAACTGATTGATAAACATCATAAACAGCATGTTGCACTAGAAATAACAACTACATGAGATTACGAGATTCTTTTCTGTTAAGTCACCACATCACATGAGATTTAGGGAAATGACATAGTATAAGGGGGTTAGGGTTAGTGGTAGTCGCTATTCATTTAATACTAGCCCTAACCCTAACACCCCCCCCCCCCCCCCCCCTCCCACACTATGGGATTTCTCTGAATCTCACGTGATGTGGTGACTTAACAGAATAGAATCGATTACGGCTATACACGATTGCATCTATACAAGATTACGGCTACATGATTATAGAATATCACAAGGTGGCATTATCTGTCAACAGGAAAATACAAAACAACCCATAATTTCAACGGATAATTTCAACATACAAGCAATTTTCACTTCAACTCTCTCAGTCACAGATAGTTATTTTAACTCTATACAAAGCAAAAACATTTTGAATGTACACATGTCAGTTCTTGGCAAAGAATTGCAGCAATGACATGGCATGACAGAACCACAAATGTGGATTCTTGAAAGAGAACTAAACTCCAGTGACTTCAAGAAGTGGGGGAGAGGCTAGACACTCACTTGAGGACCAGAAGGTTGCGGGTTCGGATCCCGAGGGAGCCAGACTTGATTAAAAATGACCCTGGCTCTCAGGTCGACCCAGCCTTCAGTGAGTACTGGGTATAGTCCAGGGAAGTAAAGGCGGACGGCGTGATGTTGACCACATCACCCCCCGAGAGCCGACTAGTCTACAAAATCTAGCTCTAGCCCTATATGCCCAATAAGCCCGAAGGCACGGAAAAGCGACCTCTACTTACTACTTTACTGACTTACTCAAGGGGTGGGGAAATGAGGCAATCTGGTACTTGATAGGACATATTGAGAAAGTTGCCTTTACAGGGCAATGCAGAACCAACCCCCCAGCACTCTTAGGCTGTTTGTGATTTTACTAGGCAATTTTACATTCAGATGTTTGCCACTGCTTTCTGAACTGCGAAAACCTGGCAAATAATATAACCACAGGCATGACTGGTGGGAAATTAAGGTCATCGTAACTAGCATGTCTTAAAAGACAAGCTAACTGGGAGATTTTCCTTTGAAATCGGAGTGACTCTGCCTTAGAGGTGAAGAACCAACAGTCTGCATGTGGATGAGCCAGACTGTAAAACGGAGGTGTAATACAAAAGTCTATCCCTGGAACAAGACCAAAGTCCAGAAGTAGATGACCACCAACCATAACTTTCACCTGAGTTTTTTGCCAGTGAACGCTAAGAGCAAGATGACATGATATCCTCAGTAAGATGATGCAAATTCTACTCTTTACATTTCTTAGAAACTGCATTAGCCAAGTGGTCCTATATCCTCAGGCTCGTTCCCCCCCTCCCCCATCTCTTATCCTCTCCAACATCACCCTAAACAGTGGTAAATACAACAGTAAAAGCAATCTTTTTTAAATCATATAAAACCAGATAGTTTAAAAAAAAAATTATGAACAACAGGAATAAAAGAAAATGAAAACTGCATCTCCCCATGAAGCCCCATGGCAAGACTGGAACAAAAAAGTAAAGTGATAAGCAAACCTCCTTATGCAGGCAGAATAAAGAAAAACACGCAAGTATTTTCATAAGGAAAAGTCACGAAAGAGACAACATGAACCTGCCAATAAATTGTCTTCATGTGAAAATAAAAAAAAACTGAACACTGCAATTCATCCTTCTGCCCTGAGAGGCCGCTAACCCAGCACATCTGTCTATGACACAATCCTGTAAATTTCGTTTAACCGGCACTGCTGCAGTGGCCTATATCCAGGAAGTCTAGTTAAATGGCATTGGTTGTGTTTGCACCTATGCAGTTTAGGAGGTTTGGCTATAATTACATTTATTAAAAATATCACTGGTGTGTGTGTGTGTGTGTGTAGAAAAGGGGTTGGGGGGGGGGGGGGGGGGGTTGTGGCAGAACAAAGGCTATTTTAAAGCCAATATGATATCATAATTTGCACAGTGTTTAAATTCCGATGTGGTCATGGAAAAGGTCTCCTAATACACTGTTTCTTCAGGCCCATTTATTCTGAAAAAAGTTTTAAATGCATCTAAAAAAATTAAAAAGAAAATGTATTAGTGACCGACAGAGAATGTTTTTCTAAATTTTTTTAAGGATTTGTTTTATGGAAATTGCTAGGTTGCAGAAATGACAAGCATGTGCAGCAATGTTCAAACACTAACATTTTAGAAATTCTTAACGGGCAACAAAAACAAAATGTTGGCATGTTAGTTCAAAAGGGTCAAGATAGCACACTACAAACACCACTTCACTCTAACTACCAATCAAGAGCGTTTATAATGCACTCTTTCAATAACTCATATTGCATAGTCATCATGACACTCTTGTTCATCTGCTCACTGACATCCGCCAATCATGTACACTCAGTTTAATTATATGTGATATAAATTAATAAGAGACACAGAAATGCTTGGGTAACTGTACATAGAAAAACACACCCTAGCAACGCATCCAAATCTGGAGGGGGTGTGAAGTTTTAACTTCTCGAGTACCAGTTTCAAAACGACCAAATGTGACATGAATTGATGTTAGGTATCTGCACGTCATTATTACAGGTACTGATGTAGATATACCGACAGGAAGTGCGAGGAAACGAATGAGTGGATTTTCTGGTTAAAAAAGCAACAGACAACACTCATACTAGACAAGGGAGACATTCTAAAGGCCATTTTTGAATTGAATACTGATGGAAAATATGAGGTTAGATGAAACAACATTAAAAGTAAATCGTGTTCACAGGGTCAAAGGGTAAATAATGAAATACCTAAAAAGGACTGGGGGGGGGGGGAAACAACACTGGAAAAACCCGAGACCAATATAACTAGAATGTTCCTGGACTGACAGTAACATCGCCAAAGAAATGAAAGACGATGAAAGGACACATCAAAAGGAAAATCAGAGATAGAGGTGAATAAGAAAGGGGAAAAACACAGAGACAGCTGCAGGTGATAGTACCCCCCTCCCCCCAACATAACTTTCCATACACCTGAATAATAATAATAATAATTTACAGTAGCACAAAGACTCTAATATCTTATACATTAAATTAAGGTAAACATGTGATATCTGATATCAATAAACAGTTGTACCTTTTTGGACATCCTCTATTATCTACTTGTATTTATATTCTATATTCTCTCCCCCTCCAAAATTAACTTTCAACACACCTGAAAAACAATAATTTACAGTAGAATCAAGACTCCTCCCATCAATATATACAGTCTAAAGTAATCTCGCCCCTCCGTTTTATTTTCTTTTCTTCTTTTTCGGCCACTTATCCTCCAATGAAACACAGGCCCTCAACCAACTCAAGCTGAATCATCCTATCCTTTAGTATCTCAGACAGCTCATCCTGTCCTCCTCATCCTTTTAATTCCATCTCTAGCTCCCTCCTGTGTGTTTTTATTTTATTTTTGATCTATCTTTTTTTCTGCGCTCCTATGGGTGCCAGTGTAAAGACATTCTCATAATTTTTCCAAAATTTTATTTCAAGACGTGGCCCATCTAACGCCAGTGACTTTACTTTGTTAAAAAGTTGCAATTTTGGGCACTTTTTAATTCTGTACGTCTCTTCAACCCTTATCTTTCATCTCGCCTCTTTACTCTCCACAGAATCAAAATATTTAACACACCTATTTACACCAAAACCAATGTCTCAGCGCTAACTATTCTCTGCCCAGACATTCAACTCCCCTCGTTCTTTCAGTTTTCTCATGACTCCGATGTACTTGTCATGCAGAGTGGTTGTACAATTGCTCATCCTCACTTGCTTGGGTTTCTCGTCTAGAGTCCCTCCGCTTCCCTCAAACATTTTGGACAAGAAGTCCTGAAGCCTCTCAATCTTTTCCTCTGCAAAAGATTAAACACAGATCACCAATAAGAAACAATCTGGTAAGAAGAAGAATATGTGTAAAATGAAACAAACACTTATAAATGGATCCTGCATAGAAAGAAACCAATGCCAAACTTGAAAAACTACAACTGAATTGAGATTTTTGAGAACAGCATTTGACATATCAAGAATAGAGAGGATAAGGAACAATGAAATCCAAAAGGAGGCGGGGGTAGTAGCAGCACCAGAGTTTGTTAGTAAACAATGAGTTACGAGTCCCCATCTTCGGCAGCAAGCGCAGAGTTTCATTTCTGAAGATACAAGTAACAGCCTGATTGTACGTCTGTCTCACCCCTCCCTGGATCTTTTTGTTTTCTTACTGTAAAAAAACAATAACTGAAATGGTTTTACCATTTCACTCAGCTGGCAACAGACACTATACCACAATAAGTAACGATGTACAAAGAGGAAATATGTGTGAGTGAGTGAGTGAGTAAGTGAGTGTGTGAGAGAGAGAGAGAGAGAGAGAGAGAAAGAGAGGGGGGGGGGGGGGGGGAGAGAGAGAGAGAGGGAGGGGAAAAGAGAGAGATAGAGAGAGAGAGAGAGAGAGTCCGACCATGAAAAAGATTAAAGGATGGAATAACTAGAGTCAATGCAAATTCCAATATACAATATAGGGCATTCTCTAAATCAGTGCATCTCAACCTTCCTAATGTTGTGACCCTTGAATTCAGTTCCTCATGTTGTTGCGACCTCAAACCGTAACATTATGTTTGTTGCTACTTCATAACTTCAGTGAATATGTGTTTTTCAATGATCTTAAGCGATCCCATATGAAAAGGTCGCACGACCCCAAAATGGGTCGCGACCCGTAGTTAGAGAACTGCTGCTCTAAATCAATACTTCTTCTGGACACTGCGAGGTATATGAAGGTCAAGATGAGATGAAATGACTGTCTTGCAATCCCAGCCCTCACCGGGGCTTGCACCTGGGACCTCTGGCACTCGAGGCGGACACCATGCCTCGAGACGACACAGCCCCCGAATCTCAGCCCTTGAGGATGGCGAGTGTAGCCAGCAAAGACCAGCAAAGATTCCCCAATAAGATCATGGAATTTTAGGACCACTGTTGCTATTACAGTGTGTTTAACATGGTTTTCTACTTGTTGTTTTTTGTGCCTGGCAGAAAGTTCTGGTTGCTCCTCCACTTCTGGACTTCAGTCTTGTTCCAGAACCTGAGTTTTGTGTGCAAATTTGTTTTACAGTTCTGGATAATCTGTATGCAGACTGCTGGTTCACCATCTCTCAGGGAGATGCACTCCAACTTCCAAGGAAACATACCTAATTGGTAGACTATTAATACATTTGTTGAGGGCAGGGAGTCTATTCTTTTTTTACCCCGCCACAATGGGATCCTGGAGCCCAACACTGGGATTCTTAGATGCTCAGCTCTTGACCCATCTGCAATCATTTTCCAGTTTACCTCTACTCCCACCCTTATTTTCTGGTTTATCTCTACTCCCACCCTCATTTTCCAGTTTATCTCTACTCCCACCCTCATTTTCTGGTTTATCTTTACTCCCACCCTCATTTTCCAGTTTATCTCTACTCCCACCCTCATTTTCCAGTTTATCTCTACTCCCACCCTCATCTTCTGGTTTATCTTTAGTCCCACCCTCATTTTCCAGTTTATCTCTACTCCCACCCTCATTTTCTGGTTTATCTTTACTCCCACCCTCATTTTTCAGTTTATCTCTACTCCCACCCTCATCTTCTGGTTTATCTTTACTCCCACCCTCTTTTTCCGGTTCATCTCTACTACCCACTCATTTACCGGTTTATCTCTACTCCCACCCTCAATTTCTGGTTTATCTCTACTCCCACCCTCATTTTCCAGTTTATCTCTACTCCCACCATCATTTTCCTTTTTTATCTCTACTCCCACACTCAATTTCTGGTTTATGTCTACTCCCACCCTCATTTTCTGGTTTATCTCTACTCCCACCCTCGTTTTCTGGTTTATCTCTACTCCCACCCTCATTTTTTTGTTTATCTCTACTCCCAACTCCGTTTTCCAGTTTGTCTCTACTCCCAACATTTTCTGGTTTATCTCTATTTCAGTCCACACTTTCTGGTTTATCCCTATTCCCACCCTCATTTTACCGTTTATCTCTATTCCCATCCTCATTTTCTGGTTCTATCTCTATTCCCATCCTCATTTTCTGGTTCTATCTCTATTCCCATCCTCATTTTCTGGTTCTATCTCTATTCCCATCCTCATTTTCTGGTTCTATCTCTATTCCCATCCTCATTTTCTGGTTCTATCTCTACTCCCATCCTCATTTTCTGGTTCTATCCCTACTCCCATCCTCATTTTATGGTTCTATCTCTACTCCCATCCTCATTTTCTGGTTCTATCTCTACTCCCATCATCATTTTCTGGTTCTATCTCTATTCCCATCATCATTTTCTGGTTCTATCTCTACTCCCATCATCATTTTCTGGTTCTATCTCTACTCCCATCCTCATTTTCTGGTTCTATCTCTACTCCCATCCTCATTTTCTGGTTCTATCTCTATTCCCATCATCATTTTCTGGTTCTACTCTACTCCCATCCTCATTTTCTGGTTCTATCTCTATTCCCATCCTCATTTTCTGGTTCTATCTCTACTCCCATCATCATTTTCTGGTTCTATCTCTACTCCCATCCTCATTTTCTGGTTCTACCTCTACTCCCATCCTCATTTTACCGTTTATCTCTACTCCCATCATCATTTTCTGGTTCTACCTCTACTCCCATCCTCATTTTCTGGTTCTATCTCTACTCCGCTTCTCATTTCCCTCCTTCATGCAAAATGTGGCCCCTGGCATTCTGCACCCAGGAATCCACCTGAATGTCTATATTATGTATATCCCGCTTGCATTTCTTTATACCAGCAAAAGACCCACCTTTACATCTTCTACTTATATGTAATTCCCCATGGAGGATGGCACTGGGTGGGGGTGACAAACAAGCCCCCAGCATTTGTTGGCCATTTTTTTTTCCATTAGGCAGTCTGACATTTGGTAGTCTGCCACAGCTCCCTGAATGGCTGATGCTCATTCTATTGTCTACATCAAGGCAAAGCAGTTTGCTGCCAAACTGTCCACAGCTGAAGCAAACCCAATATGTCAGGACTATGAAACTTTTCATAATCTTTAAGCCATAGCTGTCGATGTACTGCAAGAGTTTTAAAATATTTACCATTAAGATCTTTTATTCTCTCTAAAATTGGAGTTTTAAAAAAAAAACACTTACCATTAAGATCTTTTTCCAAAAACTGACACCACCGCCCTCGAATATCCTCCACTGCGGCCACATCCTCTTTCAGTTCAGATGCTGTCAACTGAGACAATGATGGTAGTATCTGGTTTGTCATGGCTGTTAAGGCATCAGTGATGTCTGGGTCACATTCAAAACTTTTCAACGTCAGCTCATTCAACTTCTGCAAATGTGTAAACATACTGTTCATTCTCTCTACCATTCAAATGTGGAATAGGAGACACACTGAGACAACACAATAACAGTATTACTAGAATGTTCTTGCACTGAAATCTATATGGAAAGAGTTAGAGAGGGCGGTCTCATCTCTAAATCCTTTAAAAAATAAAACTGGGTCATGATCCTGTAGGATTTCCTGAAAAAATCTCTAAGAAAGACTATAATGTCAATTACATCGCTAATCAATTTTAAAAAAATATATATATACATAAAAAATTTATAAAGGAAGTAATCAACAAACATGAGTAGAGTGAAGTGTTCTTTTTTTTTTTTTTTTCATCAAACACCGGCTGTGAATTCCAGTGGAAGGTCAGGTAATCGTCCGCTTGGACTTTTGGCTTTCACCTGGACCTGATTTTTGCGTGTACAACCGTTTTTCATTTCCCTGCCTCATGGGCAGCTGTACGCCGACTTCGAAGGAAGACGTCAGGCCTATTTCTAGGGTGACTGTGGCCATTGTTTTGTGTGGGTCGAGACGTTGCCTGATTTGTGTGGTGTCCACATTGTCTCCTTTGCCGCAGGTATTGCCCCCGGAGTACCCCTTTGGGTCAGCCCCCTGTGGAGCAGTTAGCCCTCAAGGGAAGGCAGGGGCAGATCATGGGCATTCCCCGCCATCCAAGGAGGCATCCTTGTATGCAGAGCCGGCACATGGCGCTCTGGTTCTGGGCTCACCCAAGGAATCGTCACGTCATGCACATGCCTGCTTAACCTCACAACCGTATCAGGCCTCCCGCTCGACAGGGGCTGCGCCCTCTGGAAGTCAGCGGGGAGCAGCCCGTGGGTTTTGGACTTTTGTGACCACACAGATAGGTACATTCTTTTTTCTTCGCACGTTAGATTTCTTTGACGAGCCGTTAGCCCGACAGAATTTTACATCCTGCTCCAGGCATATCGTATCAGTTTTGTCCCAACACTGGGGCGAGTGGGGTCTTTGGGTGTGGACATTCGGTCTTTTTCAGTTCAATACAAATTTTGAGGGCAGATTTTGATCCGTATGATCTAGTTTTGTCGGACATTTAGGCTTAGCCATCCGATGGATGGTTGCTGTTATGGTGTACCACAGCGCGGTTACGACGACACTGAGGGTTAACCAAGGATGTACATGAATGGCCAGCCTATGGATGGTTGCTGTTGTGGTGTACCCCAGCGCGGTGACGACGACACTGAGGGTTAACCGAGGATGTACATGAATGGCCAGCCTATGGATGGTTGCTGTTGTGGTGTACCCCAGCGCGGTGACGACGACACTGAGGGTTAACAAAGGATGTGCAGTGAACAATGTTCTCTTTACTCCGCAGTCTTTTTTTACCAAGGGTTGTAATTTTGGCTGTACGTTTGGCAGACCTACTCATGTTCCTAATGAGTTATAATAACATTTTTCACCCAAGCGTTTGGGGGCGGGCTGATGAGAGCCACAAGGACACATCACCTCTGGGGGCCGCCAAACTCCGAGATCCCCTGACAGCTCTGTTAATGCTCATTTGAGACATTATCCGTGGCGCACGACGAGGACATGCTGCCGGGGTCTTGCGTGAGGTTCCGTACAACCAGGATATTAAAGGACTGGCGCCCGAGTGACGTACGGAGTATCTCCTTATACACATCATGTTGGACTTAACTTCCCCTCACGCCTGTGACATAAATCACCGCGCCACCGTGAAGTGTTAAATAGAATATATTCCCTCGGGTCTAAAAACAATATGTATCGGGTGACTCTAGCCACTACCCTGTGACCTCAATCACTGAGGTTAAAGAAAATTACCTATATATGAAAATGTATGTAGGTATGCATGTAAGTGTTTTTATATATCTGAATGTATGTATTTGCCATTACCTGGAGACTCTTCCGCCGGAAGTATGCCAGCATGTGAGGGTTGATGCCGCTGTCGGCCACATTACTTGGGATTACTTCTGGCTCACGATTGTGCAGCCAGGCCTGATTGAAATAGGGCAAAGCTTCCTGGTATCTGTAAGGGAAATGAGGCAATAACTTCTTGGACTACATAAAAGAAAAGGAAAATAAGTTTTGTGTCAATGGTAAAAAGCTGCTGCTTCTCATTCTTTGTTCAACCTTAACCCTGCCGCTCCGGTAATGCTATTTAAAAAAAAAATGGAAATTCCTGGGAGGAAATGCTTTAAAAACCACAATTTTTGACAGGTCACTAATAAATTTTTTAAACGTTTATTCATTTTTATTTGTTAAAATACATAAAGAATGCAAAAAGAGCCAGCCAAAAACGTGAATAGCCAAAAGCATTCAATGGAAAACATTCCCTGGGGCCTTTCAATCTCTCTCTTTCTGGTGACCCATGTCATAACCCCATGACCTATATCCCCGGGGCTGACAGGAAAATCTGACATTAACCTGTCTTTAAAAAAAAGCTATGTGATAAACATTTGCTCAGGCACAAACTCAGCCAAAAAGATTAACTATGCGTCTCGTAAACATGTCACTGCAGACAAGTCAGAAAAGTGACATTTAGGGGGGAACTGGACCCAGTGGGAAGTGTTGGCTTTACAGCTTCTTGAGGCAACAGAGATAAAAGGGTTGCAGCCTTGTGTTGTGGTTTGAATCTACATCTTAAGGTCCAAAACATCCAATTTCAGGACAGAGTAAATATGGAAATATCCAGAGTGCTGATGTATTTTCTCAACCTAACTCATCTGTCTTTGCGTATCATATATCTGCTGAGTGCTGATGTATTTTCTCAACCTAACTCATCTGTCTTTGCGTATAATATATCTGCTGAGTGCTGATGTAGTTTCTCAACTTAACTCACCTGTCTTTGCATATCATATATCTGCTGAGTGCTGATGTATTTTCTCAACTTAACTCATCTGTCTTTGCGTATCATATATCTGCTGAGTGCTGATGTATTTTCTCAACTTAACTCATCTGTCTTTGCGTATCATATATCTGCTGAGTGCTGATGTATTTTCTCAACTTAACTCATCTGTCTTTGCGTATCATATATCTGCTGAGTGCTGATGTATTTTCTCAACTTAACTCACCTGTCTTTGTGTATCATATATCTGCTGAGTGCTGATGTATTTTCACAACTTCACTCATCTGTCTTTGCGTATCATATATCTGCTGAGTGCTGATGTAGTTTCTCAAATTCACTCACCTGTCTTTGTGTATTATATATCTGCTGAGTGCTGATGTATTTTCTCAACTCACCTGTCTTTGCGTATCATATATCTGCTGAGTGCTGATGTAGTTTCTCAACTTCACTCACCTGTCTTTGTGTATTATATATCTGCTGAGTGCTGATGTATTTTCTCAACCTAACTCATCTGTCTGTGCGTATCATATATCTGCTGAGTGCTGATGTATTTTCTCAACTTAACTCATCTGTCTTTGCGTATCATATATCTGCTGAGTGCTGATGTATTTTCTTAACTTAACTCATCTGTCTTTGCGTATCATATATCTGCTGAGTGCTGATGTATTTTCTCAACTTCACTCACCTGTCTTTGTGTATAATATATCTGCTGAGTGCTGATGTATTTTATCAACTTAACTCATCTGTCTTTGCGTATCATATATCTGCTGAGTGCTGATGTATTTTCTCAACTTAACTCACCTGTCTTTGTGTATCATATATCTGCTGAGTGTTGATGTATTTTCTTAACTTAACTCATCTGTCTTTGCGTATCATTTATCTGCTGAGTGCTGATGTATTTTCTCAACTTCACTCACCTGTCTTTGCGTATAATATATCTGCTGAGTGCTGATGTATTTTATCAACTTAACTCATTTGTCTTTGCGTATCATATATCTGCTGAGTGCTGATGTATTTTCTCAACCTAACTCTCCTGTCTTTGTGTATCATATATCTGCTGAGTGCTGCTGTATTTTCTCAACTTAACTCATCTGTCTTTGCGTATCATATATCTGCTGAGTGCTGATGTATTTTCTCAACTTAACTCGTCTTTGCGTATCATATATCTGCTGAGTGCTGATGTATTTTCTCAACTTAACTCACCTGTCTTTGTGTATCATATATCTGCTGAGTGCTGATGTATTTTATCAACTTAACTCATCTGTCTTTGTGTATCATATATCTGCTGAGTGCTGATGTAGTTTCTCAACTTCACTCACCTGTCTTTGTGTATTATATATCTGCTGAGTGCTGATGTATTTTCTCAACTTAACTCACCTGTCTTTGTGTATCATATATCTACTGAGTGCTGATGTATTTTCTTAACTTAACTGATCTGTCTTTGTGTATCATATATCTGCTGAGTGCTGATGTATTTTCTCAACTTCACTCACCTGTCTTTGTGTATAATATATCTGCTGAGTGCTGATGTATTTTATCAACTTAACTCATCTGTCTTTGTGTATCATATATCTGCTGAGTGCTGATGTATTTTCTCAACCTAACTCTCCTGTCTTTGTGTATCATATATCTGCTGAGTGCTGCTGTATTTTCTCAACTTAACTCATCTGTCTTTGCACATCATATATCTGCTGGGTGCTGATGTATTTTCTCAACTTCACTCACCTGTCTTTGTGTATCATATATCTGCTGAGTGCTGATGTATTTTCTCAACTTCACTCACCTGTCTTTATGTATCATATATCTGCTGGGTGCAATGTATTTTCTCAACTTCCCTCACCTGTCTTTGTGTATAATATATCTGCTGAGTGCTGATGTATTTTATCAACTTAACTCATCTGTCTTTATGTATCATATATCTGCTGAGTGCTGATGTATTTTCTCAACTTAACTCATCTGTCTTTGCGTATCATATATCTGCTGAGTGCTGATGTATTTTCTCAACTTAACTCGTCTTTGCGTATCATATATCTGCTGAGTGCTGATGTATTTTCTCAACTTAACTCACCTGTCTTTGTGTATCATATATCTGCTGAGTGCTGCTGTATTTTCTCAACTTCACTCATCTGTCTTTGCGTATTATATATCTGCTGAGTGCTGATGTATTTTCTCAACCTAACTCATCTGTCTGTGCGTATCATATATCTGCTGAGTGCTGATGTATTTTCTCAACTTAACTCATCTGTCTTTGCGTATCATATATCTGCTGAGTGCTGATGTATTTTCTTAACTTAACTCATCTGTCTTTGCGTATCATATATCTGCTGGGTGCAATGTATTTTCTCAACTTCCCTCACCTGTCTTTGTGTATAATATATCTGCTGAGTGCTGATGTATTTTATCAACTTAACTCATCTGTCTTTATGTATCATATATCTGCTGAGTGCTGATGTATTTTCTCAACTTAACTCATCTGTCTTTGCGTATCATATATCTGCTGAGTGCTGATGTATTTTCTCAACTTAACTCGTCTTTGCGTATCATATATCTGCTGAGTGCTAATGTATTTTCTCAACTTAACTCACCTGTCTTTGTGTATCATATATCTGCTGAGTGCTGCTGTATTTTCTCAACTTCACTCATCTGTCTTTGCGTATTATATATCTGCTGAGTGCTGATGTATTTTCTCAACCTAACTCATCTGTCTGTGCGTATCATATATCTGCTGAGTGCTGATGTATTTTCTCAACTTAACTCATCTGTCTTTGCGTATCATATATCTGCTGAGTGCTGATGTATTTTCTTAACTTAACTCATCTGTCTTTGCGTATCATATATCTGCTGAGTGCTGATGTATTTTCTCAACTTCACTCACCTGTCTTTGTGTATAATATATCTGCTGAGTGCTGATGTATTTTATCAACTTAACTCATCTGTCTTTGCGTATCATATATCTGCTGAGTGCTGATGTATTTTCTCAACTTAACTCACCTGTCTTTGTGTATCATATATCTGCTGAGTGTTGAAGTATTTTCTTAACTTAACTCATCTGTCTTTGCGTATCATTTATCTGCTGAGTGCTGATGTATTTTCTCAACTTCACTCACCTGTCTTTGCGTATAATATATCTGCTGAGTGCTGATGTATTTTATCAACTTAACTCATTTGTCTTTGCGTATCATATATCTGCTGAGTGCTGATGTATTTTCTCAACCTAACTCTCCTGTCTTTGTGTATCATATATCTGCTGAGTGCTGCTGTATTTTCTCAACTTAACTCATCTGTCTTTGCACATCATATATCTGCTGGGTGCTGATGTATTTTCTCAACTTCACTCACCTGTCTTTGTGTATCATATATCTGCTGAGTGCTGATGTATTTTCTTAACTTCACTCACCTGTCTTTATGTATCATATATCTGCTGGGTGCAATGTATTTTCTCAACTTCCCTCACCTGTCTTTGTGTATCATATATCTGCTGAGTGTTGATGTATTTTCTCAACTTCACTCACCTGTCTTAAATATCTGCCAATCTCTATCCACCAATGCATACCTTCTATGTGAAATATTCATCAATTTCTACTCTCCAAGTGTCAAAATGTATCCTCTATATGTCAACCCATTATCTACCATAGTCTGTGTGTAAAATAACATATGTCAAACTCTACGGGGAGTCGCAGTGGCTGAGTGGCTAGATGCTCACCACGGATCGGAAGGTCGTGGTTTGTCTGCCTGGTGGAGCAGGGATTTTTTTCTTCTTAAAAAATGACCTTGACTCCAAGGTCGACCCAGCCTTGCGTGTGTACCGGATGCAGCCCCGGGAAGTAGAGGCGGCCGGCGTGATGCTGTCCACATCACCCATCTTGTGCCGATTGGTCTATAAACATAAAGGTCTAGCCCTAATGTTCTATACGCCTAAAGGCGTGGAAAAGGGATCTTTACATATTTTTTTTTACAAACTCCACCATCTGTCAACAGGTATTTGGTAAATACCAACTTCTAGCAACTAAAAGTCTTATCTCTTACTATCTATCTGTCAATGGGTCTCTGTTGCAGGACTACTTACCTCTCAAGACAATAAGCTTCAACTCCATCAGTAAACAGATGAACAGCCTGCCTGAAATGATGATAGCGCTTATGCCAAAACTGAGGAGTCAAAAGATACCCGTATGAGAACATAGCTACAATAGCAATAACAGAATTAACTTTTTCAGTCCCATATAGTTGTTACTTTAACTCTTTTTTTACTCCAAGCAGTTGAGCTTGGGAATATTATATGTCTAATTTTGAAGGGGTTAAAACAAGATATACAGGGTGATTAAAAAGAACTTATTTAAAAATACTGAAAAAAATTAAATTATTTATGGTAATTTTTGTCTCAAATGTTTCACTGACTCAAATGTTTCAACGTCTCAAATGTTTCATTGACTCAAATGTTTCACTGACTCAAATGTTTCACTGACTCAAATGTTTCAGTGACTCAAATGTTTCAACGTCTCAAATGTTTCATTGACTCAAATGTTTCACTGACTAAAATGTTTCACTGTCTCAAATGTTTCACTGACTCAAATGTTTCACTGACTCAAATGTTTCACTGACTCAAATGTTTCAACGTCTCAAATGTTTCACTGACTCAAATGTTTCAACGTCTCAAATGTTTCAATGTCTCAAATGTTTCATTGACTCAAATGTTTCACTGACTCAAATGTTTCACTGACTCAAATGTTTCACAGACTCAAATGTTTCAATGTCTCAAATGTTTCACTGACTCAAATGTTTCAGTTGCAAATGTTTCATGGACTCAAATGTTTCACTGACTCAAATGTTTCACTGACTCAAATGTTTCATGGTCTCAAATGTTTCATTGTCTCAAATGTTTCAATGTCTTAAATGTTTCAATGTCTCAAATGTTTCATTGTCTCAAATGTTTCAATGTCTCAAATGTTTCAGTCTCAAATGTTTCATTGTCTCAAATGTTTCATGGACTCAAATGTTTCACTGACTCAAATGTTTCACTGACTCAAATGTTTCAATGTCTCAAATGTTTCATTGTCTCAAATGTTTCAATGTCTCAAATGTTTTATTGTCTCAAATGTTTCACTGACTCAAATGTTTCACTGTCTCAAATGTTTCACTGATTCAAATGTTTCAATGTCTCAAATGTTTCATTGTCTCAAATGTTTCATTGTCTCAAATGTTTCACTGACTCAAATGTTTCACTGTCTCAAATGTTTCACTGTCTCAAATGTTTCATGGACTCAAATGTTTCACTGACTCAAATGTTTCACTGATTCAAATGTTTCAATGTCTCAAATGTTTCAATGTCTCAAATGTTTCATTGTCTCAAATGTTTCACTGACTCAAATGTTTCATTGTCTCAAATGTTTCAATGTCTCAAATGTTTCACTGACTCAAATGTTTCATTGTCTCAAATGTTTCAATGTCTCAAATGTTTCACTGACTCAAATGTTTCAATGTCTCAAATGTTTCATTGTCTCAAATGTTTCAATGTCTCAAATGTTTTACTGACTCAAATGTTTCACAGACTCAAATGTTTCAATGTCTTAAATGTTTCACTGACTCAATTGTTTCAATGTCTCAAATGTTTCAATGTCTCAAATGTTTCAATGTCTCAAATGTTTCATTACCTCAAATGTTTCATTGTCTCAAATGTTTCAATGTCTCAAATGTTTCACTGACTCAAATGTTTCATTGTCTCAAATGTTTCATTGTCTCAAATGTTTCAATGTCTCAAATGTTTCACTGACTCAAATGTTTCAGACTCAAATGTTTCAATGTCTCAAATGTTTCACTGTCTCAAATGTTTCATTGTCTCAAATGTTTCATTGTCTCAAATATTTCACTGACTCAAATGTTTAACTGTCTCAAATGTTTCAATGTCTCAAATGTTTCATTGTCTCAAATTTTTTATTGTCTCAAATGTTTCAATGTCTCAAATGTTTCAATGTCTCAAATGTTTCACTGACTTAAATGTTTCATTGTATCATATGTTTCAATGTCTCAAATGTCTCACTGACTCAAATGTTTCATTGTCTCAAATGTTTGACTGTCTCAAATGTTTCACTGACTCAAATGTTTCACTGACTCAAATGTTTCACTGTCTCAAATGTTACATTGTCTCAAATGTTTCAGACCGATTATTTTGTTTGAAATGTGGAAGCCTCTACAAACATGGCTGGACGAGATGTTACATCTTCCATTCTACAAGCGTTCTCGGTAAAATCAGTTGACATGATTCCTGGGCAGCTTGGGAAGCTGGCAACGACATGTGGTGCCCATATTGAATTTTAATTAAAACCTTATGTTAAACACTTTCCTTTCGTATTCATTTCTCTAAAAATTATAGTTAATTAATAAAGTACTTGGAAACAGGGTATTACTTCTTAATCACCCTATATATTTTCTTTTAAATATCTAGAAACCATAAGCTGTTAACCCTTTGGATCGGTACTATGGATGTCGCAACTCTTTGGCCTTGATTTCATGATAGATACCACAAATCTGGGAGAATTGTGGCATGAACCCGGACCAGAAGGAGTTCGTCAAATGGTCGCCGCAAAGTCAGCTTTAACCAACTATGCTAGCGAGCCGGGCATCACTCTATATAAATTACAGGTACTGAGCTGGTTTCCTAGGAATGGGTTAAACAAATTGTAATACAAATGAGGGCCAGAACTACTGGTTAAACAAGTTCTAATACAAATGAGTGCCAAAACTAGAAGAGGGACAAGTTCTAATATAAATGAGTGTAACAACCAGAGGTTTTACAAGTTTAAAAATAAATGGGTACCAAAATCTTAGCAGTTAAACAAGTTCTATTACATCAATCAGGCGGAACATGTTGCGACAACATGGACAGATTTATGGCAAGAGACAGAGGAAGACAAAGTTGGAAGTATCTGACTTTTTCACCCTTTATTCCATTCATCCCATTTAAAGATCACCAATTTACTCAGGCGTTTGTTTTTGTTTTTGCATGCAGGCACAAAAGCCTAGCGTTTTCTTTTAAAACTGACCATAACTCTCAGGTGGACCCATCCTAAAATGGGTACCAGGTGATGTCCTGGGAAGTGGAGGTAAAGGCGGCTGATGTGAGGTGGAACCCCATTACTCACCAATTGCCGACTGGTCTATAGAAATTTCAACACAGCAACAAAACAATAGATGACTTAAAAGGCTGCACTCACCTCATAGCATTTGACTCCCTCAGATCCTAATCTACTGTAAAACTGTCTGTACATCTCATGGGCACAGTGTCGCACATCCTTCAAGCTGTCAGAGAGAAAGAGAAAATGTCATGTAAGGAGTAATGTATTAGGTACTGTAATGTGAGGAGTTATGTATTTGAGTAATGTAATGTGAGGATTAATGTATTTGGGTACTGTAATGTGAGGAGTTATGTATTTGGGTAATGTAATGTGAGGATTAATGTATTTGGGTACTGTAATGTGAGGAGTTATGTATTTGAGTAATGTAATGTGAGGATTAATGTATTTGGGTACTGTAATGTGAGGAGTTATGTATTTGGGTAATGTAATGCAAGGGTAATGTATTTAGGTAATGTAATGTGAGCAGTAATGTATTTGGGTAATGTAATGCGAGGAGTAATGTATTTAAGTAATGTAATATGCAACAAAAAGAACATCAAAATAAATCTTTCAGAAAGATATTGATAAGAGAGGTCAAAAGTGCCACACAGGATTCCATACATGCTACTGAAAACTGCAAAAAGCAGAAGGAAATAGAGAAATGGACCGTGAGCCCAACGTGATGTATAAACAGCATAAGAGAATGATTATTGAGAAGTGCGAGGTGAAATCTATAACGTTTAATTACTGTTGGTGATTGCTAAAGATGTGGGAGGGGAATCTATCATATTTAACTATTGTTGGTGGTAGCAGGAGAGGTGGGAGAGGAAATCTACAATGTTTAACTACTGTTGGCGGTGGCAGGAGACGAAAACTACAATGTTTAACTACTGTTGGTGGTGGCAGGAGAAGTGGGAGAGGAAAACTACAATGTTTAACTACTGTTGGCGGTGGCAGGAGAAGAAATCTACAATGTTTCACTACTGTTGGTGGTGGCAGGAGAGGAAATCTACAATGTTTAACTATTGTTGGTGGTGGCAGGAGAGGAAATCTACAATGTTTAACTATTGTTGGTGGTGGCAGGAGAGGAAATCTACAATGTTTAACTACTGTTGGTGGTGGCAGGAGAAGTGGGAGAGGAAATCTACAATGTTTAACTATTGTTGGTGGTGGCAGGAGAGGTGGGAGAGGAAATCTATAATGTTTAACTATTGTTGGTGGTGGTAGGAGAGGTGGGAGAGGAAATCTACAATGTTTAACTACTGTTGGTGGTGGCAGGAGAAGTGGGAGGGGGAAATCTACAATGTTTAACTACTGTTGGTGGTGGCAGGAGAGGAAAACTACAATGTTTAACTACTGTTGGTGGTGGCAGGAGAAGTGGGAGGGGGAAATCTACAATGTTTAACTACTGTTGGTGGTGGCAGGAGAGGAAAACTACAATGTTTAACTACTGTTGGTGGTGGCAGGAGAAGTGGGAGAGGAAATTTACAATGTTTAACTATTGTTGGCGGTGGCAGGAGAGGAAACCTACAATGTTGAACTACTGTTGGTGGTGGCAGGAGAGGAAATCTACAATGTTGAACTACTGTTGGTGGTGGCAGGAGAGGAAATCTACAATGTTTAACTACTGTTGGTGGTGGCAGGAGAGGAAATCTACAATGTTTAACTACTGTTGGTGGTGGCAGGAGAGGAAATCTACAATGTTTAACTATTGTTGGTGGTGGCAGGAGAGGAAATCTACAATGTTTAACTATTGTTGGTGGTGGCAGGAGAGGTGGGAGAGGAAATCTACAATGTTTAACTACTGTTGGTGGTGGCAGGAGAGGAGGGAGAGGAAATATACAATGTTTAACTATTGTTGATGGTGGCAGGAGAGGTGGGAGAGGAAAGCTACAATGTTTAACTACTGTTGGTGGTGGCAGGAGAAGTGGAAGAGGAAATCTACAATGTTTAACTACTGTTGGTGGTGGCAGGAGAGGTGGGAGAGGAAATCTACAATGTTTAACTACTGTTGGTGGTGGCAAGAGAGGTGGGAGAGGAAATCTACAATGTTTAACTACTGTTGGTGGTGGCAGGAGAGGTGGGAGAGGAAATCTACAATGTTTAACTACTGTTGGTGGTGGCAGGAGAGGTGGGAGAGGAAATCTACAATTTTTAACTACTGTTGGTGGTGGCAGGAGAGGTGGGAGAGGAAATCTACAATGTTTAACTACTGTTGGTGGTGGCAGGAGAGGTGGGAGAGGAAATCTACAATGTTTAACTACTGTTGGTGGTGGCAGGAGAGGTGGGAGAGGAAATCTACAATGTTTAACTATGGTTGGTGATGGCAGAAGAAGTGGGAGAGGAAATCTACAATGTTTAACTACTATTGGTGATGGCAGGAGAAGTGGGAGGGGGAAATCCACACACACTTACATGCTCACACAGCCCACCCACAAAAACCCATACTTATGCGCTCACACAGCCCACTCACACAAACCTACACTTACAAGCTCACACAGCCCACTCACACAAACCTATACTTACATGTTTACACAGCCCACCCACAAAAACCCATACTTACACAGCCCACTCACACAAACCTACAATGACATGCTCACACAGCCCACCCCCAAAAATTCATACTCACACGCTCACAGAATCCAAGAGCACACACAGGGAAAACTGCTCAAAGAGGACCACAGTCACTGTGTGGTTGTCTGCGTAGCTACACATCAGGTAGAGGACAATGTGGCCCAAGCGTGGATCTTCAGATGGTAGTTTAGTAAGCAATGTTCGCGAAAGACCTTTCAGTCGTGAAAATTCACTTTCTGTGGCCTAAGGAAAAAAATAAAAAACAAAGCTTAAACTATCATCTGTCAGTGTATATGTTTTTGTATGCTGATGAAAGCTTTCTAGCTGCAACTTCATTTTGTTTTTATCCCGCGGGTTACAGGGTCCCATTCTGAGATGGTGGGGGGAATAGACCCACTGCCTACCTAACAAGCATGTTGTAAAAGCCTACTAATTAGAGTTTTTTTCTCTAAAGTCAGAGCGCATCTGCCTGAGCCGTGAGGAACTAGCAGTCTGCATACAAGTAAGCCAGATCTGTAAAATGGATGTGCATGCAAACTTCAAGTTCTGGAACATTCCAGAAGTGGATGAACAACCAGAACTTTCTGTCAGAGTTTACGGTCGGTAAATGTTAAGCAGAAGAAGAATATTTTGTGTTTACTGACCGTACTTTAATGGAAAGCTGATTTATACCATTAATAAGTAACTCAGAGTTCTCACTTCATGACAAACTGATCACTCCATAATTGCTCCATTCCGGTACCAGAAAAAAACCCACACAGAATGCTCACTGCTGTCCCTTGAGGAAAAAAACTGAAACAGACTGCTGTCTCAGAAAAGCCAATGGAATAGACATACATAAGGCATAAGGCAGCCATCTGAAATACCAACAACAAACAGTGAAAGGACCCTCTTTCCTCGCCTTCAGGCAAATTGGGCACACAGGCTTAGACCCATACTTTGCAGACCAATCAGCACTCTGCGGGTGATGTGGTCAAAATCATGCCGGCCGCCTTTACTTCCCAGGAAGTTCCCTATTACCCATTAAAGGCTGGGTCAAGCTGGGAGCAAAAAAAAGTCCGGTACTGTTAGGACCTGAACCCATGACCTTCCGATCCGCAGAGGAGCATCTAGCCGCCAGCTGCACCATGGCAGCCCACAACACAAATATTCCACCACTAGAAAAGCAGTTCCTCACTGATGAAGGCAGCAGTTAACAAAACATCAGCAGCTGCACATGCAATATCTCATAAGGCATTTTCAGTTCTGTGGCAGCAGGTCACTCATTATTTTCCTTGAGTCTGCAGGTCACAACACAAACCACCTTAACACAGTCAAAAAACATTCCACATGAAATTCGCAGGTAATATTTGCAGCAATGTTTTTCTTCTTTTTATTCTCCCCATCAGTGGTTTTCAAACATGAAGGCAGAAAGTCTCCCTGAAGTCTCATAAGTAACATCTCCCTGAAGTCTCTGAAGTAGCGTCTCCCTTAAGTCTCTGAAGTAATGTCTCCCTGAAGTCTCTGATGTAACATCTCCCTAAAGTCTCTGAAGTAACATCTCCCTGAAGTCTCTGAAGTAACATCTCCCTGAAGTCTCTGAAGTAACGTCTCCCTGAAGTCTCTGAAGTAACGTCTCCCTGAAGTAACGTTTCCCTGAAGTCTCTGAAGTAACCTCTCCCTGAAGTCATTGAAGTAACCTCTCCCTGAAGTAAGGTCTCCCTGAAGTCTCTGATGTAACATATCCCTAAAGTCTCTGAAGTAACGTCTCCCTGAAGTAACGTCTCCCTGAAGTAACATCTCCCTGAAGTAACGTCTCCCTGAAGTAACGTCTCCCTGAAGTCTCTGAAGTAAGGCATGTCTTCCCCTGTTCCATACAGCTTGGTTTCCACTCTTCTCCTGGGTCCACAAGTCGAGGCAGAGGAAACACCAACAACATGGTCTGGGCATCTTCATTAGAATGAACCTCAAGGGCTCGGAAGGCTGAAGAAGAAACAGTACAAACGTGGCCATTACCTTTATAACAATGTCTTGAGGCTTCAAGCCAGAGTTGTGGTTCTGAGTAATGTTGGTAACTGCTGACAGGGTGGCTTGTAGTGACAGCTGGGCATGGCTGCCTGCCAGTCGAGATAGATTGGTGTTCATCGGTCTGATAATAGATGTCTCACCTGTGAGAAACATTTATTTTGTACACCTGAGTTAATAGACACATCTTACTCCCTTACTTAGTCGATCCTCTTCTACCTTGGGGTGTAGAGGTTTGCCAGAAAGATCGCCAGACTTCGCTATCAGCAGTTTTCTTTTCGGTTTTGTTCCATTTCTGTTGGATGTTGCCTTCCCAGCAAACCCCGGGTCACTCTGGTTCCCCAGTTCTTGGCATTCCATGCCTGCCGTGGTGGTTGATTCTCTCCCATTCTGCATTCATGTCCAAACCATTCTAACTGTGACTGATCCACTCGTGCTTGTAAGGCCTGAGTTTCAAGATCATCTTGTAATGTCTTGCTGTGAACTTTCTGCCGTAATAAAACAGATACTGAAATATGAATACAAACAGTGAGAGAAGATTTAATTGCATTAGGGAATTTCTGAAGTCAAAAGAACTTATACCTAGTTTCAAACTTGAAAGTGATAGAATCTTTTCTGACATGTACCGCTGTGAGTGTTAAACCAGCCTCTTCCCCTGTGGGTGTTGAACCAGCCTCTTCCCCTGTGGGTTTTGAACCAGCCTCTTCCCCTGTGGGTTTTGAACCAGCCTCTTCCAATGTGGGTTTTGAACCAGCCTCTTGCCCTGTGGGTTTTGAACCAGCCTCTTCCCCTGTGGGTTTTGAACCAGCCTCTTCCCATGTGGGTTTTGAACCAGCCTCTTCCCCTGTGGGTTTTGAACCAGCCTCTTCCCTGTGGGTTTTTATGTCTCATATATACATATACATCTGTGTGTGCACGTGTGAGCATGCATGTGCATGCGTGCGTGCGTGTGTGTGTGTGTGTGTGTGTGGGGCCTGTTGAATAGATCCACCACCCTAATAAGCATGTCATAAAACTTGCCGAATTAGAAGTGTTTCCTTCAATGTCAGGGTGCAACTGCCTGAGAGGCAAGAAACCAACAGTCTGCATTCAAGTAAATCAGATCTGTAAAATGAATGTGCATCCAAATGTCAAGTTCTGGAATAAGAGTACAGTCTTGAAGTGGATGATCAACCAGAAATTTCTGCCGAAGTTGACAGCTGAGGGCAAAAAATCAAATCCTCACCTGCACAGTCCGTGGCGACAGCACTAGCTGTGGGGTCCTAAATCCTCAGGCTCAAAGACCTCCCTGCCTACACCACAAAAGTGGTCAATACAGGCAGTAATGGTAGTTTTTTTAATGGCAAAACACTAAGAAGAAGAAGAAGAAGAAGAAGAACCAGTCTCACAGTAAACCGGTATTATCGGTTGTTTCTGCAGGGCAAAAGAGGTTGAGGAAGATCTCAATTTACATGATGGGGAGAATACAAAACTATAGATAAGACAGCTTGGCATGGACTGTGGGTCTATGATCCAATAGGGAGAAATAGAACGGCAGATGAAGAAGAAAAAGCTATTCCGTTAACAAATCATCTCACAAACAATGGAATCTGATTCAAGGAAGTGCTTTTCATAAAATGCTTTCCCACCTGGCCGTTGTTCTCCAGTGCATACGACATCAAGGTCATCAGATGCTGACCTTCCTCGCAGCTGACCCGGAACTTGGCCTTCCGACCACTGCCCACCTGCCTGAGGAGACGACGATGACGATGTCATTGTTGAAGCTGCTGCTGTTGAGGTGGCTGATGCCTGATGTACTGGTGGTGATGCTGCAGCTGCAGACTTTCTCCGCTGTTCCTCATCCCAAGAGATAATTTCCTGTCTGAAAATGGTGTTGTCCTTCTCTACGATCTGCTGAAGGTCGGGAGGTAGTGATGTCAATGGCTCTGTGGCATCCCCAGCGCTTCTGTTAGCATTATCTGAGAGGAATCATTGACAATAAACAAATAGATTAGCAATAGTAATTTAAACGATATATTATTCACCTATCTGGGTTATAATTTAGATATATCAGTGATTCCTAAACTGTGCACTGTGTTTTTGATCTTTTACATACGAATAGTCATACTTTTACTTTGGTCAGGGCGCCGCAGAAAATTTTTAATTGAAAAAAGGCCATGTGACCAAGACAGGTTTGGGAAACACTGAGATAAATAAAATGTGTGGCTATCCTCCGAATAACGGGCACAAAAGATGGCGGCTGCAAAAGCATCCTGACAGAGCCTCAGTCACGTGTCAATTGTGCACTTCCGGCGACTTAATTCGCGGTTTTACGACGACTACTGCCATCGCCAAGAGTCCCCCACGCCGCGTGGATTGGGGCAAAAACCAGATGGCTGGGACTCACGCAGCTTCTGCGTCTCCTGCAGCTTTGCTTGTGAGTCCTAGCCGTCTAGTTTAGCCCCAATCCACGCCGCGTGAGCGGCGTAGGGGACTCCTGGCGGTGGCGGTAGTCGCAGGAAAACCACAAATTAAGTCGCCGGAAGTGCGCAATTGACATGTCTTTTTGGCTGCCATTAGCCGCCATCTTTTGTGCCCGTTATTCAGAGGATAGCCACATTTTTGTATGATACAGGTATCAAGGTGGATTCGTGGGAACAAAATGCCATGGACTGTGTTGTGTGGAGGGGCACATCGGGACGGGAATAAGTATGAAGGAAGAAGTGATTGCAGAAAGGATGAGATCTGGGCGTCTGAGAAGAATCACACTAAACACAAACGTTAACAACAATGTGCTCCGAGTCCCATGCCTCCTCATACCGCAATATAACACTGTCACCTGGAAAGGCAAAGAAGAGCCAATCATATAGTTTTTGTCTCTTTCAAACTGGGATTTTAAGCTTGTCAATTACTTGTGGATATTTAATATTGCTTAGATTATGCACCAAATGTGTATCTAGATGGGTTCTCCAGAGGCAACACATGTAAAGGGACAAAGAGGAACATAAAACACATAGGGCTGAGTCATGTCCCAGAAAACCAAGCAGGAAGGCTAAGCCGGTGAACAAACACCTGATTAAGTTGGAAGTGTCAGCCCAAAGGCGCAAATACTGTAGCTTTGCTGTAAACAGGCACAGCACATTACCTCACTCGGGTGAACCAAAAGAAGAAGTACTAAATGCAATGACTGTACAAGAACGTCAGGATGAGGATTATGTGAGGATACTAATCCTTCAATTCCTTACCCTGATGGACCCCAAGCCTGGACCTGTCCACGTACATCAGACAGTAAGCACTGGCGTTGTGGTAGCCTCCAACACTCTCCTTATGCATCTCCTCCAGCGAAGACTCTGAGACAGTGATGTCATTGAACTTCAGCCATTTGCCTCTTCGATCATCGTAGATGAATGCCCAGTAGTGCCCGGACACTGCCTGACCCTCGTGCACCAAAACCGCATGCAGGTCATAGGGAAACTGCAGACAGCAAATGTTAAAGTGAACAAGGACCTTTTTTTTACAACAACACAGGGAAACTGCAGACAGCAAATGTTAAAGTGAACAAGGACCTTTTTTTTACAACAACACAGGGAAACTACAGAAATAGAATGTTAAAGTAAACAAGGACCTTTGTTACACCAACACAAGGAAACTGCAGAAATAGAATGTTAAAGTAAACAAGGACCTTTGTTATACCAACACAAGGAAACTGCAGAAATAGAATGTTAAAGTAAACAAGGACCTTTGTCACACCAACACAAGGAAACTGCAGAAATAGAATGTTAAAGTAAACAAGGACCTTTGTTACACCAAAACAAGGAAACTGCAGAAATAGAATGTTAAAGTAAGCAAAGACCTTTGTTACACCAACTCAAGGAAACTGCAGAAATGGAATGTTAAAGTAAGCAAGGACCTTTGTTACACCAACACAAGGAAACTGCATAAAAAAGAATGTTAAAGTAAGCAAGGACCTTTGTTACACCAACACAAGGAAACTGCAGAAAAAAAGAATGTTACACCAACACAAGGAAACTGCAGAAATAAAGTAAAGTAAGCAAGGACCTTTGTTACACCAACACAAGGAAACTGCAGAAATAGAATGTTAAAGTAAGCAAGGACCTTTGTTACACCAACACAAGGAAACTGCAGAAATAGAATGTTAAAGTAAGCAAGGACCTTTGTTACACCAACACAAGGTAAACTGCATAAAAAAGAATGTTAAAGTAAGCAAGGACCTTTGTTACACCAACACAAGGAAACTGCAGAAATAGAATGTTAAAGTAAGCAAGGACCTTTGTTACACCAACACAAGGAAACTGCAGAAATAGAATGTTAAAGTAAGCAAGGACCTTTGTTACACCAACACAAGGAAACTGCAGAAATAGAATGTTAAAGTAAGCAAGGACCTTTGTTACACCAACTCAGGGAAACTGCAGAAATAGAATGTTAAAGTAAGCAAGGACATTTGTTACACCAACACAAGGTAACTGCAGAAATAGAATGTTAAAGTAAGCAAGGACCTTTGTTACACCAACACAAGGAAACTGCAGAAATAGAATGTTAAAGTAAGCAAGGACCTTTGTTACACCAACTGCAGAAATTAGAATGGAAACTGCAGAAACACAGAATGTAAAGTAAGCAAGGACCTTTGTTACACCAACACAAGGAAACTGCAGAAATAGAATGTTAAAGTAAGCAAGGACCTTTGTTACACCAACACAAGGAAAACTGCAGAAATAGAATGTTAAAGTAAGCAAGGACCTTTGTTACACCAACACAAGGAAACTGCAGAAATAGAATGTTAAAGTAAGCAAGGACCTTTGTTACACCAACACAAGGAAACTGCAGAAATAGAATGTTAAAGTAAGCAAGGACCTTTGTTACACCAACACAAGGAAACTGCAGAAAAGAATGTTAAAGTAAGCAAGGACCTTTGTTACACCAACACAAGGAAACTGCAGAAATAGAATGTTAAAGTAAGCAAGGACCTTTGTTACACCAACACAGGGAAACTGCAGAAATAGAAAGTTAAAGTAAGCAAGGACCTTTGTTACACCAACACAAGGAAACTGCAGAAATAGAAAGTTAAAGTAAGCAAGGACCTTTGTTTCACCAATACAAGGAAACTGCATAAATAGAATGTTAAAGTAAGCAAGGACCTTTGTTACACCAACACAAGGAAACTGCAGAAATAGAATGTTAAAGTAAGCAAGGACCTTTGTTACACCAACATAAGGAAACTGCAGAAATAGAATGTTAAAGTAAACAAGGACCTTTGTTACACCAACACAAGGAAACTGCAGAAATAGAATGTTAAAGTAAGCAAGGACCTTTGTTACACCAACACAAGGAAACTGCAGAAATAGAATGTTAAAGTAAGCAAGGACCTTTGTTACACCAACACAGTGAAACTGCAGAATTAGAATGTTAAAGTAAGCAAGGACCTTTGTTTCACCAACACAAGGAAACTGCAGAAATAGAATGTTAAAGTAAGCAAGGACCTTTGTTACACCAACACAAGGAAACTGCAGAAATAGAATGTTAAAGTAAGCAAGGACCTTTGTTACACCAACACAAGGAAACTGCAGAAATAGAATGTTAAAGTAAGCAAGGACCTTTGTTACACCAACACAAGGAAACTGCAGAAATAGAATGTTAAAGTAAGGAAGGACCTTTGTTACACCAACACAAGGAAACTGCAGAAATAGAATGTTAAAGTAAGCAAGGACCTTTGTTACACCAACACAAGGAAACTGCAGAAATAGAATGTTAAAGTAAGCAAGGACCTTTGTTACACCAACACAAGGAAACTGCAGAAATAGAATGTTAAAGTAAGCAAGGACCTTTGTTACACAAACAAACAAGGAAACTGCAGAAAGGAAACTAGAATGTTAAAGTAAGCAAAGACCTTTGTTACACCAACACAAGGAAACTGCAGAAATAGAATGTTAAAGTAAGCAAGGACATTTGTTACACCAACTCAGGGAAACTGCAGAAATAGAATGTTAAAGTAAACAAGGACCTTTGTTACACCAACACAAGGAAACTGCAGAAATAGAAAGTTAAAGTAAGCAAGGACCTTTGTTACACCAACACAGTGAAACTGCAGAAATAGTTAAAATAAGCAAGGACCTTTGTTTCACCAATACAAGGAAACTGCATAAATAGAATGTTAAAGTAAGCAAGGACCTTTGTTACACCAACACAAGGATACTGCAGAAATACAATGTTAAAGTAAGCAAGGACCTTTGTTACACCAACATAAGGAAACTGCAGAAATAGAATGTTAAAGTAAACAAGGACCTTTGTTACACCAACACAAGGAAACTGCAGAAATAGAATGTTAAAGTAAGCAAGGACCTTTGTTACACCAACACAAGGAAACTGCAGAAATAGAATGTTAAAGTAAGCAAGGACCTTTGTTACACCAACACAAGGAAACTGCAGAAATAGAATGTTAAAGTAAGCAAGGACCTTTGTTACACCAACACAAGGAAACTGCAGAAATAGAATGTTAAAGTAAGCAAGGACCTTTGTTACACCAACACAAGGAAACTGCAGAAATAGAATGTTAAAGTAAGCAAGGACCTTTGTTACACCAACACAAGGAAACTGCAGAAATAGAATGTTAAAGTAAGCAAGGACCTTTGTTACACCAACACAAGGAAACTGCAGAAATAGAATGTTAAAGTAAGCAAGGACCTTTGTTACACCAACACAAGGAAACTGCAGAAATAGAATGTTAAAGTAAGCAAGGACCTTTGTTACACCAACACAAGGAAACTGCAGAAATAGAATGTTAAAGTAAGCAAGGACCTTTGTTACAGCAACACAAGGAAACTGCAGAAATAGAATGTTAAAGTAAGCAAGGACCTTTGTTACACCAACACAAGAAAAACTGCAGAAATAGAATGTTAAAGTAAGCAATGACCTTTGTTACACCAACACAAGGAAACTGCATAAATAGACTGTTAAAGTAAACAAGGACATTTGTTACACCAACATGAAAAACCTGCAGAAATAGAATGTTTAAGTAAGTGAGGACCTTTTACTACACTAACTCAGGGAAACTGCATAAATAGAATGTTAAAGTAAGCAAGAACCTTTAGTACACCAACATGAAAAACCTGCAGAAATAGAATGTTAAAGTAAGCAAGGACCTCTGTTACACCAAATCAGGGAAACTGCAGAAATAGAATGTTAAAGTAAGCAAGGACCTTTGTTACACCAACACAGTGAAACTGCAGAATTAGAATGTTAAAGTAAGCAAGGACCTTTGTTACACCAACACAAGGAAAATGCAGAAATAGAATGTTAAAGTAAGCAAGGACCTTTGTTACACCAACACAAGGAAACTGCAGAAATAGAATGTTTAAGTAAGCAAGGACCTTTGTTACACCAACACAAGGAAACTGCAGAAATAGAATGTTAAAGTAAGCAAGGACCTTTGTTACACAAACACAAGGAAACTGCAGAAATAGAATGTTAAAGTAATCAAGGACCTTTGTTACACCAACACAAGGAAACTGCAGAAATAGAATGTTAAAGTAAGGAAAGAAATTTGTTACACCAACACAAGGAAACTGCAGAAATAGAATGTTAAAGTAAGCAAGGACCTTTGTTTCACCAACAAAAGGAAACTGCAGAAATAGAATGTTAAAGTAAGCAAGGATCTTTGTTACACAAACACAAGGAAACTGCAGAAATAGAATGTTAAAGTAAGCAAGGACCTTTGTTACACCAACACAAGGAAACTGCAGAAATAGAATGTTAAAGTAAGCAAAGACCTTTGTTACACCAACACAAGGAAACTGCAGAAATAGAATGTTAAAGTAAGCAAGGACATTTGTTACACCAACTCAGGGAAACTGCAGAAATAGAATGTTAAAGTAAACAAGGACCTTTGTTACACCAACACAAGGAAACTGCAGAAATAGAAAGTTAAAGTAAGCAAGGACCTTTGTTACACCAACACAGTGAAACTGCAGAAATAGAAAGTTAAAATAAGCAAGGACCTTTGTTTCACCAATACAAGGAAACTGCATAAATAGAATGTTAAAGTAAGCAAGGACCTTTGTTACACCAACACAAGGATACTGCAGAAATACAATGTTAAAGTAAGCAAGGACCTTTGTTACACCAACATAAGGAAACTGCAGAAATAGAATGTTAAAGTAAACAAGGACCTTTGTTACACCAACACAAGGAAACTGCAGAAATAGAATGTTAAAGTAAGCAAGGACCTTTGTTACACCAACACAAGGAAACTGCAGAAATAGAATGTTAAAGTAAGCAAGGACCTTTGTTACACCAACACAAGGAAACTGCAGAAATAGAATGTTAAAGTAAGCAAGGACCTTTGTTACACCAACACAAGGAAACTGCAGAAATAGAATGTTAAAGTAAGCAAGGACCTTTGTTACACCAACACAAGGAAACTGCAGAAATAGAATGTTAAAGTAAGCAAGGACCTTTGTTACACCAACACAAGGAAACTGCAGAAATAGAATGTTAAAGTAAGCAAGGACCTTTGTTACAGCAACACAAGGAAACTGCAGAAATAGAATGTTAAAGTAAGCAAGGACCTTTGTTACACCAACACAAGAAAACTGCAGAAATAGAATGTTAAAGTAAGCAATGACCTTTGTTACACCAACACAAGGAAACTGCAGAAATAGACTGTTAAAGTAAACAAGGACATTTGTTACACCAACATGAAAAACCTGCAGAAATAGAATGTTTAAGTAAGTGAGGACCTTTTACTACACTAACTCAGGGAAACTGCATAAATAGAATGTTAAAGTAAGCAAGAACCTTTAGTACACCAACATGAAAAACCTGCAGAAATAGAATGTTAAAGTAAGCAAGGACCTCTGTTACACCAAATCAGGGAAACTGCAGAAATAGAATGTTAAAGTAAGCAAGGACCTTTGTTACACCAACACAGTGAAACTGCAGAATTAGAATGTTAAAGTAAGCAAGGACCTTTGTTACACCAACACAAGGAAAATGCAGAAATAGAATGTTAAAGTAAGCAAGGACCTTTGTTACACCAACACAAGGAAACTGCAGAAATAATATGTAAAGTAAGCAAGAACCTTTATTACACCAACTCAGGGAAACTGCAGAAATAGAATGTTAAAGTAAGCAAGGATCTTCGTTACACCAACACAGGGAAACTGCAGAAATAGAATGTTAAAGTAAGCAAGGACCTTTGTTACACCAACACAAGGAAACTGCAGAAATAGAAAGTTAAAGTAAGCAAGGACCTTTGTTACACCAACACAAGGAAACTGCAGAAATAGAATGTAAAGTAAGCAAGGACCTTTGTTACACCAACTCAGGGAAACTGCAGAAATAGAATGTTAAAGTAAGCAAAGACCTTTGTTACACCAACACAAGGAAACTGCAGAAATAGAATGTTAAAGTAAGCAAGGACCTTTGTTACACCAACACAAGGAAACTGCAGAAATAATATGTAAAGTAAGCAAGAACCTTTATTACACCAACTCAGGGAAACTGCAGAAATAGAATGTTAAAGTAAGCAAGGACCTTTGTTACACCAACTCAGGGAAACTGCAGAAATAGAATGTTAAAGTAAACAAGGACATTTGTTACACCAACATGAAAAACCTGCAGAAATAGAATGTTTAAGCAAGCGACGACCTTTTACTACACTAACTCAGGGAAACTGCAGAAATAGAATGTTAAAGTAAGCAAGGATTTTTATTACACCAACTCAGGGAAACTGCAGAAATAGAATGCTAAAGTAAACAAGGACATTTGTTACACCAACATGAAAAACCTGCAGAAATAGAATGTTAAAGTAAGGACCCCTTTAAAAAAAAAATTATCTCAATGTGGATTTGAACTCAAGACCTTGGGGCTGGCAGGTAAGATTCTAGTCACTGCTCTGCCATGATCCCAAAATATAAAAGGAAACAGGGTTGTTTGTTTGCTGTTCAGTGAACTCCTGGATATTAAATACTGAGGCTGCTCACAGCCTGGGAATAAAGAGAGAGATACTCAAGAAAATTTTAAGAGACAAACAAAATAATTCGGCCACATTAAAAGACTAAAGTTATTTGCAAAGAAATAAACAGGGGGGGGGGGGGGGGGGGGGGGAGGCAGTAGAAACATTACATATAAAAAAATATTTAAAAAAAAAAACAGAAAATGTATTGATCAACACTCACAGAAAGAAGTTGACAGATCAAATAACAAGCACATGGCTAACCAAGACACCTTTTTTTAGGGGTGCCTAGCTGGTCATGTATCCTAGTACACTTGTTTCCACAGCGAGGCACATTCGTCATTTGGAGGTGACAGATTTGATTCATGGTGCGACAACTACAGCTTTTGATTTCTATTTTGTCTAGAGTGTCCTTCTATTTTCTGCTTCTTTCTGTAAGTGCTGATCAAAACATTGCCTGTTTGTTTATTATAATTAAAGTAAGTTGTGTTTCTTTTACAGGACACTGCAGAACCAACCCCAGCAATTTTTACTGTTTGTGATTTCACTGGACAATTTTAGGATTAGTAGTTTGCCACTGCTTTCTAATGTCAGCTCTTAATACCACTGGTGAAACCAAGGCAAGACAGTTTGCTGCCAAAATTCCCACAGCTGGGATCGAACCCAGCACTGTAGAATTACAAAGCACATTTGTAATGCCAAAGACACAGATGCAGAACTAAAAGACATCGCACTCTCATAAAGACCAAGTTGAGTAAACAGTGATACATCTTCTTCGTGTTCACTGGCTGGAAACTCCGGCAAAAACTTCTGGTTTCTCATCCACGTCGGACCTGTTCCAGAACTTGAGTGTAGCATGCACATTGGTTTTACAGATCTGGCTTATTTGTATAGATAGTGATATAAAAAGAGGCCAAGGCTCAACAAGGCCTTGGAGATTGCAAGTTGTGAAAAAGCAGGATCACGATGGCCAGTCGGCAAGGTACTTGAAGGTAATGATAATGAACAGTTTGTAAAGAATAATAATAGCAGGTACTGTAATTGGAAGAAAAGGAAGGGGTTGGCCAGCAGGATGGCAAACACAGGATATCAAGGACACCTTGGGCATGAAAGTCCAGGAACCAAGTGGATAGTGATATTCAGCAAAGGGCTTACTACATGAGGATGATGATGAAAGTAAAGTAATTCCAACTCGTGACCACTTACCTTTTTCATGTAGTCGTCAGAATACATTCTGTCTAACTTCTCGACCAGGCTAGCAATGTTAATTTGAAGTTCTGAAACAAAGAAACAATTATGACAATCATTAATAAATTAACCCTGTCACCAAAAGAAGGTTCAATCTCGCCACTTCTGACTGTGACATAGTCCCGTAAATGCCTATAAACTGGTCTATCTCCAGAGAACTCTTCTCGTGAAGCGTAATTCAACTCCACCGGTTCAATGCCTGTGCAGTGTTTAACAAGCCCAGAATATATTAACTAAAAACAGCATTAGAAAGGGAGGAGGGGAAACTGGTCTTTACGATTCTAATGTTGTTTTTTTTCCAAAGTGGGTCTGTTCTTTTGTACTCTAAAATGTGACCCTGGAATTTACACAGGGAACTTGATTACTGATTCCAGATGGCACGATGAACAATATGAAGAAGGCTAATTTCTGGTAACTGTTTATTTTTTTTTTTTAAAGTCTTTCCTTTCTAAATTTCCCACATTTAGAGGGTTTAGGAGGAGCAGTTGTAAGCCTGATGATTTGAGGCCACATGGCCACAAACTGTGCAAGCCAGAATGTTTATTTCCACCTGTGACTGACAAAATAAAATCTCCATCCTTTACCGGTGATCAAACCTGGGTCTACCACATGGCAGCCCGGGACTCTGCCCACTTGCCCGACAGCTTCTCCCAATTCCTGGTAAAGTAAGCCCACTTCACAATATTAAAAACTGCAGAACTGGTAAAACAAAAGTTTAATATTTACTGTAATGTTTAACATATAAAGTTATATGCTTGTAATCCAGATTTTTCTGCACAATGTCTGTTCCAGATTTTTTTCTGCAAAACTGTATATTCCAGAAGGGATGCATGGCTGATGGGGACCAGCCACAGGGGACCTTTTTTGTTATTTCAAATTATCCAGTCTGGCAATTCTTTTTCTTCTACTTCTACTGCATATGCCCATAAAAGTATTGTTGTTATGTGGTGTCGTGGTTTACAACTATACTGCGATATGTGCACCTCTCTGTCCAAATCATTAAATTTCAGAAAATCCTAAACTTTTGTCCAGAAAAGCCTCAAAACTGACACTTCCAGTTGGGTCCAATTTCCGGTAAATGTCTTTTTTTCAAAACTTGTCTACATCAATATGTTTATGAGACAAATAATTAATGCTCCTGGCTGTTTTCACGTCTGTGCAAATGTTAAGTAGGTTAGAAAACTGGGAATACAAACAAAGAATAAAGCACAAATCGGTTTTACACTGTGTTAATGAAATTCAGGACAGATACCACCTCCCAGAAAGACATCACAGAATTCAGAATGTTGCAAGAAACCTACCACCACATGCTCGCTTTAAAGCTCCAGAAGTCCGAACTAAATTGGTAGGCGAGGAAACCAAACAGTCCGACCCAATCGCTCTTATGAACTCATCACTAAAGACCGTTGATTCTTACCCCCAAGAATGGATACATGTCTATACTGATGGATCAGCATTTAAAGCTACCATTAAAGCAGGTTACGGAATCTACATAGGTTATCCCGATGGATCTGTTGAAGAGATTTTTGATGCATGCGGGGAATTCTGTTCAAACTATGAAGCTGAAATAATTGCACTGGAAACAGCAGTATACCACCTAAAGACTGTAATGGATGTTTACCCTTCAAAAGTCCAAAATATTGTCATCTTCACAGATTCAATGTCTGCCTTTCAAGCTCTGGAGGGCAGTGAACGCTGCAGAACTGACATAGCCAAGATAATCCTGGATGCTGATCAGCTTATTACCTCATACAATTCCAGGTCACTCCGGCACACCAGGTAATGACAGAGCTGACAGATTGGCAAAGAAAGGAGCAACACAAGAACAACCACCTACAGAGACAACCCTCCAGACAGCAAAAACACTGATAAGAGCTATAAACGAAGAGACTTGGTTGAACAGATGGGCCATGGGAGACACTGGAAGAGAGGTTTATAGACATATGTCTGGCCCTGATCCTAATGACAGCATTAACCATCTAACAAGAAGGGACCAGGCCACCATCTTCAGACTTAGAACGCAACATACTCCACTCAATGGACACCTAATCAGAATACAGCCACAACACTCCCCAGAGTGCCAGCTATGTAACTACCCCTACGAAACTGTTGAACACCATCTCTTTGAGTGCCCAAAACTCAGTGAGACAAGAAGAACGCTACTCCCTCCGAGACCAGACAAGTGGAACACCTTGTACGGAGGAAAAGAACAGCTTGTGAAAACTTGCAAATTCCACTACATGGCATTGGGCCAAAGGGCGAAAGCTCATGTGCCGTTGGATCGATAACAACAACAACAACAACAACAAATGTTAAGTAGGTCATGATACTGACACATTAACTACAAAAAGCTTTTAGTAGGTTTCCTTGAAACCAAATCTATTTTTTAAAAGCCAAGTTGATGCCCAAAAAAATTATGTAAGGCTCAGTGATAGAGGTTATAGGGGTCATGGTATGAATCGCCTGATTTATGTTTGTTAGAGCTCAGGTAATGTATTCTATTGAATGTTTCCCTCCATATTTACTGATTGCTTCCTTCAAATATCTTCATATATTTTGAAGGGGGAAAAAAAACTGTGGAACATCTGGGAGGAAGGTGAGAGAAAGACCAAGAAAGAGATGAATAAATAGTGTAGCTGCAACCTGCAAAAAGATGAACATATCCGTCACTCAAGCCACCCAAAAAAGTGCAAGACAAATGCAGAAAACCATGACACTGGTCTACAACCTGGTATCAGTGAGGCGACAAAAGAAGAACGCCAAAATTCTTCTACTTTTCGTTTGTCAGAGTGACGTAAATGCGGTGTGCCTGTTTACAGAAAAGCTGTGATTGCACCTATCAGGTGACAAATCTGATTTTATTGAGCTCTTGCTGACTGGGTTAACTTCCTAGGGTAAAAATGTAGATAAATAACTTTGTATGAGTTTATTAGTGACCTGTGTCAAACTGTTATTTTTAGAAGGATTTTTCTGAAATTTCAGTGGGTTCATGACTTACTTTTGTAAGTGTTCCTGGGGTGAGGGTGTTAATCAGTTGACTTTTACAAGGTGCTTGTTGACTCTACCAGCCTTTAATTAATTCACAGTTTAGGATTCAGAGAACTTTGACTTAAGACAGCAAAAGTGTGGGTTGAAGAAGTTAAAAATTAACATTGTGGCCAGAAAACGTGTGTTCCAGATCTTTCTGCGCTATTTTGAAATGCAGAATTCTCAAAGACATGACAGCGAATGCATACACATACCTCTGACATCAGCTTCCACCTCTTCCCTCCACCTCTGGAGACAGTCCTGTAGAACCCGGAGCTCCTCTGTGGTGACACTGCGTGGATGAGGCTCTAGTGGCTTGGTCACTTTGTTCAAGTCGTCAGACGAGCTACAGCATGGCTGGGGTAGCGTTGTGAGATACGGGGGAGTTGATAAGAAAGGAGACTGAGCTGAATTTGATACGGTTGTCATCGAAGACGGCATTAAAGTTGTGGTAAACTCCACCTGTACAGAGGAGTCCTTGAACTTCTTTGCTTCTGGAACAGAAGAGGAAACAGAAGGAGAATGCTGGGATAGGTTTTGATTAACGGTGTCTGCGGCGGTTGTGGGCAGAGATGAGACACAAAAGCTGACACTTTCGGTAGCAGCTGAAGAGTTGGTAGGCAAGGTTACTGCTGCAGTAGTCACTGCTGTTGTTGCGGCTGATGAAGGTGACTGAGCTGGAAGCATGTCTTCGGAGTGTTGCACAGACTCAAACTCAGCACTGTGAGTCATTGACACATCCTTGCCAGCTCTGTTGAACAGAAAAAAAGGACATATAATCACAAGATGCCCAGTGAGGCCAAGTATTGAAAAGAAAATTTCACATTATAATGTTCATAATAAAGTTATTTCTTCTTCGTGTTCAGCAGATGTAAACTCTGGCGAAAAGTTCAACAATTCTAAACATTAGTCTTGTTCCAGTTACCTGAGTTCTGGATGCATTGATCTGACTTATTTGTATTCGTACTGTTGGTTCCTCACTTCAGGCAGATGCACTCCGACTTTAAGGAAACACCTCTAATTAATCTAATCTTACCACATGCTTGTTAAGAGGGAGTGGATCTATACTTTTTATTTTATATTCCATAATGAAGCCCCAGAACCAACACAGGGAATAAAATTACACTGAAAACAGTTTATGTTACTAACAGCATAAACATTTTATTAACAGCACAAACATGTTATTACCAGCACGAACATGTTATTACTTGCATGAACATGTTATTAGCAGCATAAACATGTTATTACCAGCATAAACATTACTAGCAAAAACATGTTATTACCAGCATAAACATGTTTTTACTAGCACCAACATGTATTTTTTTTCCTTCCTTAGATCATTATTTAGTTGAATCTTCAACATTTCTTGGAACAGTATGCCAGCCATCCTACGTTCTCCCCTTTTCATTCCTAGATGCTGTCGCGTGCGGATATGCACTAGAGCGCACCAGCACTGCATGAGGAAATAGGACGTCAAAACAATACGTAATGTTGATAAGGGATTGTATTCTAGGAGACTGAAAGTCGAAGTTTGACCAAGGCGGACCTGTGGTCCGGCCTTGAAGTGGATCCTTGAGGATGCTCTACCCCGGAATGTCACGGAAGGCCTTCGTTGTTTAAAGTCTAGAAGAATGGCTGGTTTCTTTCTTAAAGGAGAAAACCTCAAACATCGTCTTCTTTAGCCAGCGTGGAATTTGACAACTCTTCATTCCAAACAAAAATCAAACTTTAGATCAGCAATGCACAATCTTTCAATGCCCCCTCCACCCCCAAAGGCAAACATTTCTGACTCATCTAAAGAACTGCTATCTAAAACAAACCTTAAGCAGGGCAGAGGAGATTCCATCTCAACATCAACAGAAAGCTGGACAGTGGAAGGTGTGCAGGGTGGCTGAGATGAAGGAGAGCTTTCAGCAAACTCTAGGGCATACTGCAAGACATCTGGCAATGGATACCTTTTGTTGCTTGACCCGTAATTCATGAACCTGTCACACAATAATGACACTGTCTCATATCATCAGGAACCTGTCACATAATCATGAACATGAACATAATCAAGAACCTGTCACATAATCATGATTCTGTTACCTAATCATGAACCCTCAACCTAATCATGAAGCTGCACCAAATCATGAACTTACCACCTAATCATTAACATGTAACCTAATGATGAAATGTCACCTAATCATGAATCAGTTACCTAATCATGAATCAGTTACCTCATCATGAAATGTCACCTAATCATAAAGATGCCACCTAATCATGAACTTTCACTTAATCATGAACCTGTCATCTTCTCGTGAAACTGTCACCTAACCATGAATCTGTCTCCTTATCATGAACCTATCACATAATCATGAACCTGTCACCCAATATCCGCCAGTGCGATGCTGACCACATCACCGATCTAGTGTCAAATAGCCTACACAAATATTTGTCTAGCACCAAATGTCTGATGTGCCAATGGTGTAACGAGTCCAATACTAATGTTTACTGGAGTTATTTGGTGCCACATAACCCATCAAGTGCCGAATGGTCTATAAAATATAGGTCTAGCCCTATATACCTGAAGGCGTGAATAAGGTCCTTTTACCTGAGTTATAAGATAGGTTTCAATTAAATGAAGATACATTTGTTGGTGTTCATATTTGTGAATTGTGAATTTTAACTCTGAACTCTTTCATCCTCAAGAAATACACAGTATGTGACCGATCTACTTTACAAATACTACCCATTCAATAAGGTGTTGCTTTTCACATCTGACTAGTGTATATTAAAGAATGTATGTGGCTTAGGAGATGTAATTCTGAGATACCTAAACAGGTTCCAACTGTAGCCGATTTGGCAGCTGAAAGCTTTGAGTTGATGTCTTCTTTTTCTTCTTATCTCGACAGAAAGTTCTGGTGGCTCATCCCCTTCTGGACTTTGGTCTTGTTCCAGAACTTAAGTTTAGCATGCACATTCGTTTTACAGATCTGGCTTATTTGTATGCAGACTGTTGGTTACTCACCACTCAAGCAGATGCCACTCCGACTTTAAAAGAAACTCCCCTAATTACTCAGCATCTAAAACATCCTTGTAGAATCCATGGCTTAGGCGTTGCGAGTCCGACTCGTAATTCCAACATACCGCGATCAAAACCCACTGCTGGCTGCGTGGATTTTTATCATAGTATGGGGCGCTGTTGGTTGACCCAGCCTAAAATGGATACCAGAATGGCTGTCCTGGGGAAGTAAAGACGGCTGGCATAATGCTGACCACATTACCCACCCAGTGCCGATTGCTCTGTAAAAATATGGGTGCTTTTCCCATATGCAGGATGCGCCAAAAGGCGTGAAAAGGGATATTTTTACAACATCATTGTTAATGGGGGCAGCAAGTCCATTCTTTTTTGTCTCAAAATGGGGTCCAGAAACCCATATGTGGAGCGCAGATTTCGACAACTAAGTCGACCATTCAGAAAGCGATGGCAAACTACTGAGAATGAAAACTGCCCAGTAAAATCACAAACAGCCAATAAATGCTGGGTTTGCAATTTTCTCTATTTTAAATTGAAAAAAAAAAAAAAAAAAAAAAACAGAGAAAGAAATAAATGAACTTATATAACAAGGAAAGGAAGAAACATTTAGAAATAAATCCAAACATTTGATGAGAGTGTTTACCAACAGACAAAATAGTAGAATTGTAAGCGATCAGAAACCAGAAAAATAGGGGCAGGAAGGATACTATGAGATGGAACATAAAAGAAGGATAGGAACGGAAAAGAGAACATAAACAAATGAAAAACATGAAACATTAGATGAAATTTGCAGGGCAGGGCTGAGAACACAAAAAATATGAATCAGGTGATTTTCCAAGAGATGTGTGATCTGATCCCTGGAGGAAGATTTTATGGCAGTGACAGAGATGCTAACTTTATCTTAGGATGTTCTGCAAAGGACCTGATTTGATGATGATGGTCACAATTACTAAAATAGATGGAGACAGTTCAAATAGCATGAGTGACGCATTTATTACATTCAAGATACTTTATAAGACAATAATAAATCATACCAAGTCTTCTTTCCAATCATAAATAAAACTTAGTCTCCCTTCACTTCTCACATGTTAATATCAATCTGTCAATCCACACTTAACTTCTTGCATAATCCCTCAAGATGAACACAACAAAACCAACACATTTCATACAAACACACAATTCAAATGAATCAAGGACAGTGCATTTGAACAGAGAGAGACCTGGCTACACTCACTTGTCCAGCCTGGCCTGCAGGCTGCTCAGTTCATCTTTCAGTTTTCTTGCTTCTTCTCGCTTTTGTCGAGTGATGCACTTGTTACATTCAAGATATCTGGCAACACAACCATATCAGTGATACTACCAACAACAACAAAAGTGATGCATTTTTTTAGTAACAAACAGGTTATAAAACAGTGAATTACTTATTTAAATTTATAATACATTATAAAACACTTAATCACCTATCTAAGTAAACTATGTTAAAAAAAAATTTTTTAAATTAAAAAAAACCCCAGTGAATTACCTATGTAAATATTTTCTTCTTCTTTGTTCATCGTCTGTAAGTCTGGTGGAAAGTCCTAGCTGTTCGTCCATTTGGACATTGGTTTCGTGCCAGGATCTGAGTTCTGCATGTACATCCATTTTACTGGCTTATTTGCGTGCAGCTGACTGTTTGACTGTTCCTTGCTGCAGACATAATCCGACTTCAAAGGAAGCTCCCAATTAGTTGACTCTGATGACATTCCTTTTTTGGGGGGAGGGGGGATAGGCAGTGGGTCTATTCTTGTTTTCCCCACAATTAGGCCCCAAAGCCCACACAGGGACTATGTAAATATAGAATATATCATAAAACATAGAATTACATATCTAAAACAACTATAATACAACACTGAATACATTTATCAGAGTACAATGATCAAGAAAGCACTGCTTGATATTACTGCCTATAAATGCCACACAGTTTCCTGTGAAAGGGGCCAGTGGCAAAGAGAGAAGTCTAACCTGCTCAGGAAGCAAAATACAGATTTTGTTAAAGCGAAAAAAAAAGTCTCGTCTGTGGAACTGTTTTCTAGGGATCCCTACTAAAGGTGCCGCCAGTAATGAATGGAAGGCATAATATACAGATGTGAGGCTGAGCAGTCATTTCAGTCATTTCTGCACTTATGGAATCCTCCTTGAATGGCAGGAAGTGGCTATGTTCTGCTCCTGCCTTCCCTTGCAATTCATGACAGAATAGTGAATTACCTATCTAAACATAGAACAATACATCACAAGAACAGTGAATTACCTATCTAAAAATAGAGCAATTCATGACAAAATAGTGAATTACCTATCTAAACATAGAACAATACATCACAAGAACAGTGAATTATCTATCTAAATATAGAGCAATACATGACAGAATAGTGAATTACCTATCTAAACATAGAACAATACATCACAAGAACAGTGAATTATCTATCTAAATATAGAGCAATACATGACAGAATAGTGAATTACCTATCTAAACATAGAACAATACATCATAAGAACAGTGAATTACCTATCTAAATAAAGAGCAATAAATGATATGGCAGTGAATTACTTATCTAAACATAGAACAATACATAGAACAATACATCACAGAGCAGTGAATTACTTATGTAAACATAGAACAATACATCAGTGAAAGCGAATTACCTATCTAAATATATTACAGGAGGAAAGGTCAACTGCTGATGAATCTTTTCTGCTCTGTTCAAATGTTGGTTGAAGCCAAAGCGGGACAGTTCAAAGGTCAGAACCACTGGCAAGTGAGTGAACCAAATCTGTTTTAAACAAAAAATTAACATTTATTAAAAAAAAACATTCAAAGTTGCCATCTAACAGTGCCTATAATATTTTGGTGCACATCTGAAATGCGTTTCCACCAATTCATAATTTGTATATTGCTATATGAACTTATATAGGCTTTGTGGCTTACAGGTCATTGAATCCAGTTTAACAATTTTGCGATCCTTGCGTGCTAGGGGTTCGTTTCCTGCAGTGGACATTAAAAAATTCACTCTCTGGTTATAATCGGACAATGGTATGAGAACAAGATGCATACACATGTCGTAATTGTTACAGACTTTAAAAGCATGCTGAGAAAGGTGAAGACAGGGATGCTTCGAGCAGAGTGGCAACCTTCACTGGAAAGGTCACGGGTAGTGAGAATACGCTGGATCTTTGCTCCAGGCTAACTCGGCATAGAGGGTAATGAACAGGCAGACAGACTGGCCTCATCTGCATCACTGGGTGGTGAATTGATACATGACAAGGCAGATGTGGTCAAGATGTGAACAAGCAACGGAATTAGTAGAGAAACAAGATTATTATGGCCTGGAGAAAATAAGTCACCTGGGTGTAACCAGAGGGTCTGGCCAGCTCATAGCATATGATGAAGACGCTTGGCAGGAGTCTTGCTGCATAAGGATACGTCAAACCAATCAGAGCCTGCTGGCGCCCAAGGTAAGATTTGGGTGTAACCCTTCATACACAGTAAAATAGCCCTCATGCTTGTGGTATACAAAGTGGCAGTGCAGGTCTAATAAAAGTAAACAAACAAAAAACACCTCTTGGCCAGATTTCTGACTGGAGTCTCCACTGATGGTCTCAATTTCTCCCTGAGCTGTTGTGGCCTCAAGACTCTCATGAATGTCTCGGAAACCAACTACATTCAGTGGGTACTGTCCAAACGTGACCTCCTGGCTGAAGACCTTGCCTGAAAGAGACACATAAGCATGTGTTGGCATAAGTGAAGTTAGGACCTGTTCAGGCTCTGAGACACATTTAGTATATAGCTAGTCCCACATTTTTATCAACTAAACAGCACTCAATAGGTGAAAAGGCACTAAACTGGGTGATAGGCACCTTTACTTTCCAGGATATTTCCAGGACCCTAAAGGACACTTTTTTCATGTCAATAAGTTACTGGATATACAGCAGTAGACCTATAATTATAGATCAATAGACACTCAGTGGGTGATGTGTCAACATCATGCTGGTGGTCATTTACTTCTGAGGACTTGGGAGCCAAGGTCAATTTCCTTTAAATCTGACTCAAAGAGGATTTGAACATATGACATTTGGGCTTCAGCCAACATGGGAGTTTGGAAGAGCCGAATGTAAGACAGGCCTACATGCCTAATTTGTGACCCTTTGAAAATACAGTTTGTTCATTCTATACCACAGCAGATTCTAGTACCCATTTATAGGCTCTCTTATAAAACCATACTGGAGGGGAAGTTGAAGGAAAGTGAACAAAAGGCAGAAAAGTGATACAAATGTTACCCTGTGATGTTACCTTATCAAGGTGAAGTAAAACTACATAAGGAGGTGGTGGATGGTGGACTGAGCCTGACAGCAGCTGACAGATAGCGGTTGGTCATTGTCTAATGTTTCTGAATGGCAGAGGGTCACTTCTAAGAAGGAAAGCAATGACAAAGTACCTTCTTCAACATGCGTCACGATTTCACAACTGACTCACACAGAAATAAGTACCTTGACGCTTTCGCAATATGTATGGGGAGAGACTTAAGCCCTGACTTAATCTATGGTTCTGGTGATTGAGTGAAACATGACCACCTCTGCTTATCGGCAGAGCACATGATAGTGATGAATTACTTTTTATGGTTGCAGAAGTAATGTCTGCAAAAGTTTCACCACAAAAAGTAATGCAACAAAAAGCCCACCAAGAAGGACACCCAACCCAATCCTACCTCTAAGCGGTACACACCGATAAACAGAGGCCACAAGGTCTCAGGCTAATGAGACAGTGGCTCACCAGGTGATATGGGATCCATTTGGTTAAATACGCCCTTAAACTGTGACAGGACCAGCAAACCCAGTAAGCCAGAAATGAAATGTTTACAATAAATTCTAAATGTCTGGAACAGAGAAGATCAGAAATGATGATATGAGGAAAGAAGTTGGGACAGAACCAGTATTAAACTACATCAAGAGATAAAAGATCACAAGGTTTGGACATGTCTCAAGACTATCACCAGATAGTGCGTCATAGATAGCCCTGTCACTTGGACATAATGGAAGCAGTCCTAGAGGTTGACCAAGCAAATTATGGATAGATGAAATATCCAAGGCAGTAAATACCAGTATCTGCGTAGCAGACACAAATATGTGCACATGATAACTCCTCAGAAACTGATGCTGAAAGGCAGAACAGGACCAGAAAAGATGTTTTTAAGCTGTATATAAAAAAAAAAACTGTGCTCATAACCCCAAAGAAACAGATGATGAAAACTACATGCTACCAAATTATAACTAATCCTCATGTTGTATTCTTGTTTTGATATTTCTATTTGCTCCCCTTTCTTCATTTACACAGATGCCTAAACAAGTAAAGCATAAAGATAATTATCAAAAGGACCCTCATAAAAATACTTTTTTGTTGTTGTTTAATTTTGAAATCTCTATGTGCTCCCCCTTTTCCATTTACACAGATGCCTAAACAAGTAAAGCATAAAGATAATTATCAAAAGAACCTTCATAAAATACTTTTTTGTTGTTGTTGTAATTCTGAAATCTCTATGTGCTCCCCTTTTTCCATTTACACAGATGCCTAAACAAGTAAAATACACTTAAAACTATAACGGAACTGACCTTCATGAAAGCCCTCTGCTTTGTACTTTCCCTGAAACAGCTGATGGACTGGATTCTCCACATTTGCTTGACCACTGTGGAGGAAAGATGCCAAAACATGGGAATGGCTGATTACAAAAAGTTCACTGACTGCTGACTGAATAAATGTATAGGATGGTAAACAAACCGACGTGTACTGAGTGGCACTCTTATGTGCAAAGGAAAGAAACAGAGAGAGAAAGACACACTAGAGAACATAAAAATCATAAGCTGTAGTTACCATATAGGGAAACGAAGCTGTCACTTCAAAATGCTGATAATGCCTTGCTGCAGGAATACATATACTTTGATGCATGACCAGCTAGACAACTTAAAAGCCTCTAGGGTTCACCCCCATATGTAAAGGAGAAATTCTGCCTGATAAATGACAATGGAATTAAATAAAATGAAAGATGGCAAGAGGTTTGCCTTCTCATGGGCAGGCTGGCTTGTGGCTGAGCACATATATCTCTCCAAAGAGTTGTTAAGTCAATCTCCACAGAGTGGATGGGTCTCTCTGTACAGTTGTTAAATCTGTTTCCACAGAGTTGTTAAATCTCTATCCACAGAGTAGTTTAGTCTCTTTCCAGGGACTTTCGTTGGCACAGGAGCAGAGCAAAGATGGGGTGACCCGTTTGCTATGAAGCTGAAACTAAGACTACCAGACTAGTCTCTTTCCACAGAGCTGTAAAATCTTGAGTTTTCCCTCACAGTAATTAAATCTCCCTCCACAGTTATTAAGTCTCACTCCATAGTTATTAGGTTTCCCCCACAGTTATCAAGTTTCCTCTCACAGTTATTAAGTCTTCCTCCAGTTATTAACTCTCTCCCCCCCCCCCCCCCCCCACAGTTATTAAGTCTCCCCCCCCCCACAGTAATTAAGGCCCCCCCCCCCCCCAACATTATGAAGTTTCCCTCTGCAGAATGGATGGGTCTCTCTGCAGAGTTAAGTCTCCCTCTGCAGAGGGATGGGTCTCTCTGCAGAGTTAAGTCTCCCTCTGCAGAGGGATGGGTCTCTCTGCAGAGTTAAGTCTCCCTCTGCAGAGGGATGGGTCTCTCTGCAGAGTTAAGTCTCCCTCTGCAGAGGGATGGGTCTCTTTCTCCACAGAGATGCTCTCTGCATGGCGGCCAAATCTCTCATTGCAGAATGGCTGGGTCTCTTTTTGCAGAGTAGCTAATCACTGCTGAGAGTACTCCACAAACACCAAAGACAATCAATGGGAATCTCTGACACACAAAAACTTCACTTGTGAAATAAATAACTCAGTCTGAAACCAAATCCATGATATTCAGAGCACAAGGGAAACTGCTTGACTCCATCACCAAATACATGTGTTTCAGTAAACTGCTTGACTACATCACCAAATACATGGGTTTCAGTAAACTGCTTGACTACATCACCAAATACATGGGTTTCAGTAAACTGCTTCCCCCGTTTGGGTTCCGGGGCCCCATTGTGGGGAAAACAAGAATAGACCCACTGCCTCCCCAAAAGCATGTCGTAAGAGTTGACTAATTGGGGAGCTTCCTTTGAAGTCGGAGTGCATCTGCCGGAGAGGCAAGGAACCAACAGTCTGTATTCAAGAGAATGAGATCTGTAAAACTGATGCACACGCAACACTCAGGTTCTGGAGCAGGACTGCAGTTCAGTAATGGACGAGCAACCAGAACTTTCCGCCAGAGTGTACAGCTGGTGAACGTAAAGAAGAAAAAAAGAAGAAGTAAACTGCTTGACTACATCCCCAAATACATGGGTTTCTGCAAATTGCTTAACTACATCACCAAATACATGGGTTTAGTAAACTGAACTGCTTGACTACACACCAAATGTCGGCTCTGTGGCTAAGTCGATGCGAACACTTCATAATGCCGGGATGCCTGGTTTGATCCCAGCTGCGGGCCATGCACCTTGCGTTGGTTTCGACTGTGGTATCAAGAAAGCCGACCGTCCAGAAAGCAATAGCAAATTACTGGACATAAATTTGCCTAGAAAAACCACACAACAGCCAGGGGCTGTTGGGGTGGTTCTGCAACGTCCTGTAAAGGATACGCAACTAACCAACATCATCAAATACATGGGTTTCAGTTGTAAGATAATCAAATTCTCTAGCTAAAAAAAAAAAAAAGTTAAATTGTATCATTTTACCAGTCCAACAATTTACAGATAATGAAACAAGACAAGAATCCTCTAGTCAGTTCTACTGACAGATGGTGAAACAATGGTAGATTACTCTAAGTTCCACTAACTTACTTCACAGAAGTTGGTACACTAAAAGCATCCTCTAGCCAGTCCAATAACTTGTGCTGAAACTCACTCACATCCTGGCGAAGCAGACAAAACATTCCAATATTCAGCAAACTTAGACAGAAAATAACCTCGGCCAAATTGGCAATTAAAGCAACATGCAAAAACAGAACTTTCATGGGAGGGACAGACACAGAAGAAGGGATGTTTTCCACCACGGAAGGAGAAAATCAAACTTTTGTCTGAACTGGATTAATGAGGCATACTTTACATAATTTATGACTGGAATATTTTATTGTCTTTCATCAGGTGCAAACTAGAGATTAAATCCACCCATCATTATCCTTCTGTGCAGTTTATAAATCAAAAAGGCCTTGCAGGCTAGTCATCTGTTCTGTTCTGTCCCTTGCAGGCTAGTCATCTGTTCTGTTCTGTCCCTTGCAGGCTAGTCATCTGTTCTGTTCTGTCCCTTGCAGGCTAGTCATCTGTTCTGTCCCTTGCAGGCTAGTCATCTGTTCTGTTCTGTCCCTTGCAGGCTAGTTATCTGTTCTGTTCTGTCCCTTGCAGGCTAGTCATCTATTCTGTTCTATCCTGCCCAATCTTTTTCACAACATGGATGGAATCCAGTCCAGCATCTTTGACTTCTTTGATCTCTGCAGAATCTACTGCTTGGAGAGGGGTAAGTAAGATGGGCGGCAGACATGGAGTCAGCTGTATGAGATGGCAAAGGAGAGTGTCATGTGCTGAACTCCCTTTGTTGTTCAATTGTACTGGAGGTCAGAGGCATGATCGCCTATGTCAGTGGTAAAGGCGCTAGATGATGATGATGGCAGAGATGAGTGCAAAAAGATTAATGGCTAACAGCGATCTCAACAGGTATTGCAAGACCCGAGCGTAACTAGCTGATGAGCTGAAGGTTAACCCATGTCAGTGCCTCTAAGTCGCTGAGATGGTGCGGATGTATCTGCAGATGTGTGGGATCCTTATTTGTAATTATGGGTACTATTTTATTCTGTTGGAGAGTTTGGACTTTTCATTAGGATTTGGTGTATAATTCGGAATGCTCCAGATGAGTGGATTTAGTGGAGACAAGACGGTGAGAGCTCAACACTTTTTTTGCCACTGTTGAGAGGAAATCGTTATACTGCGAGGATGTGATCGTTCCTCGTTGGGTTTTGACTCACGACTGGTGTAGGGAAGACTTGGTGTGCCCAGGGCAAAGTCTCTAGTCAGTTCATGGTGTAAGATTCCTTGTTAGGTCTGACTTGCGACTGGTGTAGGGGAGACTTGTTGTGCCCGGGGCAAAGTCTCTAGTCAGTTCATGGTGTAAGATTCCTTGTTAGGTCTGACTCGCGCCTGGTGTAGGGGAGACTTGGTGTGCCCGGGGCAAAGTCTCTAGTCAGTTCATGGTGTAAGATTCCTTGTTAGGTCTGACTCGCGCCTGGTGTAGGGGAGACTTGGTGTGCCCTAGGCAAAGTCTCTAGTCAGTTCATGGTGTAAGATTCCTTGTTAGGTCTGACTCGCGCCTGGTGTAGGGGAGACTTGGTGTGCCCTAGGCAAAGTCTCTAGTCAGTTCATGGTGTAAGATTCCTTGTTAGGTCTGACTCGCCACTGGTGTAGGGGAGACTTGGTGTGCCCGGGGCAAAGTCTCTAGTCAGTTCATGATGAAAGATTCCTTGTTAGGTCTGACTCGCGACTGGTGTAGGGGAGACTTGGTGTGCCCAGGGCAAAGTCTCTAGTCAGTTCATGGTGTAAGATTCCTTGTTAGGTCTGACTCGCGCCTGGTGTAGGGGAGACTTGGTGTGCCCGGGGCAAAGTCTCTAGTCAGTTCATGATGTAAGATTCCTTGTTAGGTCTGACTCGCGACTGGTGTAGGGGAGACTTGGTGTGCCCAGGGCAAAGTCTCTAGTCAGTTCATGGTGTAAGATTCCTTGTTAGGTCTGACTGTGTGAGGGAAGTCAGTTATTATGTAAGTGGTTAGCTCTTGTACGTTGCTGGTGACCTAAAGTGTGGGCACTTAGCCTGGTTGTTTATTAAAGGCTACTAGTGACCCTAGAAGTGGGCCCGTAGGTCGAAAGTGTTTATGTTGTGGACTCAAGTCAAGGCTAGGTGTCGCCCTTTGAGGTGATGTCGCCTTGGAAGCATACCAACGGTTATCTGGGAGTTTTAGACGGTCATTAGTTCTATAATCATCAATTCACCTTTATCGTCATTATGTGTTTGTCAATAAAGAGGCTAATGCACTATTACAAAGATAACTTTCAACGTACTGTTTTCGTGTTGGGGGGAAGGATGTGACTATGAATGACTGCATTATCTAAGCACTCTCCGGTAGCGAACCCAAAATCAAGAGGAAAAAAGACACAAGAAGAAAGAAAGTACTTAGTACTGAAAAAGTTAATTTGAAAACAGCACTACCTGTTGTCCGTCCAACACTGCCGTGGAGGAAGCCTCTTTGAGAATGTCCACTGATTTGCTGGGATCCACATATTTTCTTTCAGAGCCAACCATAAGACCAAACAACTGACGAAGTTCAGATACGAAACGTAGGTTGCGACTCATCTGAAATGAATTAGTAAAAGTAATTATTAACACATTGGAAAAATGTAAATTAGGGTATCAAATTAATAAATGTTATTGCAATGTCGTTCTCAGCATAGCCCCTCCTCACAAGGTTCCTCTTGCCACGGCCATGCTCTCAAACAGCCATCCATCCGTCTGAACCATCCTCTAACCACAACGATCCTCTCACCACAGCCACCCTCTCACCACAGCCATCCGCTCACCATAGCCATCTGCTCACCACAACGATCCTCTCCCCACAGCGATCCTCTCACCACAGCCATCCTCTCACCACAGCGATCCTCTCACCACAGTGATCCTCTCACCACAGTGATCCTCTCACCACAGCCATCCTCTCACCACAGTGATCCTCTCACCACAGCCATCCTTTCATCAGAGCCATCCTCAACATAATGAACAAAGTGCAGCATGGAAATGTCTGTTACGACAGAAGAGAAGTGCAACCTAGAAATGTCTGTCACAATGAGAGACGTGCAACTAGGAAACATCTTATTACAATAAGAGAAAGGTACAACCTATAAATGTCTGTTGCAATGAGATAAGCAGAGTGCAACTTGAAAAGATATGTTACAATGAGAGAAGGCAACAACCTAGGAATATGTGACAAAGATAGCAGAGAGTAACGTAGGAATGTCTGCTGAACAATTAGAGACATGTATATCCGTGAAATGTCTATTATAACAAGAGAGGGATGGAACATGGAAATGTGTGTCAAATAAGTAGAGAAGAATGCAGTCTGGAAATGTCTGTCAAAACAAGAACTGAGAAACGCACCCTGGAAAAATCTGTAACAATCTGATAAAATTAGGTTAGTTGCGTATCCATTACAGGACCTTGCAGAAACAGCCCCAACAGCCCCTGGCTGTTGTGTTGTTTTTCTAGGCAAATTTAAGTCCAGTTGTTTGCCATTGCTTTCTGGACGGTCGGCTTTCTTGATACCACTGTCGAAACCAACGCAAGGCGCATGGTCCGCAGCTGGGATAGAACCCGGCATCCAGGCATTAAGAAGCGTTCGCATCGACTTAGCCACAGTGCCAATTGATAAATTACAACCTGGAAATATCTATTACAATATGGACATATCATTTAGAAGAAAAACAAAGAAATCAATACAAACCTCAGTGTCCTGAAGCGCCTTACTCTTGTAATTCAGCACAATATCCCTGAACTTGTGTATGTGAAAGAGAGACTGCAATCAAGCAAAACACAGAAACATTGAACAGTGTCTGTAATTACAGCTCACTTAATCAAGTAATCAGGTAACTGCAGTTCCCGCTTAACAAAAGTGGGTCATCCCATGGTTGCTCCTTTCATGTGCCAAAGAAACCACACAGAATATCCATTGGTATCCCTTCATTTAAAAAAAAAAAAACTGACACAGAATGCAGTCTCAGGAAAGCCAATAGCATTCACAAGCATTAAATGTATATGGCAGCTGTCAAAAGTGCCAACGCAAACAGTCTTGCATCAGAACTGCAGTTCACTGTCTGTATAAGAAGCAGAACAAATCAATATTTGTATATGCAATTAACTGCATAAGGTAATACCTGCTCTGAGGCAGCAGGCCACTTGCCATTATCTGAATCTGTAGTTCACAACAAAAACTTAATTTGGGCACAGTCAAAATGCATTTTAAATAAAATTTGCTGCTCAGTTTTGCGACATGACAATTCAAAAGCTGGGCAATAGAACAATATACTTTCAGTCAACAAATGGGGGGAATGGAATGTCTAACCGTAGTTAGAAGCAAATAACTTGCTATGACTAAAAATAGAAAGCCCGCCTATCTGTTATATTGGACTAACATATAATCAAGTCACTAGTGATTAGCTATGTCATACAATCATCTACATCAATCAATCGATTGCCATCTCCCCAGTGAAGACTGGCTCCAACAGATCTCCAACACACTGTCTCAAGTCATGGTTATACACTCTGAGACTGCTGTTTATCTTTCTCATCCCCCTCTCTTCTCTCTCTCTCTCTCTCTGTGTGCGTATGTGTATGTGAGTATGCAGGTGTGCTTGAGTGCCCCAAATTAAAACTGACCGCCATACAGAAGAACAGGTTCCAAATAATCCCTTTAATACTGTGTTTACTGACATTCAGTGAAAGTGACTTTGGTGAAAGTGACTTACAGCATTACACAGAATATTCTTTGTGCTCTGATATGCAACTTTGTGACACAAACAAAAGTTCTTCTTTTCTTCTTCTTTTTCTCGTTCACCAGCTATACACTCTGGCAGAAAGTTCTGGTTGTTCTTCCACTTCTGAATTGCAGTCCTGCTCCAGAAAAGGAGTTTTGCATGTGCATCAGTTTTACAGATCTGATTCACTTGAATGCAGACTGTTGGTTCCTTGCCTCTAAGGCAGATGCACTCCGACTTCAAAGGAAGCTCCCCAGTTAGTCGACTCTTTGGGTAGACAGTGGGTCTATTCTTGTTTTCCCCACAATGGGGCCCCAGAACCCACACGGGAAACAAACAAAAGTAACAAGTGATGTAAGTAAAGGACCCTTTTAACACCAGTGGCGAATCAAGCCTATGATGTTAGACATATTTGTAAAGATCTTCATGCCGGTTTGAACCTAAGATCTTCAGGCTGGTAAAATTACCAATTCTAACTGTTAAAATACACACCTGAATGACAGCACTAAACCAGCAGGTGTTGCCAACATTTTTCAGACCCACGGGCCAGCCATCTTGTCTCCTTCGTTCATGTGGATTGAGAGGATCAATGAACCATAATTCACCCCGCTTTCTCTTTGTGCTTCCTTTACTTTCTGCCAGACTTGCTTCCAAAACTCTGAAATACAAACCAGTGGACCAATTATCTATGTAGGAGACTATAACATCTATTACCCAGAAGAATCAGGACAATAAGTTAACTGCAGTTCCAGTTTCATGGCAAACAGGTTTCCCCCATAACTGCTTTGTTTCAATGCCAGCAAAAACCACACAGAACACCCAACGCTGTCCTTATGAAACAACAAATACACACTAGTCTCAGCCACACCCACTATCATGCACACACATTACCATTACATTCCTCTTTACCAAGGATTTCAAGCCAGGTTTCTTGCATGAACCCAGCATTTTGATCACTCGACCAGCTGATCCTCCTAATCTACATTAGAAGACTGTCAATAAGTGTTAATCTACATTGTTAATCTACATCAGAAGACTGACAATAAGGGTTAATTTACATTAGAAAACTGACAATGAGTGTTAATCTACATTAGAAGACTGACAATGAGTGTTAATCTACATTAGAAGACTGACAATAAGTGTTAATCTACATCAGAAGACTGACAATAAGTGTTAATCTACATTAGAAGACTTACAACAAGTGTTAATCTACATTAGAAGACTGACAATAATTTTTAATCTACATTAGAAGACTGTATGTAAGTGTTAATCTACATTAGAAGACTGACAATACCCTCTGATCTGCATTAGAGGGGTCTGACAATAACTACTGACCAAAAACACAGAATGTGACACAACTCTAAATCTACATTAGTAGCAGGTCACAAACAATACCTGCTAATGTCTTGCTCCTCTCTGGTGATCTGTCCACCAAGGATTCCTTGTGTATCCCGAGTCAGATCAATGTATTCTGAAAGAAGTCAAAACATGTTACTGCTTAACTTCTTTAGTACTATTCTGTACCATGCCTGTACACCTATGGTCATGTGCTTAAATCTCTACTCAGGCATAGCCTTACTGAAGAACACACCAACGAACGAACGAACTTTATTTTGAAATGGTTAACAAATGGCCACGCAGACATGTCTAACATTCTGCCCTTCGAGGTCTCCCTTTGTTCTTACATCATTTAATTCATAAATAAAGTAAAAGTAAACATTATCAATAGCATCAAAAATTTTCAATATAAGCACTGGAATGTGCACATTTCTAACTACCGTAAACTTTAAATAATTATAGGGAAAATATGCGCCATTTCTAAAATATTTTTTATCTTCTATGGGGACATGTAATCGTGTTCATAAAATATTCAGTTTCCGATTGTATATATAGGGATTAATGGTATTTTTTATTTGCTGTGGAAGATAGTTCCTCAATTGAGCTGCGGAGTATGTCAAACTTGTTTAGTATAGGTCTATCCTAGGTTAAGGGATGCGTAACATGTTTAAGCATTTACTGTGCCTTCCATTATATTTAAACAACAGCCACAAGTAGCCTGAAGCCTTTTGGGATAATATTTGTGAATAAATTACACCTTATGGAAAAGTAGACGTTCACGTTGTGGTAGTAGCATGAGACCTTTATATATTTCGGAACTCACTGTCTCATGATTTTTCTTTATTAAGTGAATGCCGCTTTTACAGTGACGTGAGCCGCTTGATAACAGAACTGTACAGCCATCCCATATTGTAGAGCAATAGTGTATATTTGTCTGGATGTGAGAAACATAAAATATCTTTCTTGTGTTTTCCTCCAGAAAGTTTTTAATTTTTGCAAGTTGGTAAACTTTTTTAGCTGTTTGTTTCACAAGTGCTTGTACATGAGAGTTGAAGGTTAGATTTGCACCAATGACCAACCCAAGCACTTTGTCTTTAGTTACACTTTCTACTTGAGTAGGATTCGAACCTAGGTCACCTGCAGCATTATTAACCATTTGACCAGCTGCTCCCAGCTTCAAATTGGCACTAGGAAATGTTCTGGGAAGTAAAGATAGCCAGAATACTGACCATATCACCCGTCAAGTGCCAAACTGTTCATGGGTTCAGCATCTTATACCCAACAATTCTAGGTGTTGAAAAGGTTACTTTAACTCTTTCTGTACCAAGAACTAAGCATGCTTTAAGTGGTGACTCCTCCTCACATAACAGGGTTATAATTTTCTCCTTAACCATTTTGCCCGGCGGAGCCGGACTTTTCTTCATAAATGACCTAGGCTCCAAGGTCGACCCAGCCTTGAGTGGGTACCGGGTGTAGTCCCGGGAAGTAGAGGCGGCCGGCCTGATGCTGACCATATTACCCATCTTGTGCCGTCAGTCTACAAAATATAGGTCTAGCCCTATATGCCTAAAGGCGTGGAAAAGGGTCCTTTACTTTTTTTTTATGTACCTGTGATAAATACCCCCCCCCCCCCCCCACTACCAACAAAAATCTCTGAAAAATAAATTTTTCCTTAATAGTTTACACGGGTCGTTAATTAATTTTAAAAGGAATTATCTATCTACATTTTAAAGTTCTTTCTCTCGAAATTCATAAAGAATGCAAAAAGAAGTCATCCAAAGAATGAAACTAAATGAAGTATTAAACAGAATACATACCCCAGGGCCTAAAAAAACCATATGTATCGGGTGACTCATATTGTGACCCCAACCTATATCACTGATGCTTAGCGGAAATCTGATGTCAACTAAGCTTTGAAAAGACAATGAGGCCATAAGCCCCCCCCCCCCCCCCCCCCCCCCCGGCCACTCCATCACCACAACCAAATGCTATTTTATTTAACATATTCGTAACTGCAGGCGCACACAGAATCAATGGAATTTAACTATGATATTCAAGAAAAGGTCACTACAGACAGGCCACTATGTCGGCACTTATGATTCAGCCGATTTAGTGAATAGCTTCTTCTTTGAGTTCACTGGCAGTAAACTCCTGCAGAAAGCTCTGGCTGTTCATCCACCTATGGACCACAGTCTTGTTCCAGAACCTGTGTTGCATGCATATCCGTTTTACAGATTGGACTTATTTGTGAGCAGAATTTTGATTCCTTGCCTCTCAGGCAGATGAACTCTTACTTCGAAAAAATACTGTCACATAACGGCATCAACACCCCTACCACATTAGACTTGCCCACAGTCTGGACACCCCCATATTTGTTGATGTAACTATATCGGATGGTCCGTCCGTAGATATATAGTTCATTTGTTGTTGGGGAGTCCAGCTGTGGGAAACCTATATAAATCGCTCCTGGATTGATTCTTCTGGGCATATAGTGTCTATAGGTATGATAAGACACATTTTCTACGCCTGTTCAAGCTTAATAGTGTGACCGCTTCACAGTGTGCTGGAGCCATATTCTCGCCCCAACTGTCGTAGATAGGGACTATAATTTTATATGTCACTTTTTCTTGGTCCGTTCAAGTGTGTAGACGTGTTTCAGTTCTGTGGCCACTTGACCGTTAATAAAGCATCTTTGCTCTCTTCATTCGTTTACATGGGTGAGTTTTCCTAAAAGAATTTAAATGAATATATTTGTGCTCAGTGCCTGTGTGTGTTTGCAAGAAAAGGTAAGCAGAATGTTAATGCGAATCTGTTTGTCTACGATCGCCTGCGACGAAAGACGATAGATAGCGATCCTGGTTGGAATGCACGTTCGGCTGTAATTTCTCCGTGAATTCTTCTAGCCGGCTTTCTAAACCTATTCGGATCAATCAATCCACCTGTCTGGAGTGTAATTATTGTATTGTTAAACTTGTATGATCAGTTATTATCTTTTAATTGGTCTCTGAACTTGTTGAGTTGGTAGACAGTTGGGAATGGACAGAGATCTTCGAGTAAAACATGACGTCATATCCGCTGTTGCTAGGAGCTGCTGTAACCACAACAAGCTTAGGCTTTGGAAATACTTTTGGAGTATATTCTGCTATCTTAGTTTTGTATTAATCTCCTCTACCTTATCTTTCCAACGAGTGAAAAGGGCATATATGGAGGGATGGGGAATGATAGAGATATGTCGATACAAAACAGGATTAGGAAACAATTGGAGTTAATAGAAACGTTGGTCTGGCTCTGGTGCTCACTCTGGAAAACTGTAGAGGCTCCAAGATATATAAAGTCAACCTTCATGGTTTGGACTAGCCCACATTTACCTCTGAGCTGGTGGAGAGCGTGAGGAGAGTGATTAACAGGGTACATTAGGTGAGGTTTGCTCATGTGTGTTGCCTTGTTAATTACAGGAAATTGGAAGATCCTGCATGCATCCGTGTGGTAGTCAGGTTCTCCCGCCAACCAGCACCTGGGAAGAAACCGACTTGTGTTGACCAGCCATTGCCTGATACATCTGTTTTTGAAGTTCACGCCCACCAGTCTCTGGGAAGTTGATTGTTATTCGATCAATCCCAGGGGTCATCTTAATCGTTCAGAGACGTTCTGGGTAACGAGACGTGGCAGAATACCACCTTCCGGCACCATGAGGAGCTGCAGGATCCGACCAGATAGGTCCAAGATAACATCACTTTAGCGGCCCGAGTCCAGATGTGCCTTCGTAGTCTGTCTCAACTCTCCACGCGATGATGATTATGGAAATGGATGTGGCGATGTAGGAAGACTCTTTCTCTAGTCTCAATTCTTCAAAGACTTGAACAATCGTTTTGGTTGTTTGTGCTACATTTCTTCTGCCTTGTTATAGTGCATTTATTACATTGGAGTTTTAGTTCATCAGACTTCTTGTTCTTAGAAAAGTTTGGTTTTAATGGAATCAATTGTCGTAGTCCGAAATGTGTTCACGTCTTGTCTGACTCACTGTTGTTTACATATCTGACTGTGTTATGTTGTTTACCAGTCTGGGGGCAAAGTTAGTAATGGGGGAGTCTAGCCGAGTAGTACCCAAGAGTTTGTAGTAACCCTGAGGAGTCAAAGCTCGAGTCACCCCATTCCTGAGATAGGCTGAATGGAAGTTTGAACCGAGGGCTAGGCCTCTAGACAAACGAGAGCCACCGTTCAGAACACCCCTATCTCAGAGCGCCTGAGGATTTTGGGAAAATAATCCGGAAGAAAAGGTGCGTGACGAAACTGCCATACGACAAATACCCCATGCTGTTTGGGAAGAAGTGGGTCTATTCTTATTTTCTCCATAACTGGGCCCCAGAACCCACAAAGGAAGTGAGTCACTTGATACTAAAAAAATTATGTGCTGATTTTCCCTGTGACACCTGCTAATTGAAAACTAATGAGAGTAAGGGAGTTTTAATCTAAGTTGAGTTCAGTAAAGAGTTGACAACATTTCACTCCGGACATTCCCATATCTGCTCTATTCCCATCTTCAGCAGCCAGCAAAAGAGTTTCAATTCCAATGGTGCCAAATTTAGGACATCTGCATATTCACACGGCACTTACCTTCAGCACTGGAGGCCTGAACTCCAGAAACAGCCAATGGTGGTGCCAAATTTAAGACATCTGCATATTCACACAGCACTTACCTTCAGCACTGGAGGCCTGAACTCCAGAAACAGCCGATGGTGACTGTTTGGGCCCACCTGAGTAGGGAGACGGCACGTTAGATGACCCTGGTCGAGCATCTGTGGTGTCCAAGGCTTTCGTGTTTGTCTGCTGTGCTTTCTGTTTGAAATAACAGCAGCAATAACTGGTACTGTTGAAGGTTATGAGACTGACTTCATTATATGAGACACTATGCTGTCAAAGTCTTCTTCTGTGTTCTCTCTTAAAAGGGCGACTAGCAAGTGGCGTTGTGGTTTACAGCTAGACTGTAAATCCGCACCTTTCAGCCCAACACATCTGATTTAAATAAATCCCCAATTAATTGCCTTTTGTTAAATGCAAGTTAGGGAGCAGTGGGTCAATCCTTTTGTTTCTCTAAATTGGGAGAATCAAAGAAATGACAAACCATAATATAAAAAACACATTACTACTATATTTATATCTTCTTATTCTTCTTATCTGAGTTTGGTTTAGTATGCTCAGGTCAGATCATCAGTTGGATTGCCTCTATGAACTCGAATGTCAGCTGCAGGTCCTTCATGGTTCCCCATAGCTTGCTCTGCACACTTTGCTCTTGGGGCCAGGTTTCTTTTTGAAGTTGTAGATAGAATGGGCACATCTGCTGAATATGCTCAGGTGCATTATATCATATGCTACCAGTGCCAGACGTGGTCACCAAACAAAACATAAATGAAAATTAGTAACCATGGAAATGAGGGGTTCAAGAAAGACTGTAGGAGTGACCAGAAGAGATAAAATCAGGAATGAGGTCATACAAGATAAAGTCGGCATAGAATCAATTTAAAATTACATATAAAGACAGCAAATCAAATGGTTTGCTCAGTTGGAGAGAATGCCCTCTGATGCTATACCATACAAGACATATTCGAAAAGAGGAAAAGGACGTAGAGCAAGAGGCAGACCATGAACAAGATGGGAAGATAACATCAGAGAAACTCTACAGCACTACGATGTGTCTGTAGATAAAACCTGGTGCAACAAAGTTTTCTCACACTACAATAAAATATGCACTCAGCAGATCAAGGAAAGTGTGCAACAGTGCAACATTATGACCCCTAAAAGACATAACTATTAATATTTTGTTAGCAAAAATATTATCCCAAGTTTTTTACCTTTGCACTGGTGGCGAGTGACACAGTGTCATCTCCGATGATTGTGGTGATCACATCGTCCACTTTAATAGTGCCATCAGTACGAACACAAGCTTGAATGGCTTCTTTAATCACGTGGTCTGGGGCTCCAGTCACCTCCCGAATCTTAGCTATTGTCAGATTCAAGTTCTCCTCTCTGGATCTCTGTTGTAGGAAAATTAACAAGAGAGGGTTTTTGTGTGTTTGCGTGTTAGTATTAAAGTGCATTGGAGGACTAGTGAAAAATATGGGAAACTAAGGATTTTACAGAACAGCGATGAGAACATCATGGATACCATTCGTGTACGGCGCTGGCCACACAGTCTTGGCTGACTGGCTAAACTACATAAGTGAAGTGGGAGTAATATCCTACTACAGGAAAGGTAATGTCCACCCGTAGTACTTGGAGACTGAGACATAAACAAGGTGGACAATTTTGTAAAAATCAATGGCTTGTAAAGTGTGTGGCACACATGAGGCGTGTTCAAGACACTATAGAGAAGAGGGCTGGCCATCGTGGAAGAGACAGATATAAACAAGGTGGACAATTCTGTAAAAATCAATGGCTTGTAAAGTGTGTGGCACACATGAGGCGTGTTCAAGACACTATAGAGAAGAGGGCTGGCCATCGTGGAAGAGACTGAGACCTCTTCATGTAACACCCTAAAGTTATCAATGAAATGTGTTGGAGAGCCGTTGTAGCCAATGAGATGGCAACTGACTGCCTGCCTGATGAGAAAACCATGAGCCATTCAATATCATAGTATAACAAACTGTAATGAACCAGTCTTGAAAGCATTTAACTCTTAAACAGAGTTGCTTACCTACACTATAAAACACAGATCCAAATTCATTAGGTATGTCATGAGAAAAAAAAAAAACTGGGATGAAATGTAAGAGCAGGAAAGTTGGAGTAAAAGAGAGCCAGAGGGAGATCAAGAAAGATGTTTGTCTGGAATGAGCCATCTATGGACAGGAGAGACATCATCAATGCCATCACATAGAGTAGTGAACATTGTGAGGTTTTTAATTTCAAGAAAAATGATTCTTCACTGAATAGACTGCATACCTGGGTATCTCTAGCTTGGTTAGCGTAGGTTTGAGACATGATTCGATTGCAAAGACTGTACTTCAAGGAACATTGGGGGTAGTCGAAAAAGAGGAGGGCAAAGAAGAAACTAGAATGATAACATCAAGAAATTGACAGGACTAAGTTATCATACACTTATTCATCAAGCAGAAGACGAAGAAAGATGGCGGGTTTTAGATACACCTCCACGACCCTAATGGGTTAAGGATTATGTTATACCCTGGGTGTACCAACTAAAGTAGCAAAACAAGAAAATTTTGCAGGAGCCACCCATTGTTACATCAACCAGAACAGAATGGGAGTTGCTAGCTAAAAAACACTTTGAGACACACTCAAGAGACTGGAGCACTTATGGTCACGTCTGATGTGCCATCAAAATCACCTTTAGATGAACAATGGTCTGGTACCATGGCATGGAAGAGAACGTGTATCAAACTGATTGTAAAGTATCAATGACAGAAGGCTGTGGACAGACATAATTACTCATGCCATGCAACAACGATTTTAAGATTAAGTAAGGCACTTGATGATGACAATAATCTTCAACTGATGATTATCAACATCACAAAATAGCCAATCTTACATCATGTAATAAGACGAGAGGCTTTTGAGCAATTTTCTACAACTGGCAAGGTCAGAGTATTAGACATAAAGGATTGACACGGGTAGAAAATACTACTGGACAGAATGTGCCCAACTCTCAACCCATTGAAAATAAAGTTTGTTCATTCCTTCGTTCGTAAAATAGTAGGCTGAATGGCATGGTAGCGTGTAACTCTTTGTACCAGCCTCTATGGATGGTCCAACAGCCTCTATGGATGGTCCGCCAGCCTCTATGGATGGTCCGACAGGCTCTATGGATGGTCCGACAGCCTCTATGGATGGTCCGACAGCCTCTATGGATGGTCGCCAGCCTCTATGGATGGTCCGACAGCCTCTATGGATGGTCCGACAGCCTCTATGGATGGTCGCCAGCCTCTATGGATGGTCCGACAGCCTCTACGGATGGTCCGACAGCCTCTATGGATGGTCCGCCAGCCTATACGGATGGTCCGACAGCCTCTATGGATGGTCCGACAGCCTCTATGGATGGTCCGCCAGCCTCTACGGATAGTCCGCCAGTCTCTACGGATGGTCCGCCAGTCTCTATGGATGGTCCGCCAGCCTCTATGGATGGTCCGCCAGCCTCTATGGATGGTCGACAGCCTCTATGGATGGTCCGACAGCCTCTATGGATGGTCCGCCAGCCTCTATGGATGGTCACCAGCCTCTATAGATGGTCCAACAGCCTCTATGGATGGTCCGACAGCCTCTATGGATGGTCCGCCAGCCTCTATGGATGGCCCGCCAGCCTCTATGGATGGTCCGCCAGCCTCTATGGATGGTCCGACAGCCTCTATGGATGGTCCACCAGCCTCTATGGATGGTCCGACAGCCTCTATGGATGGTCCGCCAGCCTCTACGGATGGTCTGACAGCCTCTACGGATGGTCCGACAGCCTCTATGGATGGTCCGACAGCCTCTATGGATGGTTCGACACTCAACATTCAGACTGCTACTGTCACCATAAAAATTTAACCTATCAAATATAGGGGGAGGATGGGGGGGGGGGGGGGGGTTTTACAGCAGACACCCCCACCACTTTAAAAAAAATGATAGAGTTGAGAAATACTAAACAGCCAACTGACTAACTGTAAAGTAGATTACTCAGCATTTTATACTTTTTTAAATCATTCTGACATAATGTGAATCTAGTAGATTATCTACTCTATCTTTATGTTACATCATACTCAGATTTCCAGAATAACGCCTCTAGTGAGTTTAAAATAAACTGATGACAATTGCAGCTCTTGTTTTGCATGGAACGTTGGTAAAGTGTATGGCAGGCAGTCAATGAAAGGGATATGCCATATTTATTTGTTTACAGTTTACATTCTCAATATGCCACTGTATATGGCCACTCATTTAAGTTTTAACAGCTCAGTTACCGGTTTTACGTGTCTGTTTGAAAAGAACAAACCTAAATGGCTAGGTAACTGCACAGTAATTAATGTTCACAGTGCTTAATTATTTCATTATGTTGTGCTGCAGTTGTAGTTGTAGCTCTTGGAACTTCACCAAGTTCAAACTCAAGTCATGGCTTGCTTGCACTCGTGCCTTTCTTTACCGTTAATCTTTCTGCAGCTTTATAATATATATGTTCTTTAAGACTTTAAAAGCCCTGTTTGTTAAAGGGTGCACCGTGCATCTGATAATTATAAACAACCAAGCTTGATCACAACCCACCCAATCTTTCCGCATTGTTGTCCATGAAATGATTGTAAACAACTAACAACAGTCTAACGTAACGACTCACGACTGCTGGAGTTTTCCCAGTTCCGGCGATAGATAACAGAAATAAAACAGATTATCACGCCGTTTTATGACTAACCAATGCTTCAGATACTGAAAAAACATATCTATGCTTCATTTTTACCATTAACATGACTAAATACCTGTCCCGGCCGAACTGGTAAAGGAGTTTGCTCCACTGTCATTTCTTCGTTCTGAGATTGTCTGTGGTGCCAAAGATGGCGACCATGTAACAAAATACGGCTGTTCGCGGTAATACGCGTCCTTTACAAGAGGATTTCCCCACATTATATGACATTATAGATGTCAAATGCGTGATTTTTGACAGTCATTAACAACATATAGAGTTTATAAAAATCTCAAGTATATTATATGAACATCAATTTATAAATAAAGGCGTGGTTTTGGTTATTTTATATATTGCCATAGGGAGGGTATACAACTAATAAACTCAGTAAGGAATTCCCTAAAATTGGCGACACACAAAAAAAAAAAAAATGTTAATTGTGTTATATAGCCACAATAGAACTTAGTTCATGTGTCCTCGGTAGTATAGTGGTAAGTATCCCCGCCTGTCACGCGGGAGACCGGGGTTCGATTCCCCGCCGGGGAGGTTCACATTTTTTTCCTGTGTTTCGTGTTTATATATATATATATTTAGAAATATAGACACACATATATAGTTAGTGTTGTGTCTATAAACTTTTAATATTGTGCCACTCGTATGTTTATAAAGCTGTCCAAAGGCAGTGTACTGTTTGTTCTCTTTTCAATTGCAGATGGTTGCAATCTATCCTACTTGTTAGTTTAGTTCCTTCTGGATCATATTGTAATTTGATAAATTTAATAGAACTGGTACTAATAGCCACCGGACGCTGGTGGGGGGGGGAGGGGGGGGCAGTTTTGAGCGGAAACACGTACAACTAAATAGTTGAGTCAAGAATGGACATCACGGCACACTAGGGGCATTACAATGCGCGCTACGTCATCATCTTTAGCACAACTAAATAATGCTTGACATGTGTGAAAATATTTTTTTAAGGGTATGGGGGGGGGGGGGGTGGTCTTTTTATCAAAACAGATGGAAACTATAAAATGAGGTCCTTTAATTTTTTTTCACCCCATCTCGGGGACTCCAATAGTGTTGGGGTATTACGATGTCTTAGATGTAAGACAGTGAGTGTGCGGAGGGGAAAAAGGGGGGGGGGGCAAACAAATAAATACCTGGCTAGCTACGGTACAGCGATAAGTGGGAGGGACAAGAATACTGATCTGATCTGCGATTCTGGTGATCTTGTGAGATGCCGGAACATAAAAAGCGTACAGGTTTTAGCATGATGAGGAAAGTCATTGGTTGTTTGATCTGATTTGATTTGGGATTTCAGTCTTCAGGATAGTCACAGTCTTCTCCTTCTAACCTCTATTGCTGGAATGCCTCGCAGCGTCAGGGCTAGAAGGGTCTTTCTACTCCTTTCGTATATATAGATTCAATCTCTGGTGAGGGCTGGAAATTTTACACATGACTTTGGACTTCTAGTAATTTAACTTGGTCTCTGGGTAGTGAGATCGGATGCCCGATTGCATTGTTGCGTACGTAAAAAATCCCTTGGCAGTTAAAAATCAAAGAGAGTAGATTAACTGCGCTGTCGGGGCAAAATTGGGAGTTAAAATACCCAAAGTATTTCCAAATCCTCGCCGGTGTTACAGAGCTTCTTCGGACTCAGACGAGTTAGAAGAAGAACGGAGAACTTATGGGTTACTTTCCGTGTACCATGGTGTTGATCCGTTGTTCAAACCCCAAACCTCAAACTTTCTTATATAGTATTTTTCATTGTCTCTGATATTTCTGCTGTCCATTGTCTGCGTGGTCGACCTCTGTTAACGGTATTTGTATAACATTGCTCTCTGTTGTGTCCTGTCTGTTGCCAGTCTTGTTACAGAATCTGTTGTCTGCCGGTAAAGTTCAGTTTTGGTTCCATGTTTAAATATTGACACAGACCGCAGTCACAGCAAATCCACTAGCATATACTAGCATTAAAAGCATAATGCAGCCCTCGGAAGTGTCAATACAAACAGTCCGACATTAGAAATGTAGTTCAGCATTACTTTTCAGGACTTGACCTAGTACTGAGAGCCAAGGTCACTTCTGAAAAATTTCCTACTCCGTCAGGAGTCGAACCCACGACCTTCGGATCTGCAGGCGAGCATCTTGGTGGTGCAGACTGTTAACTTGAACTGTGAGGGAAAAGACTAGTATAGAAATTGCCATCTGGAGCGTATTAGGCTCCACAAGGGCTGGAATACTGTCCGAGGCTTACCATGTTGACCGATCGTTGAAAAGATGAATAATGTAGTGGTGGGGATAGTGTTGCAGCAGCAGCAGCAGCAGTAGTAGTAGTAGTAGCAGCAGCAGTAGTAGTAGTAGTAGTAGTAGTAGTAGTAGTAGTAGTAGTAGTAGTAGTAGTAGTAGTAGTAGTAGTAGTAGTAGTAGCAACAGCAGCAGCAAGAGCAGTAGTATTCGAGGTTTCAGCTGCACGGCTAACCGGTCACCCATAATTGCCCGTTCCTGTGCTATTGAAAATGACCCACAATGTAATTCGCCGTCTAATGTGAAAACGAGTAAACAAACAGTTAGTCCAGGCAAACCCCCGAAGCATGCACACACAATTCACGCAGTCAGTGCATACAATTAAAGGCAGTCGCTAGATATACTTTGCCTATGTTATGGATATGTAAAATAAACAAATAAACTACGGGGGGGGGGGGGGGGAGGAGGGGGAAGACCAATACTACAGGTCTCGGTAGAAAGGAAGGAGAGAAGATACAGACGTAAATGCCGGGATGGATAGGTCTTAATTATGCAAAAAAACGAGTCTATTGTATCTGTTTACCCCGTCTCTCTAGCGTAGTTGGCTAAACCGGTGAGCGGGTGACGAACTCCTTGTGGTCCGGGTTCACTCCCGGGGGTGGGCAGAAAAGCCACATTTCTCCCAGATTTACGGTATTTAAAATGAAATCAAGGCCGAAAGGTTGCGATATCCATAATACCGAGCCTAAGGGTTAACAACTCATGGCTTCTGGATTCTCAAACAAACATCTGAACGATTGAGGAGGAGGGAACTGATCAGTCAGTCAACAGCAACTGGTGACCCAACGACAAGCAGTGTTACTGGAATGTGACGATGATTAATACCTCTGGATATTTCATATTGCACGTTTCATAGCCATTAATTATAGCAGATGATACAATTGTATCCAAGCATAACTATGAGTGCAAAGAGACAGATTATTAATAGCATATTCATTCCAACATTAAGCTACCAGTGCCAAACATGGACTCTATCTAAAGCCCTTATAAGCAAAATTACCACCTGCGAGATGAGGTGCCTGAGAAAAGCAGCCAACGTAACCATACGAGATCGAGTGAATAATGAAACTATTAGGCAAAATGTGGGAACGACACCTTGTACTAGATTCATCGAGAAACAGCAGATCAAGTGGTTTGGCCATCTCGTTAGAATGCAGCACGATCAAAAACCATCACAAGCACTACATCTCAGAAGATCGACTACAAGAGCAAGAGGACGGCAGGGGAAAACATGGATCGATAACATTAAAGACACTCTACGCCTTCACGGCATGACAATAGCCAGTGGCAGCCAACGTGCACTGGATCGAAAATTATTCTTCCTTACGACGCTTAACGGCAGAAGTGGTTTATGATGATGATGATGATGATACGATTGTAGATTAGAAGATTATAGTACTTTTGAGTAATGATAATAATTTAATATTTAACTTAGACTGATCACAAAAACTGGCTCCCAGGTCGACCCACCCTTGAATGGGTACCGGGTGCAGTCCCGGAAAGTAAAGGCGACCGGAGTGATACTGACCACATCACCCATCTTGTGCCGATTGGTCTATAAAATATAGGTCTGACCAAATAGTCCCTATACGCCTAAAGGCGTTGAAAAAGATCCTTTACTTATTTTACTTACTAGATCATAAAAATAGCGCGCCCAAAAACCTGGTAACTGTTCAGCCTAGTAACACAGTAAACAGTGGTCCTGTTTCCGCTATACATCATGAAGTTACCTATTAACAGTTTCAGTTTGTTGTTAATATTCTTTTGCGGATTTATTAAAAGTAATTTCTCTGACTGACTTAAATTAAAAAAAAAAAAAAATAGGCAAAATGTATAGCATCAAACAGAAATTGTTAGGGTTGTAGTCAAGACTTCTTTTAAAAAAATCAAAACTTTCATTTTCAAATATATTATTTTATATTAGTATATATGTGTATATATACAGTAAAGTAGCAGCAATACAATTCAAACTAACTGTAATTAGAATGAATAACAGACAAGAACTGTAAAGTAAATGAGGACCTGATTTATAGATTTCATTAATTTTGTTTAAATTGATTAGAACTATACCATAATTTAGAATGATCGTCTATACCTGTCTCACTAATAGTAATGCCATAATTAATATTACTATATTATATTAGTAATTAGTATTATGAGGATTTACTCTGCTGTGCCGTAAAATCAAATTCTCCAATCCTCCATCAACAGTAGATGAGATAGAATTAACGACTGATGTTAGGTCAAATGTAGATTGCATTTCATTGATTAGATTATGGCAATCGTTGATGCCTAGCTCTCTATGACACTATAGATAGACCAGCTTTACTCGGCTGCATGTTATTTACCAAGTGGATCAATTGTTTCATTTGTTCAATCGATCAAAATTGCCCCAGAGGCATGTTTGGTATGAATAAACAATATTGAAAAGTTCAACTAAGGCCATGATGGTCAGTATTTTTGATTGTGACTGTGTGACGCCAACTCCACCCATTATGTGTTGCAGGATCACTATACTACTTAGTGTAGCACTGTAGCCTGACTGTGAAATATACATGAGCCATGTTTTTCGCTGGTAATGGAAAGCATGAAATTATAGCAAAGACTACAAGGTATCTACGTTTGTTACATGCCATATTGGTTAGCGGATGTACAGTTATAATACTTTTCTGCATATTATAATTATTTTTGTGTGATAAATTATACGTATGAAATAAATGAAGTAGTAGTAGTATTAGTAGTAGTAGTAGTAGTAGTAGTAGTTATAGTAGTAGTAGTAGTACTCATGTAGTAAAGTAATTTTTTATGACTAAAATGTAATTTGTATTGTTTCACATTGTGCTTCCTTGGGGAGGAGGTGGGGGGGGGGGGGGGGGATGGGATGATTATGATAACAATTTTACTATGAATAATTAAACAATCTTACTAACATTGTGTCATTAACACAATTAGTTAATTTAAAAATGATTCTTGTTTAACCCTTGTTGTTTATTATTGTTATATATATATATATATATATATATATATATATATATATATATATATATATATATATATATATATATATATATATATATATATATATATATATATATATATATATTGTTGTCCTTTTCAGTATTGGATATTATACTTGTCACTTGCTTAGAGTCATAATAAGTATATTGTTAGTTTATTTTCTTTAAAAAATTGCTTTACCAGCTATGTTGTGTAATCCGGTCTTAATCAGGTTTCCATTGTCATGTATATGTTCAGCCAACCTTCTTTTTCATAATCAGGGGCTGAACTGTATTTCACTTTTATTGCCAGAGAATATGGCTGACACTCAGCAGTCAGGGTATATGGCTGACACTCACACTCAGGGGATATGGCTGACACTCAGCTGCAAGGGGATATGGCTGACTCTCAGCACTCAGGGGATATGGCTGACTCTCAGCACTCAGGGGATATGGCTGACACACAGCAGCCAGGGAATATGGCTGACACTCAGCAGTCAGGGGATATGGCTGACACTCAGCACTCAGGGAATATGTCTGACACTCAGCACTCAGGGAATATGTCTGACACTCAGCACTCAGGGGATATGGCTGACACTCAGCAGTCAGGGAATATGGCTGACACTCAGCACTCAGGGGATATGTCTGACACTCAGCACTCAGGGAATATGTCTGACACTCACACTCAGGGGATATGGCTGACACTGAGCAGTCAGGGAATATGGCTGACACTCAGCACTCAGGGGATATGTCTGACACTCAGCACTCAGGGAATATGGCTGACACTCAGCACTCAGGGGATATGGCTGACACTCAGCAGTCAGGAGATTTGGCTGACTCTCAGCACTCAGGGGATATGGCTGACTCTCAGCACTCAGGGGATATGGCTGACACACAGCAGCCAGGGAATATGGCTGACACTCAGCAGTCAGGGGATATGGCTGACACTCAGCAGTCAGGAGATTTGGCTGACTCTCAGCACTCAGGGGATATGGCTGACACTCAGCAGTCAGGGGATATGGCTGACACTCAGCTGCCAGGGGATATGGCTGACACACAGCAGTCAGGAGATAGGGCTGACACCCAGCAGCCAGGGAATATGGCTGACACTCAGCAGTCAGGGGATATGGCTGACACTCAGCTGCCAGGGTATATGGCTGACACACAGCAGCCAGGGGATATGGCTGACACTCAGCAGAGGATATGGCTGACACTCAGCAGTCAGGGGATATGGCTGACACTCAACACTCAGGGGATATGGCTGACACACAGCTGCCAGGGGATATGGCTGACACTCAGCACTCAGGGAATATGGCTGACACTCAGCAGTCAGGGGATATGGCTGACACTCAGCACTCAGGGGATATGGCTGACACTCAGCACTCAGGGGATATGGCTGACAAACTCAGGGGATATGGCTGACACACAGCTGCCAGGGGATATGGCTGACACTCAGCAGCCAGGGGATATGGCTGACACTCAGCAGCCAGGGGATATGGCTGAAACTCAGCAGTCAGAGGATATGGCTGACACTCAGCAGTCAGGGGATATGGCTGACACTCAGCACTCAGGGGATATGGCTGACACTCACACTCAGGGGATATGGCTGACACTCAGCACTCAGGGGATATGGCTGACACTCACACTCAGGGGATATGGCTGACACACAGCTGCCAGGGGGTATGACTTACACACAGCAGTCAGGGGATATGGCTGACACTCAGCACTCAGGGGATATGGCTGACACACAGCTGCCAGGGGATATGGCTGACACTCAGCAGTCAGGGGCTATGGCTGACACTCAGACTCAGGGGATATGGCTGACACACAGCTGCCAGGGGATATGACTTACACTCAGCAGCCAGGGGATATGGCTGACACTCAGCACTCAGGGAATATGGCTGACACTCAGCACTCAGGGAATATGGCTGACACTCAGCACTCAGGGAATATGGCTGACACTCAGCACTCAGGGAATATGGCTGACACACAGCTGCCAGGGGATATGGCTGACACTCAGCACACTCAGGGGATATGGCTGACACACAGCTGCCAGGGGATAAGACTTACACTCAGCAGCCAGGGGATATGGCTGACACTCAGCACTCAGGGGATATGGCTGACACTCACACTCAGGGGATATGGCTGACACTCAGCACTCAGGGGATATGGCTGACACTCACACTCAGGGGATATGGCTGACACACAGCTGCCAGGGGGTATGACTTACACACAGCAGTCAGGGGATATGGCTGACACTCAGCACTCAGGGGATATGGCTGACACACAGCTGCCAGGGGATATGGCTGACACTCAGCAGTCAGGGGCTATGGCTGACACTCACACTCAGGGGATATGGCTGACACACAGCTGCCAGGGGATATGACTTACACTCAGCAGCCAGGGGATATGGCTGACACTCAGCACTCAGGGAATATGGCTGACACTCAGCACTCAGGGAATATGGCTGACACTCAGCACTCAGGGAATATGGCTGACACTCAGCACTCAGGGAATATGGCTGACACACAGCTGCCAGGGGATATGGCTGACACTCAGCACACTCAGGGGATATGGCTGACACACAGCTGCCAGGGGATAAGACTTACACTCAGCAGCCAGGGGATATGGCTGACACTCAGCACTCAGGGAATATGGCTGACACTCAGCACTCAGGGAATATGGCTGACACACAGCTGCCAGGGGATATGGCTGACACTCAGCACACAAGGGGATATGGCTGACACCCAGCAGCCAGGGTACAGGCAAGGCAGACATACAATAAGACTTCTACTAATACCATCAGAACAGGAACTCTGCACTGCCTGGTGAAGATGGGAACGGAGCATTTATAGGAATGTCCTGAGTGCTATAATGTAGTATTAGTAATAGTAGTAGAGATAATAGAAGTGGTAGTAGTAGTAGTAGTAGTGGTTGTAGTATTAGTAGTAGTAGTAGTAGTGATAAAAGTAGTAGTAGTAACAGCAGCAGTTGCAGTAGTAGTTTATAAAATCATATCCTGTTCAACCAATTTTTAAATAATTTGTACATTTGTTTTGTTCCCCCAAGGGTTTGCTGTTCAGTCCCCTAGAAAATGGGCTGTGAGAGCTCCAAGTCTGTGGACATGGTTTTCAGTGGAACTAACAAAACAAGTGGTTCTAAACAGAAATCTGGCACTGGCATGACAAAAGCAAATTCAGAGGTAATATTGTAGGAACTTACTGATGTTCTATGTTGTTGTAAAACTGATGTTTTAATTTGGACCTAGGGTTTATTACTTACATAAATGGGTCACATTTCTTAGAAACAAAAAGCAATAAAATACATGGTTTTGGAGAGACAGTTGAAATAAATAAAAATTGAGACAAGTTTGGTGACACCCTGCACTCTTCCAGAAACCACAATGAAGGACTAAGTTAAAGGTAGGAGATGGAGACGGTAATACAAGTAATAGTCATTTTTTTTAAAATATCCTGTTTAATCCTCAGGGTCATAATTGGGATAAATAGTGTTAACTGAGTATATATTTGTTATTTTAAATTGTAATTGTTTATACGAATAAAATGTAATTTGTGTTGTTTCACATTTCACTTTAATTTGGGATGTGATTATGAAAGAAATTTTACTATGAATAATTAGGCAATCTTACTTACATTGTGTCATTAACAATCAAAGATGCTATAGGCATTCTTTACCCTTCTGTCCTAGAAATAAATTGTTTGACCTTGCTATGCATCCCTCTTCAGCTGTTTAAGTGCAGCAAGTTTTCCATCATCATAGATAATTTACAGAGATTCATGTAGTCAGCAAATGGTTTTCTTTGCTTTTCACATTTCCTACACTTCAGCAAATCGTGCTCTATGGTATTGTATTTATGGCATACATTACAGGTCTCTTCCTGTATAGTAAAGCAAGACCATTCAATTTGTAGTCTAAGCAATTAACGATTGCACTGTATATTTTCTTCTTCTTCTTTTGTTTATTTGAAATAAATTATTTATATCTGCAATGCTGTCTCTATTATAAACTTCACTATCTTGTGTAATTCACTTAGCGACCAGTAAACTTTGGCTTCCACCAGTGTCTCTCTTGGCCATAAGTTTTGTCTGGAAATGTTGTATCTGGGACAGTCGTGGAGGATGCGATCTGTCATTTTAGGTGCCAGTCCACAGGTGCAAATGGCTGATTCGCCAATCTTAAATTTCGTGTATATGTGGCTGAGAAGACGATTGTACTCTGTTCTATGGCATAAAATAATGATTTGCTCTGGTCTGTCCATAAAATGGTAATCGTCTTGTGCCGGTTTCGGTGGCTTTCTGATTGATTTGATTATTCTATTCTTCTATTGATAAGAGACTAGTACTTCGGGTTGTTCTTCAATTACACTTTCCTTAGTTAGTTTGTCAGTTCTTTTATTTCCGGGAACTCCACTGTGGATGGTATCCACTGCATAATTACCTTACATTGGTTGCCTAGTTCAGATAGTAGTGTCTGTACACCTGGTAATTTTCCAGACTGAGTCCCTGAAGTACTGATTTTGCATCTGTCAGGAAAACCACTGGCTGTGAAATATACCCTGTGTTTAGTAGTTTCTCTGCTGCTATCTTGATGGCTTGAACTTCTGCATAATAGTTGTGACAACGCTTTCCTGTTGGTATTCTGGCTGTATAAGTAAGTAAGTAAAGATCCCTTTCCATGCCTTTAGGCGTATCGGGCATATGGGAAGAGCGCCCATATTTTTACAGACCATCAGCACTCGGTGGGTAATGTGGTCAGCACTACACCGGTTGTCTTTACTTTCCCAGGACAGCCCATCCTGGTACCCATTTTAGGCTGGGTTGACCTGCCACGCCCTATAACATGATAAAACTCTACGCAGCCTGCAGTGGGTTTCGATCACGGTATGCTGGCTTATGAGTCGGACTCGCAACGCCTAAGCCACGGACGCCGCCATTCTGGCTGTATCCCTGGTATTATTGCTCAATGTACACTCCTGCTCCTCCATTTCTGATTGTATTTTGTGCTGACCCATCTGTATAAACTCAAACCCAAAGATTCTGCAGGTATTCATCATCAAGTAGACTGAGGGTGGCTGTTTTATGCTGCACAATGTTTTAATCTTCCTTGTCAAATACTCCTTTCACTTCTGTCTTGATGTGTATTGGAAACTTATACTCCTCTCTGCAGGGAGTTCATTCTGGAACACCATTTAAGGGGCTATCAGTTGCAGGCAGTTCAGTGGTTTGATGGTAGATGAAACTGCTTCTATTTAGTCACCCCAAAGCTCGATTCTGGAATATTTCATTCATAGGGTGACTAGGCATGCTAAGAAACTTTTCTGCATTTATTAGCATCTTGGTGTCTCTCCATTCAATCAGTGCTTGGGTCATCCCCATTCTCCTTCAAAGTCCTAGCAATGATCTGGCCCAGGGGAGCCACATTGAAAGAGAAGCTATGGGGGACCGGTGGCGACCTTAAACACACAATCCTATTTGTGACCCAGACGGGACTCAATGTCTAGCATGACTGATGTCGAACGCAGAAGAAGAAGAAGAAGAAGTCCTAGCAATGTCAGAAAATCAAAACTCACCCTGGGTTATACAACTTCTGCATTGCATTACTATTTGTTTCACTGGTCTTATTTGTATTGTCTGTCACATCCAGGAGAACATGCAGTATGTTTGGAAGGTACTTGTTGAGAGGGTTTACAGCATCTTTCCTTGCACTCCACTTAGTTTTTAGAATCTGACTTTATAACCCATTGGATAGCATTTTAAAGTTTCCCCAACGCTGTGTTGAATGACAGAAAAACATGTAGAGGGCTTAATGGTACCCAAAAAAAAAAACATCACCATCATTGGCTCCGGCTGAGCTGCATGTACAACTACAAAGTTGAGCAAGTCATTATCACAACTGACATACATAGCCAGCTTGTTTTCTCACTTCTGTGTCCAGCCATCACAGCAGTGCTGTCATAGCACTGTGATCCACAATCTTCTAGTTCCACTTCATCTTTCTCTAGCTGGTTCAAGATGTCTTGAGCCAAGCTCTTAACATCATTCTGGCTTATCTAGATAAAGCCAAAGAAGGACTTTAACACAGACCCCTTTCCTCATAGAATCAACTTCCATGTGTCTCACTACCCCTGATATGCTTGATCAGGAGTCCAGTAAAACATGATGCCATTGTACTTCTCTCTACAAATGCTTCTCAGTAAATTCTGGCGAACAGTGGATGCCATCAGGTGGATGAATTCATTCTGCACAAAACATGGATCCAGCATGGTCTTTTACATGTCAAGTGTTCTTTCATGAGAGGATAAGAAAAAAGCCAGTAGTTTCAGTAAGCCATTTTTCTATAATGGATCCATGATCGTCTTGCCAAAGTGCTTCCATATGTCCACCAGTGTTGGATTTAGGCATCAGTTCACTGAGTTACAGCTTAGAGCCTCTCGGTCTGCAGAAGCATAATGTTTTTTTTCCTTCACAAATACAATTTTCTTTTAATATATTAAAAAAAAAAAATTAAACAGAAATTTTTTATATTTTGTATTAATATTATTTTGGGTATATTATCACAGGCTTTCATTTATTGTATTTTGTTGTAGTGTTTTTAAATTGAACAAAATAATTTGCGTGGTAAGCATCAGCTTCCATCTTTTATTAACTCACGTAAAGTTATCTGAAATTAATTGGTGTAATTTAAAATGTCTGGGGCCTTGGAGCTTTAGATAGTTTAGAGCCTCCTCAAGTATGAATCTGGCCCTGGTGTCCATGTAAAGCTAGAGTTAAAGTTGCACAAGATATCATGCTACTTCTGCTATATCAATGAATGTATATTGCATTTCTTGGGATCAAAAGAGTTAAGAAACATGTATAGGGTCATCATCATGTAGCAGGTCCTTTGCAGAACGTCGCTCTCATCCCAGTCTGCCTGAAAGAAACTCGGTCTCTCGCCAGTTCTCCCGCCTCATGTACTTTCATACTCAAGGAGTCACTTATATCCTGTGCCCATCTTTGTGTCAGTCGGCCCCTGCCCCTATTTCCGGGTACCATGCCTTCTGCTATAATTTTTTCCAATTCGTTGTGGCCCTTGATATGACCAAAATATTTCAGCTTCCGAGAAAGGATGCTGTTTATTAGCCAATCTTCCTTGATGTTCAGATTTTTCAAGATGTCAGTATTTTTTCTCTTCTTTGTCCAAGATATTCTGAGAATCTTTCTATAGCATTTCAGCTCAAAAGCCCCTGTTCTCTTTCTTAAGGACTGAGAGATAGTCCACGACTCACATCCGTATGTAGTCACAGGGAAGATGCATGCTCTCAAAATTCTAATTTTTATCTCCTTGCTGGTGCTTAACCATAAACTTTTAAGGCTGTTCAATCTTTGCATTGCTATGGCCATCCTCCTTTTAATTTCTGTTGAACAGTCTCCATTGCTGTTTATTATAGAGCCTAGATATTCAAAGTTTGTGACATCTTCAATTTCTTCATCATTTATTGTTATTTTTGGGTGACAGCCAGTTTTACCTGTGGACATTATTCTTGTTTTCTTTAAATTCAAGAACAGATTTTGATCTTCACTAATGGGTTCCATGATCAGTTTCTTGGGATTGTAATGTGGTAGTTTCCCGTTGCTTTCCACATCCACATGGCTTTAGACTACGTCCTCAGCCTTCAGCAACCTTTTCGATTGCTAGGGCAAGTGAGTGCCCTGCTCTGTGATGCTCCTGCTAACAGCAGAGGGCACCCCAGAGGTGTCCACTTATCCTGGCGGATACTCAGTCCCCATAGCTGCGTTGGCCTCAATGCAGTGTGTTTATCGTCCTCTACCGCGTGGAGGTGCAGTTGGGGTTTTCCCTTCACTGAGTCTTGAGACCAGAATGGCATTTCCCAAAACTCTCCAGTACTTTCAGAGGACATGTATCAGGTACTGTTACAAAAAATTATGACTTTGTCTGACCAGACAACAGAATGTGTTTGTTTTTTTAAAAATATGTGTGCAATGCTGATCAGGGGTGACTGTTTATATTTGTGTAGGATGGTGCCCTTCTAACCTTGTTCAAAAAATAACCTACTGTAGACCCTTCAGATGGGATGCTGCCACTTAAAAAAAAAGGGTTGGGGGATGTAATGTTCGATGATGAGCTCTGTCAAGAGCACTATTATGACTGATGTTCATTTCTATTTTGTTACCCCCTTCAAACTGCATCTAGGTCATCTCCCCTACCTCCCATACCCTAGTTATGCTTAAAGATAAATGGCATGCACACACACATACAATTTAAGACAGAGACATAATATTGAAGGCAATAGATGTAACCCTGGAGCAGTAGACATTAAATTAGAGATAGTTTACTTCATGGTTAAAGATATAATGTTCAAGAGTGACATATTGCTAAAGATGAAGGGAAATAACTGTAAGCAAAGACATAATTTGAAGCAGATGTGGATTTGCATGGTGCCAGTGGTATCTTTTTCTTCTGCCATTCATCTTCCAATAAAAAATAGGCCCTCAATCAGCTCTGTTAAAAAAAAAAATGTATTTATGCACGATTGGTTGGATTTTGCAACTAAAGTTTTTCTTGATGAGGTGGCAAGTCTCACATCAACCCTGCTGCCTTCTGTGACATGTTTGGTAGATTACAGTATTACTGTCTTGTACTAGCGTATTAACTTTTCGTCCTTCTTAGGACGTTATTTTTTATTTGAAGCCCCACTCTGGCTTTTGCCAGGGGCCGCAATATAGGCAGGTCATCATTATGGCCAAATGTCTGAACGCGGTTTCTGGGACCTCTCCACGGTGATCCTCATCCGCATGGTGGCACTTTGTGTCATCGGGTGTTTATCGCTTGTGTGATGTCCTGGTGGGGTAAAAAAATCCAAAATCCATCCAATCCTGTCTTGTACTTCCCCTACGAGCCTCATTAACCAGTAGGTAAAGATGGGGTACTGAGAAAACTGTTTATGATTTGTTTTGTGTGTGTTACTTTGAAGCAACATTTAACACAATATGTATTTATTTTTAGTATCTGTGCATTAATGTTTAGCATCTGATCAGTTTTTTAACATTTGTTATTCATTTTCATAATTTGATCATCCTTTTTTTTCATTTTACCTTTAATTTTTAGCATTTAAATATTTATTTACAGCAGCTGGACATGAACTGTTAGCACTTGAGCATTTATCTTCAGTTTTTATAAATCAATTTTACAATCTATATTTCAGCTTACAGATGATGAGATGCAGAAGAAAATTTATCAATACATACAACTAGACAAAGACATTCTTGCATGGGAAGGAAAGAATATACCAAAGTCTTTGCAAGCAACGAAGGAACGAGCTAATGAAGTAGCCAATTCAATGAAGGAGTTGGAACAACAGTATCAAGCAGCATGTGACAAAATGTAAGTAAGATAGAAAATAAAGGTCTGACTGGAGCATAGGGCATATGATAACAGACTCATATTTTTATAGACCAGTTGGTATTCAGCAGTTAATGTAGTCAAAATCTTGCTGATCATCTTTACTTCCCATGTTTTGTTATCTTGTCAAAACTGACATCACTGCACATTGGGCATTCCTATGCAGGCTCAGTCATCTGATGCAGCAGCCACTTCAATGTATTTCTACTAATTGTTCCCATGAGAGGTTGTTTATAATGTTTCCTATCTCAGCCTCAAAGGTGACATAGACATTCTTCACCATCTGTGTCACGCTGTTGTATTAGTGTCAGAGATTTGTCATTATCAACTAGCCCAGTCCCTACAGTGTTAATAATATATGTTCTGTCCATGCTTCTTCCCACATGCCTTGGTGCATTGCTTGCTAATTGGTCGGCTTGCTCATTACCCTTTACGCCAGCATGACCAGGTGTGTAGATCCAGGTGTAGGAGGTTAAGTGTGATTTTCTAATGCTTTCTACACATTCAGAGCGCATACTGCTTATGGAGTCTGATACAGTTACTGCTTGTGTAGCTGTTTGCTCTGCTGCCTATGCTAGTGCTTTAGAAGCAGCGGCCATCTTTATGATCATTCTTGATGCAGTTGCCTGGTAAATGCTACTGTTCTCTTTACTTCAGATGTTTCTAGGTAGCCATTTTAGGTTGGGTTGACCTTGAAGCCAAAGTCAATTATTAAAAAAATCTGCACAGTGGGAATTTGAACTCATTACCTTCAGCCCCGCATGCAAGTGCCAATCCCGTAACTACCATAGCTCATAAAAAAGTGTCACAGCATTCAAGGTTGATTCATTGTCGGGAAGTGATTGTAGGGGTTCCTAGGTCTTTTTCTGCCCTTTATGCCCTAGTGGAACATAGACCCTCAATCAAAATACACTAAGCCTTTTTAATATAAACTTTTATTAAGTTCACTTTTGTTTCTATGTTTGCTTGTATCTTATCATAACTTCATGTTATACTGTTAACACCATTTCAGCTCAAATTTTGCACACACACACACTTTATAGATGACAGTGCTATGTGGTGCAAAAAATTACCAGAAAATTTTTGTTGTAGTGATAATGTTAGATTTCAGAAATTGTATATGGTAGTAAAATATATATTTTCAAGGAAATTAATCCAAATGGTAACACCATGTGTCACTGGGTATTTATCACTCATCATGCAGTCCTGATGGGGTTAAACTTCACTCAGTTTCCATTATTCCGCAAAACAAGCAGCAAGCAAGGTATGGAAAAATGTTTGGTTTTAAAAAAGTGGCAGAGCGATATAAGGAAAAAAAAAAGTGATGTTGTAAGTGAGTGAACGAGTGACAAAGAGAGGGAGAGAGAGAGAGAAAAAGAGTAGAGAGAAAGAGAGAGTAGACAGAAAAAGAGTGGGAGGGAGAGAGGATATATGGATGTTCTATATACATGCATGTCCTGTAAATAGAATACTTTTGTGACTGACTGACTTTCTACCCCACCAGGACACCACACAAGCGATAAATACCCGATGACACAATGTGCCACCATGTGGGTGAGGATTACCGTGGAGAGGTCCCAGAAATCACGTTCAGCCTTTAGGCCATATTTATGGCCAGGCTATATTGCGGCTCCTGGCAAGAGCCAGAATAGGGCTTCAAATAACGAAAATTTTTTTCCTAAAAAGGACGGAAAGTGCGATTTCTTAATGATTAACTTTTGTGTATCATTCACTAAATCATGTAACTTTGAAATTTGTCAATGAATTTTGAATCATAAAAAAGTTTTTAAAAAAAGACAGTTCCTTATCTATTTAACATTGATTCTAATGCTGTGATTATTTCAGCATATGATATTAGCATATTATATTGGATAGCTTTTTACCATGCATTCGTTTCAGCACTTGCATTTTTCAGTAGAGTGTGAGGAAATTTCTTGTCAAGACAAAACAAATAAAACAAGATAGAGAATAATTTTAAAATTAAGTGATTTGAATAATAACATGTAATTATGACTAAAATATAGAACAAATTGTTAAAAAAACTTTAAATAAAATATTGTCGTTTGTCCATCACAAGTAATGATGACCAATCCCTTTCACCCTGTAGGAAGAGGGAGGTTCTTGAATGCGGTAATGATTGCACTTGCTGCATGTTATTTTGGGGATCTTGCTCATAGTTTTTTTTTTTTTACTGCTGCTGCTATTCAAAAGCCAAAAGGCTTCAGTAAGATATTCATTGAGATATTTATTTTATAAAATAAGCATTTATTTAAAACGCATCTCATAATTTATGAACTAAAAGGACAAACATTATTTTATATTACAATTTGATAGACACATGAGATTAAATGACCTCTTTTCAAAATTCATCTACATTTTTTAAACCATGATTAATATAGCACAGGGTACCTAACTAAAAGTATTTAATACTCAACTTGTCAAAAATATTAGCCAAAAGTATAAGCCATTATCTGTACACATGTGAGTCATTTGATACAGATACCCAAATGCTATATACTAATATGAATATTACTTTTATGGCTCCCACACTTTTATTTTTTTTTTAAATTTCCCTTTACAAATTTTCCAGGGCTGCATTGTTTAAGTGCGTAATAATTGGTGTTATTATTGTATTTTATAAAGTGTTGCCTTCTTTATATCTGCTAGGATTAAGGAAAAAGCTGATGTAGACAAAATGCAGAATCCAAGTGTCAAAGTGTTTTTTAAAAATCAGCATGAGTATGAGGAAAAATTGACTAAAGAACAGGTAAGATTAAGAGTTATTTTTAACAGTTGATGCTAAGGTTATTATCATTATTATCATCAAGTGGCTTGCCAGCTGAAATGGATGATCATGCCTCTCTACAACTTACAATCTCCTACAGCATGTATCAGTTTGTGTGCTGACACCCTTTCATGCATTGACAAAAGGCTATTAGGAATATTCTGGTATTGCCTTCCTTTTTTAAATATTCTTGTATTTCATTCCTCTATGTCTCTTTCCACAAAATTTGGCCTATGTCACATCTTCCAGTTTTTTTATTCTCATAATGTTGCCAGAAATGAAGATGGTCTCTTTCTGATATTCATTACAAGTTGTCTTCAGTCCCTCACCTGTATCAGTACAATTATTGACTTAAAATGTTATTATAAATTAGAATATATCATGCGCATACATTACAAATAAAAATTTCATTTAGTTATTTATTTATTATTTTTATTATAGGTACACATTATTAGAAATTTATACAATGGTTCAGAATATGCAGTGTGCACTGATAATAGTCTAGGTGACTGGTTTTTGGTTGAAACCGGAGTAAAAGAAGGTTGCATTGTCTTGTTATACGGGAAAATCATTGATTAGGTAATGAATAAATGTTGCAACATTTAACAAGCAACAGAATCAGTAGAGAAACACATGTACCACATGGGGCGCCAACTTCAGAATCCTAAAACAAGTATATGCTGGAGCAGTCAGGCCAGTCATGGAATATGCCTCCATTGCATGGGCTGCAGCAGCCAAGACAACAATGGGAAAACTGGACAAGGTTCAGAATATGGGATTAAGGATTGTTCTCGGAGCCATAAAAAACCACCCCCATCAGAGAGATAGAGAGGATAGCAGATACTGAACCAATCAAACTCAGAAGACAATACAAAACTCTTTTACAGTTTGAGAAATTAAAAAGACTTAAAAGTCACCCACTGCATTTTAAATTTCAAGAGAGAACAAAAAACAGACTGAAGCGTCAGAGCCCCAACCACCTTGCTAGAGAACTGTACAGACAGCACCAAGATCTGCTTGAAAGTGATGTAGCACTGTGCGAAAAACTTAGGCCAGAACCATGGACAAGCAAGCCAGAGAAAGCTAATGTAGTCCTAAAGGTACCAGGAATCACTTCAAAAGATGCGCAGACGGAGACACAACAGAGAACCCTGGCTCTTGCTATGCTTGATCAGAAGTATCCAAACACCACTTGGACTCAGGTTTTCACCGACGGCTCTGCTATAGATGCAGTCAGAAAGGGGGGTTGTGGAATATACATTAAACCCCCTAGCAGTAGAGCAGAAATTCTCTCTCTACCAGCAGGTGACATCTGCACTAACTTCAGAGCTGAGGCAACTGCCCTCCTTTCTGCAGTCCAACATCTCATCAATCAAGAACACAGAGGGCACACAATTGTTATACTTAGTGACTCATTGTCTGTTCTCAAAGCACTATCAAGCAAAAAACAAGACAAACTAATTGCAGATCTAAGGACCAACATTGGCTTACTCTCCAAGGAAGCAGAACTGGTCTTGCAGTGGATACCCGCCCCCTGTGGTATTCAAGGAAATGAGAGAGCAGATGAGTTGGCAAAAGCTGGGAGTAATCTTCCACAACCTCATCCACCACACAGCTACAAGGAAACCAAAACAGCGCTAAAGCAGTCTTTCAAGCGGGAGTAACAGCATAAACAAAGTCAACAGGAAAGAACAAACAATAATTTTTAGACTTCGGACTGGACACTGTGGTCTTCGAGCACACCTGTACAGGATAGGCATAAAAGAATCTGCTGCCTGTGATTGGGGAGCAGAAAGACAGACCCCTGGGCACATACTACAGTATTTCCCTAACCTCTCCCAGCAAAGACTGTGAATCTGGCCCAAGGGAGCCACATTGAAAGAGAAGCTATGGGGGACCAGTGGGGACCTTAAACACACAATCCTATTTGTGACCCAGACAGGACTCAATGTCTAGCATGAATAGTGTCTAACTCTGAAGAACAAGAACAAGAAGAAGTAGAGAAACAAGATTATTATGGCCTGGAGAGAATGAGGCACCTGGGTGTAACCAGAGGGTCTGGCCGCCAGCTCACTACACTCAGAGGAAAGGCAAGACGGACATATAACCAGATTGTGACCGGTACCATCAGTATTAGAACTCTGCGCTGGCTGCTGAAGATGAGGACGGAGCACACATGGGAATGCCATGAGTGCTGTGATGTCAATTCTTGACTCAATTTAACTCAATTTTGTTTCTCTTCTAACTTTGTTACATGTTCCCAAAGGGCCTTGACCACATCTGCCTTGTCATGTATCAATTCACCGGTACCATCAGTATTAGAACTCTGCGCTGGCTGCTGAAGATGAGGACGGAGCACACATGGGAATGCCATGAGTGCTGTGATGATAAAACAGGCCTGATACTCTGATGGTCTTGTGAAGTGAATCATTATCCCCCCCCCCCCCCCACACACACACACACAAGCACGCACGCATGCACACACGCACGCATGCGTCAACACAGAAACACACCAATTCTTACTGGCAAATGATGGTTAAGTTTTCTACAGATTCTGTTATCTTCACTTGAGAATGCCAATGGTCTGTATTTCACAGGAAGAATACTTGGAGGCCATCAGCGCACAGGAAGTTTTAAAGAAGCAGCTGGAAGGTATACAGATGCAAGCAAGGAACTGCGATGCAGAAGTTCAGGAAATGTCCAAAGAGATGAGCAAACTCGCTTTACTATATGATGAGCAAGATCAGATATTAGGTAGATGTTGTCACAATTTGAATTGTTTCCTTAAACAGTGGCATATCTGTTTAGTTTTTAGCAATTGCTGCCATAAGCAATGCCCATGTGCGAATGGATGTTATTCATGAGAGTTAGTGAGCAGAAAATTATAACAACAGAAATGAAATGTTTTACAAGAGCCGTTGGAGTGACAAGGAGAGATACAGTTCAAAAGGAAAGACATTAGAAGAAGACAACAAATATAATTAGTCATCCAGTTCATAAAAGAGGCACAGATAAAATGGTTTGGTCATCTGAAAAGTACCAAGAAAGCCATGTTGAAGAAATCTTTTGCACACAAAGCAAGAAAAGTTCATGCATAAGGTGGAGCTTTGGCATCAATAGCAGACAAAGAGAAATGAAGACCAACTTACACAGCATGATAAAAAAGATCACACAGAAAGTCCCAACATTTCTTCCGTAAACATTTTTCTGAGGTAGCTGGGGAAAGAGAATACAGAAATGTGTGACTGGTTGTTCTTTATGTATTAATCATTGTCTTGAGGAACTGCTAGTTGAGTGGTTACAATGCCAGGCTGTCATGCAGACCCATGTTCAATCCCCGGTGAGGTGATAGACATTTTTCTTTCTGAGGCAGAAATAAACATCCTAACTTGCACAGTTCATGGTGACAGCACTAGCCGTGCGGCTCTAAATCATCAGGCTCACAATCCTCCTGTCTACACCGCTCTAAAAAAGATGGTGAATACAAACAGTAGCGACACGACAGTAACAATCACTATCATGTGTGATTTTTCTGTTTTTGTTGTTGAATAATAACATACTAAAGAAGGTGCCTTCAAAGATGGATGGACAGATGGTTTGATGGATGGATGTGGTCAAATGGATGGGGTGATAGATGTATTAATTTATAAATAGATAATGTGTATGTGTGCATCAGCTAGCACTGTATTGATTATATTATCTCAACTGCTTTTCACTTTGCCAAAAATGTTGGTATTCAGCAGGCAAAAACTGATCTTCTACACAGCATGTTGTATGCTCAGTTGACGTCTAGCTGTCTAGTATCTCTCTCTTTATGTCTTCCTTAGCTCTATTAGTCTCAAAAGATCATGCACTTTCAGCCACCTTTTACACAATATAATTTTTAGAGGGACAGTATGTTTATACCACCCTCCCCCCCCTTTTTTTTCCCACACACATGCGCACACACACACACACAAGAGAGAGATAGAGAGACAGACAGACAGACAGACAGACAGACAGACAGACAGACAGACAGACAGACAGACAGACAGACAGACAGACAGACAGACAGACAGACAGACAGACAGACAGACAGACAGACAGACAGACAGACAGACAGACAGACAGACAGACAGACAGACAGAGTTCTGGAGCCCATATAAAGGACAAGATGATTTTGAAATGTAAAACATTTGTTTGGCAATATAATTTCCAGATGATATATTCAGTGGTGCATACGGATCTGGCCTGGAAAACAGACTAGAAAGCGAAGTAGAAGAGCTTCTTGATAGGAAGGAGAGAATCGGAGTAGCAAAATACAAATGGTCAAATGGCCGGTTGCTTCTGCAGCATGCCTACAACCAGCTAGGGTATGCTGTGAGTCGCTGGCAGACCATGGATCAAGTACCCAGCAGGTAGGTATGCACTTTTTCATTCTGCCATGTTTGTATCTGCTATCCCATTTACTTCCCAGAAAATGTCCTGATACCCATTTTAGATTACTACTATCAGTCGTCCCTATGTGGGATGCAATTTTACTTTTTTTTAAGCCCCATTCTGGCTTTTGCCGGGGGCAATGAATATAGCCGGGCCATAAATATGTTATCAGGACAGGGGATGTTATAGACTTATTAAGCTGACCTTCAGTGTAGAGATGGAATTAAGGATGATAGGTATATCTGAACCACTTATTAAGCCAATCAAGTGTAGAGATGGCATTTATGATGATAGGTGTTTCTGAACCACTTATTAAGCCAACTCTCAGTGTAGAGATGGCATTTATGATGATAGGTATATCTGAACCACTTATTAAGCCAAATGTCAGTGTAGAGATGGCATTTGTGATGATAGGTATATCTGAACCATTTATTAAACCCACCCTAAGTGTAGAGATGGCATTTATGATGATAGGTATATCTGAACCACTTATTAAACCCACCTTTAGTGCAGAGATGGCATTTATGATGATAGGTATACCTGAACCACTTATTAAGCCAACCTTTAGTGCAGAGATGGCATTTATGATGATAGGTATATCTGAACCATTTATTAAACCCACCCTAAGTGTAGAGATGGCATTTATGATGATAGGTATATCTGAACCACTTATTAAACCCACCTTTAGTGCAGAGATGGCATTTATGATGATAGGTATACCTGAACCACTTATTAAGCCAACTCTCAGTGTAGAGATGGCATTTATGATGATAGGTATACCTGAACCACTTATTAAACCCACCTTTAGTTCAGAGATGGCATTTATGATGATAGGTATATCAGAACCACTTATTAAAACCACCTTTAGTGCAGAGAAGGCATTTATGATGATAGGTATATCAGAACCACTTATTAAGCCAACCTTCAGTCTAGAGATGGCATTTGTGATGATATGTATATCTGAACCAGAGCAACTCATATGGTGATATAGGCTTTAAGATAATTATTACAGACAAGCTTTATAAATGGCATTTGAAATTATAAGCTACCATTAGTAAATGTGTTTCATGACCTAATATTCCGTCTTAGTTGTTAACATGATGTTTATTATTATTATTTGTTAATAGTAGTAGTAGCAGCAGTAGCAATAGCAGTAGTAGTAGTATTAGCAGCAGCTGTAACAGTGGCTGTAGTAGCAGCAACAGCAGCAGCAGTACAATGAAGCTAATTTAAAAACAAAGGTGGCCGACGTGATGCTGACCAACAAAGTGCCAAACGGTCTATAAAATATAAGTCCAGCCCTATAAGCCCTATAAGCTTGAACATGTGGAAAAGGGTCCTTTTTTTAAATTAATTAAATTAATATTTTTAAAACGAAATATTTACTATCATTATTTGAGGCAGTGAACACATGTTACTGTCAGTTTCCACATTTTGTACTGAATAGAGAGTATGGTATTTGACCCATTAAAAAAAAAAAAAAACATCAGCACTCAGTTTGTGATGTGGTCAGTATCACATCTGACATCTTTATTTCTCAAGAAATTTCCTAGCAATTTGTTTTTTTCAATCTACACTAGTGAAGATTGGAACCCTTTCCTAGCACTGATGGTGTAGCTTAGTTACATAAAAACATATGGAGCGGCTACCTGTTGGGTCTTGGTATTATTTGCCGGTGTGTTGGGAAATGAGCAGGCAGATAAATTGGCTGGCTGTGCACCACTTGGTGGTGAATTGATGTATGACAAGTTAGATATTATGAGGGCCCTTTGGGAGTGTGTGAACAGTGCGGAGATGCAGATACATTATTACGGTCTTAGGAAATTGACGCTGTGAGGAGTTACCAGGTGATCTGGCCGACGCTTAAAACTTAGGGGAAGGATGAGACGGATATAAAATCAGGCGGTGTCTGGTATCATCGGAATTGGAACTCTTCGTTTGCTGCTGAAGATGGGGACTGAGCATTTATAGGAGTGTTCCGAGTGCTGTGATGTCGATTCTTAATTCAGCATTTAACATTTAACATTTCTTAGTACTATTTCCACACACACACGCACACACCACACTCACACACCACACACTAAAAAAATTTTCTTACTGCCTATAGGAAGGTCATAGATTCAAACTGGACTTTTTTTTCCTTCAAAAATAGCCTTGGCCTCCCAGGTTGACACAGCCTTGAGTGGGTACCAGGTAAAGTCATGGGAAGTAGAGGCGGCAGGTATGATACTTACCACATCACCCACTGAATGCCGATTGATTTATAAAAGTGTAGGTCTTGCACTATATACCCAGTAATTCTATTGGCTTGGAAAAGGGTCCTTAATTGGCTATAGTACCACTTTTAACTCTTTGAGTCCCAAGGAACGCATGATACATTCATAGTTACTACCTAGAAGCCCAATGAATGCATAATGCGCCGATTTTTCGTCTCTCTTGACTACCCCTTGGGCTTGTGATGCTAAACCCTCTGGGACTCAAAGAGTTAAGGGTGGTGTAGGACAGTGTTGTCTTCAGCCTGAGGATGTAGGTGCTCATGGCTGCGCTTTCACCATGAACTGTGCCAGTTAGGATGTTTGTTTTTGCTCCGGGCAGAAAAAAACTTGCATCATCTTAACAAGTGATCAAACCAGGGTCTCAGTAAAAAGAGACCAGCACTTTAATCACTCAACCAGCTGCTCCACCTTCTATCATTCAAGATATTTTTTACCATTGTGAATTAGGTAATGGGAAACAAAAACAGCAACAGTATGTTGCACAATTTATTGCCTAATATATTTAAAAATGTCTTATTAGGTGGATATGATCTTAGACTTTCGTGGTGATGTGTATAGAGTAACAAAAGACTATGTTATATTAAGCTATCACAATTGACGTCCTTGCACATTTGGTATCCCCATGCGTGCTCAGCCCCTCCGATGCTGCAGCCAATTCAAAGTGCTTGTACTGATTGTTCCCATGAGGAGTTGGTTATAGTTTTTTCTGTCTTTACCTCAAAGATGGCATGCATAAACATGCTTCATCAGGCTTAACTTCTCGGTTATGCAATCGTGTTAGTGTCAGAGATTTGCCATTATCCCCCAACCTAGTATGTACAGCATTGATAATATCATCTCTATCCGCGCTTCTTCCCGTTTGCATTGGTCAGCTCTTTCATTACCATTTACTCCTTCATGCCTAGGTGTGTAGATCCAAATGATGGAGGTTAAATGTGTCTTCTGAATGCTTTTAACCCATTCAGAGCGTAGACATCATCATGGAATAAATAGACTATGTGATTCATGTATTTTAGATAAAATGGTGTGTTGAGAAATGAACAGACAGATATATTAGCTGGTTCCACAAAATGGGGTGGTGACTTCAATGCATGACAAACTAGATGTGGTCAAGGCTGTCTGGAAGCACATGCTCAACATGGAAGTGTGAGGAAATCATTACAGTCTGGAAAGAATAATGAAGCCAGGGGTGACTATGGAATCTGGCTGACACTCAGAAGAAAAGCAAGATGGACACATAATCAACTGCTACTGTTATCATTGAAACTGGAATTCTTTGCTGGCTGCTGAAGATGAGGACAGAGTGATTATGGTGAGTGATATAGTGTCAGTTCTTGACTCAGCTCAACTCAGCTCAGTCAAAAGGGGTGTTTTATGCCTCATAATATGTTGAGGTAGACTCTGTAGTAACCCATCTGGTGACATATGTCAGGAAATAAATTGTGTATTATATTGTTTGTATCCTCAATATTTTCACTTCTGATACTTTTTTAAAAACCCACAGCAGCATACAAGTGAAATACCAGCTGGCAACTGAGACTAGAAATAACCTGATTGCAGCAAGCCAGAATATTATGAATGCAAAAAGATATTTGAATAATATCAAGGTTGGTTCTATGTGTGTTATCGGAAGTATTAGGAGGATAATGACTTATCTCTGACAACTTGAATGTGAAGTCTAGATATACAGGGTAATCAAGAATGATTGTCTTGATTTTAAACTGATATTATAAAAAAAGCATTTAATGAAAATACATGTATGGTGTCTTACAATTTTCAGAAAAAATGTGCCCAGCAAGCTCTTGCCAGGGGCCGCAATATAGCCTGCCATAAATATGGCCTAAAGGCTGAACGCGGTTTCTGGGACCTCTCCACGGTGATTCTCACCCACATGGTGGCACATTGTGTCATCAGGTGTTTATATCTTGTGTAATGTCCTGGTGGGGGTAGAAAGTCAGTCAGTCAGTCAAAGTCACTACATAAACTAATACAGAACAAGGAGTCATCTGTGTAAACACAATGAAAATTCATTGTGGAGTATGCCAGGAGGGCAGTGAAGATAATCTTGAAATAACAGTATCCCAAATATTTATTAACCCTGCCAGAAGCTAGTGGAGCTTTTACCAGCATCATCATCACAATAGTCTGTGTATCACTTGGTCATCTCCATGGTCCCATAACACCATGTGTCATTGGGTCGTCTCCATAGTTCCATAACACCATGTGTCATTAGGTCATCTCTATAGTTCCATAACACTTTTTATCACTGGGTCATCTCCATAGTTCCATAACACTGTGTGTCATTGGGTCATCTCCATAGTTCCATAACACTGTGTGTCATTGGGTCATCTCCATAGTTCCATAACACTGTGTGTCATTGGGTCATCTCCATAGTTCCGTAACACTGTGTGTCATTGGGTCATCTCCATAGTTCCATAACACTGTTTGTCATTGGGTCATCTCTATGGTCCCATAACACCATGTATCATTGGGTTACCAGTTGCCAATTGACTGTCTGATTCAGCTACCTCCATCTCCATGGGTCATGCCAGATGAAATTAAACCTAAGGCCAAACTTAGAATATCTAATGTCAAACATAAATAAAAAGTATCTACAAAGCAGGAAAAAAAGGAAAACAGTTATTAATGAACTACAAACATTCATCAACTATTGCCTGAGTAGAATAGAAGGCAAAAATTGGAATGACAGATTTGCTGATGCAGAGCTTAAGGAGAGAGCAGAATACATTCCAGTGAGTTGACAGTTTCTGGCACTGGTCAGAATACACATTAAGAAATGCTTAAACAGTATAAAAGATAATGAGACTGACATGCTACCAAGGCGACGTTAAGATAAAGCAAAAGTGGTGAAGGCTGGGATCAAGTGGACAATGCAAGTATCCATTCATTGACTTTTGACTTCCAGGTCAACCCAGGCTTGAGTGGGTACCAGGTGCAGTCCTGGGAAGTAAAAGCAGCCAGTACAACGCTGACCACATCTTCCAAGTGCCAATTGGTCTATGAAATATAGATCTAGTCCTGCATGCCCAGAACGCCACGAAGGCATTGAAAAGGGTTCTTTTACTCCCTGAAACTGTGACATGTCCAGTACACCACAAAGGCATTGAAAAGGGTTCTTTTACTCCCTGAAATTGTGACATGCCCAGTACACCACAAAGGCATTGAAAAGGGTTCTTTTACTCCCTGAAACTGTGACATGCCCAGCAAGCATATGGAAAAAAAAGCTTCCTCAAAGAAGCAATAAGATGAGAGAAATGGACATATCCTCATAGTAAATAACCACTGACCATTAACTGACCTTGCCATGTAGATACAACTGAAGCAGGGCTAGAGGTCACTCCAAAAAGCAATAGATAAATGAAATATCTGAGACTGACAATAGCAGCATCTAAAAAGCACTGACCACGGCTCATACCAGATGCTTGTGAAAAATCTGACACTAAAAGGCAAAACAGGGTCTAGAGAAAAGATGAAGATACTAGACAAACTAAGAATCCTAACGATACAAAACAGAAACAGATCTTTGAGTAAATGAAGGCACTGTAACAAAGTATAGTGAAAGGAGTGGCACAGTAGCAGAATTAGACTAAACGGCAGCGACAGCATCATCAGCAGCAGCAAAAGAAGAAAAATTAGTAGAAGAAGAAATGTAGTAATAGATGAAAAGAATAAAAAGTAGCAGAAGCAAAAGCAGAGGAAGAAGAAGAAGAAGAAAAAGAAGTAAAAGAAGATGAAGAAGAAGAAGAAGAAGAAGAAGAAGAAGAAGAAGAAGAAGAAGAAGAAGAAGAAGAAGAAGAAGAAGAAGAACAAGAACAAGAACAAGAAAAAGGAGAAGTAGTCAGAGGAAAAGGTATTTAAGTTAGATATTATGGCAACAGGAGAAGAAGACGCAGTAGCAGTGCCACGGGAAGTGGAGGAGGTGGAAAAGAAGAATAAAGTGGGGAAGAGATGATATCGGCAGTTGCATCAACAGCAGAAGAAAGAGCTAACAGAGAATGAAACTGTGGAAAAGGGGGGGGGGGGGTCAGCAGCAGATGAAGAACAATTAAGGGTAAGCCATGGGGGGGGGGGGGGGTTAAATCAGCTACAAAGTCACTATGGCCTTTTATCTTTTGTTTTGTTTTGTTTTTAGTCTGTCCTTGGCTGAATTTAAATTTTATATTTGGCAACACCTTCCCCTTTATTTATTGTGTATCCTTTCTATTCATGGTTTCTCTAAATAAATTAAACTTTCACTATATCCTACCTCATTTTATCACTTTGTGTAAATTGATCTTTGTAGCTTGAAGCACTTCATTTTATTTTGTTCTGTAAAATTGTAAACATAATTATGTCAATATCTTTTTTCTTCTTTTGCCGATAAAAGCATACAATAAGCCACAACATTAATTGCTGCTTCTAATTATTGTGTTTTTGTGAAACTGACCAGTTCTGTGTTTTGTTGAATGACTCATTTTAATATGTTGCTTCTGTTGTTTGATTAATGTTGATCTTGTTTCTGTCTTTTAGTTCCCATACTGCGAACCCGAAGAGATAGCTACACTAAACAAAGCCTGCAGCAACATCTATGTAGACATGCTGTCCCCTGACAGACACCAGCATGCCCTACAGTGCTTTTGTGTCACACATCGGAGAGCATCAGCACTACTGCAATGGTTTGACAATGTCAGTGTTTGTCTGTTGATTCGCTGCATTTCTTTTACTTTGTATTTTCATCTTTGTCATTTGTTAGATGTTCCTCCTCCTCCTCCTTCTTCTTCTGATTCTTGTTCTTTTCCCTGTTTTTAAATGTCTGTCTTCAGCATTTAACAGCTGATGTATTAATTGTCCATAAAAAGAGTTTGTTAGCACACAAAAATCCAGCAGAAAGTCTTGGTTGTTCATTCAATTCTGGACTTGACTTTGACTTTGTTCCACGACTTGAATGTTGCATGCACATCCATTTTGCTTCATTGCCCCCACAGGGGCAGATTACTCCGACTTTGAACGAAATCAGAAGAGATCAAGACTATTCATTAGCCAGTGATTTTAAAAGATTATGAGCACCAAGGGGAACAATGAACTGCTGCAAGTTTGTAAAGTTCCTTAAGTGTGTACACAGCAGTTGGAAATAGCCTAAATAGGTGCTAGAAATATCCTGGGATGTAAAGGTAGCCAGTATGATGTTGACTGCCATTGAGTTCTTATTAGACTATAAAAAATGTAAGTCTAACACAGTGTGCCCAGTGTGCAATGGCGTGAGAGGGTTCCTTTCCTTTATATTTATTTTATAATTTTGTATTTATCCAGGGCAACCGCTGTACACAAAAGTTCAGCCATATCACTGTCTCTGATGTATTTATTAAACAAAATGCTCTTAGGTTATTAACCAGACAATTGAAAAAGACCTGGCAAGAGCCAAAGCTGAACTTATACAAAGACAAGCAGAGCTTCGCAAAGAGCGACTGCGTTTGATGAATGAGAAGATTGGAGGAAATGCAAGTAACATGAAGATTTCTGATAAAGGTGACGGGTTTATTATTTGTGTGATAATGGTTAACCTTTTTAAAGCGAGTTTTATTAGCTAATTACTTTTTTTTTTCTTCAGTTTTTTGGTACTCTCTTCTCCTCCTACTTTTCCATTTTATCTTTCTCATTCTTCTATCTCCTCCTCTTCATCCTCCTTCTTCTGTTCATTGTCTCCCAAGAGAGCATAGTTTCTCAACCAGCTTAAGCTAAGGCATCATAATATTTGCTGTTGTATGCAGTGTACTCCACATGCTCCCAGCTTATTGATTTCACTTTCTAATTCTCATCTTCATGTGTGTGTTTTTGGCGGGTGTAGGCGGAAAGAAAAAATAGGGGGGCGGTAGTGTGTGTGCATGCGTGCGTGCGAGCGTGCCTGGGTGGGGGTGGTGGTTGCCTGGTGGGTGGGTGCGTGCATGCATGCTTTAATTCAAAGTAAGGAAACTAATTATATTATTATCAGGTGTGCTCAGTTTGTGTCAGATTCAACACCAGCATTTTTTCTCACCCATTGATTCACCTGCATTTGTTTAGTTATTTTCCAAAATACTACTGGTTCAGAAATTATATAATGTCAGTTCAAACCAACAGACACATTATGAGTTGCTTAGTTAGTATTGAAGGAGTTAAAAGTTAAGTGTGTCCAAAGCACTCGCATCGGCAGCAGAAAAAGCAGCCAAACACACTGTAATCATATCACTCCATAAACATGCTTTAAAAAATTACAACAACCAGTCTCTGCTCTGAATGGGTAGACAACATTCAGAATTGAATTGAGTTAAGTTAAGGATAGACATAACAATCAAGACATTCCCATGAGCACTTTGTCCCAATCTTCAGCATTCAGCACAGAGTTCCAATTCTGTTAGTACCAGAAGCAGTCTGTGTATGCCTGTGTTGTCTTTCTCCTGGGTGTTAAGTGTTGTCCAGATCACCTTATCGCTCCCGCCGCATCTTTCTCTTGGAACTATGATTATATCCTTGTACCTCTGCTTTGTTCACTTGCTCCAGTAGGGCTTTGAGAAAGCATCAAGCTTGTCATGCATCAATTTACCAGCATCTGGAATTTGCACCTAACTGCCTTCACCTGTCTACACATTTGGCCATGTGGAGTAAAATTAATTATGCACGGACAGAGCAGATATCATCATTGCTGTATGAACTCAGCTGGCAGATTAGGATAAATCTCAGATGCTAAACATGATTACATGACCTCAGAGTGAGGCCTTGTAAAGTATATTGGTGCATTCTTTGAGGTTATGATAGGAGATATTCTAGCGTTTCACAAGAACAGCTGAGGTACCTTGAATGACCGTTGCATCAGAAGACTGAGCACATATAAAAATGCCCAATGTGCAGTGACCTTGACTGTGATAAGATAATGTAACATGAGTTAAGGTGAGGTACCTTAGGTGACTGTTGCATCAGAAGACTGAGCACATATGGGAATTCCCAGTGTGCAGTAACCTCGACTGTGATAAGGTAACATAAAATGAATTAAGTTGAGGTACCTTTGGTGACTGATGCATCAGGAAACTGAGCACAAATGGGAATACCCAATATACAATAACCTCGACTGTGATAACATAACATGAGTAATGGGGAATTACATTCTGAAACTGCACCCACACAGCCCCTATGCCAAGGATGCTAACATGTACAGAGTGGTGTTGGAAAATGAACATTATTAAAAGTTATTATTTTTATCAACATTAGTGCTAGGTAAAACTGACATTTTAAGTACTTGGGTACTCTGATAACATCAGATGGAAAATGCATTAAAGAAGTTAAATTTCGAATAGCTCTAGCAAAGGCAACATTTTACAAAATGAAAAATATTTTATGCAATATTTCTTTGTCAGTTGAGTCGAGAAAGAGAATTCTTAAAAGCTATAAAAACCCTATATTGATATAAGGATGTGAATCATGGACAGTTAGTAAATAGTGAAAAACCTATTTGGAAGCTGCGGAGATGTGGTTTTATAGACCCATGATGAGAATAGCCTGGACAGATAAAAAGAGTTGTGAAGATGTCATTAAAGAAACTGACTCACGAAGAGAACTGATTGCCCACATCAGAAAGAGACAATCTACATTCTTTGTCATGTGATAAGAAGAAGAAAACTGGAGTACATCGTGACGGTAGGAAAGTTGGAGGGAAGGAGAGGCAGAGGGAGACTGAGAAAACAGATGCTGGACAGTTTGACATCATGGCATGGCTGATCATCTGTGTCAGAGTTGATTGAAAGTACATGAGACAGAAGGTTGTGGATACATTACTTCCAAAGCCACACAGAATAGACTCTAAGAAGAAGAAGAAAACTTACATATCACAGTTGAGGGTGAATTTTTTTGGTTACACAAATTAGGTTAGATAGGAACGGTGGTAACGTCATTCCTTACCCACACAGGACTGCAGTTTACCCCTGGCTGGGGTAGCCATTAAGGATGCCCTAATTATAACTCCTTTGGAGGTTGAATGAGGTATCTGGGATCTGGGATTTCCATGGTTAAGTGGTCAAACAATTTGCAGGTGAAGGTTGTGGGTTCATTTTGCGGCGCCGCCATTCAGTTCATGAGTACAAATTTTACTGAGATACCCAGGGATCATTGCCAGAGCTATGGGAGCCGTGCTGTGTGGAGAGAGACTGAGCCATATTGGATAAAACCCTGTGCAGTGAAGTCGATCCTCTCACCTTTACCTGCCTTGTTGGTTTGCCGCCAAGACTAAGATTTTGAAATCTCAGGATGGTATGTTAAACCATTAAGTAGCAGCACGGAGAGGTCAAACCAGTTGATCGATCAGTTGGTAGTAGTGTAGTGGCTGGACGTTGACCTGCCAGCCTGAAGGTCTTGGAATCAAATCTACATTAAGATGGATTTTTTTTCTTCAAAATAAATCATGGCTCCCAGATCAGTCCAGCTTTTAAATGGGCACCAGGTGTTGTCCTGGGAAGTAAAGGCAGCCAGCGTGATTTTAATCACATGACCAGCCTAGTGCCAATTGATTTATACAAAAATGAGTCTAGGACCATATGCCAGATGCGATGCTGATGTAACAATTGTCCTTTACTGACTATTTAATTAGATACAAATATGAATTATCTTTTTAAATTTTCCACTTTTCATGCCTCCCAATTGAAGAGCGGTGTGAGTAGTTATTTTTAATTTGAACTTTTGTGTCTGTTGGTGTTGTGATCCCCCCCCCCCCTTTTTTTTAAAAACTCAATGTTTAGTTTATTATTATCATCGAGTGCCTTGTTGAATGGCAAATGCAGTGGTGCTTCTCCATATCTAGTGATCTCAAACAGCGCATACCATTTGATTCTTCTTCTTATACTCAGTGCCCTGTGGCGTTGGTAGTCATGTCTGTCCACAACCTTCTGTCTTGTGTACTTTCAGTTGGTTCTGACACAGATGATCTTTCATGCCGTGATGTCAAACTATCCAACATCTTCTCTCACAGTTTCCCTCTGCCTCTTTCCTCCTCCAACTTTTTTACTGTCACTATGTACTCTGGTTTTCTCCTTCTGACATGACCATAGAATGTAGAATGTCTCATTCTGATGTGGACTGTCAGTTCTCTTAGTAAGTCAGTTTCTTTCAAGACATCTTCATTCCTCGTTTTATCTGTCTAGGGTATTCTCCTAATTCGTTTATAAATCTGCATCTCTGCCACTTACACCATTTTATTCCAAGAAAAAAAAAGGTTGTCAAAATCTTCTCTAATTGTCTTTCTCTGTCTCTCTTTCTGTAAGTATTTCAAGTTGTCACATATTTTAGAAGATAGAAACTGAAATATTTGGTAAAACTAGAAAAAAAAATATTAGACACAAAAATTAAAAATTAAAATTAAAAAAAAAATTTAAAAAACTGGGTAAAGAACTAAACAGGCAAGCAGGGCTTTTTTTTCTGGCGTTACAGAACAGTAGTATGCAGTACCTGTATTTTTTTCAAAGGCATCACTTGTCAGTGCTGGTGTAATAGGAACTGTATGATGAGTACCAGCACCCTTTTAAGACACTTGTGGTGAGTACCAGCATCTTTTTGTCTAGAAAAGAAAGCCCTGCATGCAAGTATAATGGTTTCATTTAAGAGGGATTGACAGCTTTGGAGCTAATTAAGTAAATCCTTCATATTTTGTCTTGTGCTTGGATGAAGTCAATCAATTGCCAGATAAGTGTTTTATGTTTTGTAGTTTGATAATTTCTCTGAAATAGACTAGTCATAACAGATGACTTTATCAGTATAATATATCCTCCCAGTAACCTTAAATTGTTTTGCTTGATCATCCCACACAAATATCAGAGTCACAAATCAGCTAAGTGAACTTGTTCCGCTCCATCTTTGTGGTTTTTTTGTATTCTTCTTATTCTTTTCCCTATGAAGCATGCTAGCTATCATTGAGCTTTTGAATTTAAACTTCCTCATAAGGTGTCAAGAAATATTGACTGTTAAATCATGATTTATTTTGGCACATTGAAGCGGGTAATTTGTTATTGCTTTCCTTCTTGAAAATGTGTGTAGGCCATTCACGCTGATGCCCAATGCTATCCATCATCCATTTATTCCACTTTTCTTTCATGAACAGTTTAAATGGTTTGGTTTGTGTATCGAAACATCAAAAGGCTGTAGGTTTGCAGTCAGTCCTCCTGGTGGGACAGCCAATTCAGTGTTACAGTCTTAGAATGTTTATTTCATAGATTTCAGTGGATATCTTCGAGACTGATCTAATACAATGAGAGCATTCTTTTTTAGCAGAGCACCTTTCCTTCTTTTCCATATTTAATCAATCCACACACTTGTTCTACATTCATCAATCCATTCTTTTTCATGTACATACACAACCACTCCTGCTGGTACTTTGATCTTAGGCATAGTTTTGCTAATCATCAGTGGCAGCGTAATACCATCAGTGGCAGCGTAATACCATCAGTGGCAGCGTAATACCATCAGTGGCAGCGTAATACCATCAGTGGCAGCGTAATACCATCAGTGGCAGCGTAATACCATCAGCGCAGCAAGCAAGATTTTGGAAGAGAAAAACTGCAGTGTGGGCAACTGTAAAAAAAAATAATTACATGCAGACCCACCTTCATTGTATAAAATGCAACCTAATTTCAAGGACTGTTTTCAGAAGAAAAAAAGTGTGTCTTATACACCAACAAATATCATAAGTTATCTGAAGGACCGTGCTTCACTGGGATTTTAAAGGCAACAGATAAAAAAACACAACAAAGAACACAAACAGATACTCATGGTTACACAACAGAAATGTATTGAAAAGACATTCAGTCTTCATAGTCGTCCTGCTGTGACATTCATAAATCATCTAGGGCTTGCAATTTATTTCTCCATTTCATTCTATCCTGTGCCATTGTTTAGATATAGTGGATGAAATCCAGTCCAATACTTTTGGTCATTAACATTCATTTTAGGGTTTCTCTAAAGAGTCCTAATTTCTTCAGTCCAATTGCTTTCCATTTAAGTGCTTGTTCTGGGATTTGTAAGTGTGTGGTCTGCTTTTTTTCAGGATGTGCCCCAATATATCACTGTCTTCTTTGTATTATAACTGCTGATACCAATGCTTGTCCGAATATGTTTCTTATTTCTTTGTGTTTCTTTAATTCATCCCATTTAACATACATTCTTTTCCTCAGGCATTTGTTTTTGAACTGCATTTAACTTTCATCCTAGGTATTTAATGGTTCTCCAACCCTCACTGGCCTATGTTCAAACTGAAGAAACATTAGAATTGAAAACATTTAAATTGTTTTTAAAAAATATATAATTTAGAGTTTAGTATATGTTCAGGCATTTGAAAGCTCCTGTTGCATTACCGATTACTGATTTAAGAATTGACATCATAGCACACCAGGCATGACCGTAGATGCTCCGACTCTTGGAGCAAATGTCTTAAGATGTAAATGCTAACTGTTCCTGTAGCACACTGATTATACACACCACGTTCTCTTCCTCTCATACGTCCCTCCACACTTAATTCTTCATTGACACACATTTTTGCACATGCTATTTCAACTAATCCTGTGCTGCTGCCTTGCCTGTGTGTACCATAATTTCTTTCTTTGTGTTTCCCTAGCAACTGAAATTGCTACCTAAATAGGTGAACTTATCTTTTACTTCTATTCTTTTTGTATCCATTGTCTTCAGTGCATGATCTGGTCCTGTTCACGTTTCTAGGCCCAGGATTAGAGTAACTTCCCTTGCCATTCATGCCTCCTTAGGTCGCTGGACCTCTCCTATGTTGTGAGGGTGTTATGATATGGCTTGGTCTGGCATTCATTTGGTGTATGTAATGTTTGTGGGAGGTTCTGTTGTTGTGAGTCTGTTTCAGGCGCCACAGGCACCTGTGTACAAGTAAGAAGTACTGCAGGGGAAAGAGCCACAAGCGATGATTCTTGGCTATCAAAACTGGGATGTTTTTGTATTTCTGCGTTTGTTTGCGCGGTGGTTGGCAGTTACAAGGAGCATAGCAATAGAGAGATATCACTGTTTCTACACTCCCGAACCATCGCGCAAGTAGCAGAACATGAAAATTATCACGCAAGCGAGCGGTGAGAAAACGAGAAAAGAGGTAATGGTCAAGCGGTCACAGTAAGGAAAACATGACTCGCCCGCAACATAGGAGAGGTCCAGCAACCTAAATGAAGCATTAATGGCAAGGGAAGTTACTCTAATCCTGGGCCTAGAAACGTGAACAGCACCCATAATCTTTATTGATCTTTTCAATATATTTGTCTAGAAAAGAATGTCTTAAGTAAATTTTGTTGTTGTTGCAGATGTACTTGATGAGTTTGATGATGACTCTCTGGAGCCAGAACTATTGGCTATTTCTGAGCCAGACAGGGTCGAAGGAGAGGTGTGTACAGCAACAAGACAGTTAACATAATCTTTTTACAGTATTAAATGTTACAGACAAAACAAAATTGCATGTCACTCGCAAAAAAATATTAGTAAACAATAGAAGAAATTGAAAATATCACAATTTTTAAATAACTGGGCTTATTAAAAAACAGCAGTGGAAGCTGTTTAACAAAAGGTAAAAGGAGAATGGCCATAGCAATACAAAGATTAAATTGATTAAAAACTTATAGATAAGCACCAGCAAGGAAATCAAATTCCATGCAAGGAAATGAGTAAGCTGATTAGCTTACAGGTAAAGCTACTATGGAGAGCGGATGAGTCATGGACCATGCTGATATTCTGAATGCTCTGCGAGATGTAAGACGTTTGCGAGAACCAAGTGATGTCTGTAAAACTGCAGCAATGACCAGACTGCAAGAACAACATGTTAAAATGGGTGTGGCCAGACGAGCACTATGGAGGAAGCCAAAGACAAATAAGAAACCATCACAGAACTGGTGTCCTGAGCCGCTACATGCTGTGAGATTTACTAAGGAGGGGATCTGAGCACATATGGACTTAATGGTTCGATGTGCAATGAGGATAATCTGTTAACTATCTAACTAACTAACTAACTAATTAACTAACTAACTAAATAACTAACTAACTAACTATCTAACTAACTAACTAACTAACTAACTAACTAACTAACTAACTAACTAACTAACTAACTAACTAACTAACTAACTAACTAACTAACTAACTAACTAACTAACTAACTAACTAACTATCTAACTAGCTAACTAACTAACTAACTAACTAACTAACTAACTAACTAACTAACTAACTATCTAACTAACTAACTAACTAACTATCTAACTAACTAACTAACTAACTAACTAACTAACTAACTAACTAACTAACTAACTAACTAACTAACTAACTAACTAACTAACTAACTAACTATCTAACTAACTAACTAACTAACTAACTAACTAACTAACTAACTAACTAACTAACTAACTAACTAACTATCTAACTAACTAGCTAACTAACTGACTGACTGACTGACTAACTAACTAACTGACTGACTGACTGACTAACTAACTAACTGACTGACTGACTGACTGACTGACTAACTAACTAATTGACTGACTGACTGACTGACTGACTAACTAACTAACTAATTACTGACTGACTGACTAACTAACTAACTAACTAATTAACTGACTGACTAACTGACTGACTGACTGACTGACTGACTGACTGACTGACTGACTGACTGACTAACTAACTAACTGACTAACTAACTAACTAACTAACTAAAAACTAACTAACTGACTGACTAAGGGAATCAAAGTCTAAATGTTGAAAGCATGCATCTTTCCTGCAGCAACATACTGATGTGAGTCCTGGACTATCACAATCTTTAAGATTAAAAAAAAAATGACTTTTGGTTGAAAGGCTATAGAAATAATTCTTAAAATACCATTGACCAAGAAGACAAGGAAATTAACATTCTAACAGATTTGAGCATTGAAGAACACTGCCCTGTTAACAGCATCTTGTCTCGAAAATTGAAATACTTTGGCCATATAAAATGTCACAGCGGCTTGGAAATAACGGTGATAGTGCTGAGTGACATGGGCTGACTAGCATAAAAGTGGGTGCAAGACATAAGAATCATCTGGGACAGTATAGTGCACGAGGCATAACAGCTGGTGAGGTAGGCTGTGAGAGAAGCACATTTCTGTAAAGGATTTGCTTTATGATGATGATGATAATGATGTATGTTAACCCTACGAGACCGCTGGCCCGATTTTCTGGGAATTTTCTAACCTGATGCTATACAGCTGGCCCCATTTTTCGGGAATTTGAGTAGTACTAGAAAATTATGCGTCACAGACTAAAAATAACCAGTCAATCGCCATCAGACTTCGCGGTTAGTCACTGCGAATGACTTCCCACGTGTGGTGAGATTTCTTTATTTGGTTTGATGTGAAAAAAATTCAGAAAATTCTCAATGAAATGAGCGGCTTGGACAAGAAAGTGACGTAGGTCTAGGCTTTTCACAGTCCAACAGGTGATCGAGACTTTGGTTAATTCAAACTGTGAATATGTTCATGAAGAATGCGTTCCTAGTTGAAGTGACACAGTCAGTGAGAGCTAGAGTGAGGAGGAGAATTATGAAAATTATAGATTTAAAACTAGATCGATAGTAAGAGAAGTGGGCGTGTCACTCAAACAGCAACATCTGGTGCTCACATTGTGAAACAAGACTGGTGGATTGGCACACAAAGGTAGAAGATTGGCGCTAGATGAAAAGTAAACCTATTTTCTACAATGTCTCCAAGTTTTATCTTATTCTAACCACTTGTTTGCATGTAACTAATATTTTTGTACATCATGTTGGTTTTTTTGTGTTAATGCCCAGGAGCTCAGGTTATAGGGACAGTTAGGTTCAGGGCCTCAGGTCTGGTAGGGTTAAGTATTAAAAGCATTATATGTTGAAATGTGATGGATATCCATTTACTTGTCATGCACTTTTAATCTCTGTAAATTTTAAATATTGCAGGGTATCCATTGTCCAGTATGAAACTATTTTATTTTTAAACATGTTAATGTGTGTTCATTAAATCAATGTGCAGTATAAACATGTAATAGTTTTAGGTGTAGGTTACCGCTGTACATAGTTAGATGCGGAGAAGCACAATCAGCCATGCCAGTTGGCAGGAAACCTGATGATGATAATGGTGTTCATAAAACAAATTAAATTTGTGGAGCAAATCACCAAAAAATTAAGAAACAAAAATATAGTCTTATTTAGTAAAATTCTTAACAGGGCTGGGGACATCTGCACAAGTGATGGATCGATCGAGTATCTGAGATTGTGAATACCAGCATCTATACAGCAGACACCAAAGACCTATACTACAGGCCTCTTCAAAACCTGATGCTGTAATAACAAAACCATAGTTTCATTATTAACACAATTTTTCTTTCAAGAATGTTGGGCTACAGCCTGGATCCAACGGACAGGTGATGGCACCCACGCCACTTCCACTCAGTGAACTGGCTCCACCTCCTTCACAGGAGGATCTCTTTGGTAAGCAAAAGGCCTATAATGAGATGATGTTATTGTAAGGTTTGCAGTGACATAGTAGTTAGCTTGCTTACTTGCCAAACAGTAAACAAGTTAACGAAAAGAAAACTTTTTTTTTGCACTAATTGCTCTTTGGGCATATGATGTTCATCAGCCTGAAGCAGGTCCTTATACTAAACTCTTTTTTTTTAAAGACTAATTGGCACTCCTCGCTCTGAAGTACAACATTACGTTGGCTGCCATTACTTCCCAGAACATAAACTGATACCCATTTAAAGCTTGTTTGACATGAATGCGAAGATCGTTTCCGAAAAAAATTCAAGATGCAAATTTGAACCTAAGATCTTCACGCCAGTACGTTTCCCCACCTCCGTTTGCCAAGATAGTGGTGACGGTATAATCCACAACAGGGAGGGTGGATCTCATTCTTCTCCTCATGCAGAGGAGACCCACCTCATAAATAAATAGCAGTGAAAGACCATTCTCCATGCCATGAGTATATTCAACATAGATGCTCACTCCATTTTTATCAAGGTCCAGTCAGTACTGAATATGTGATATGGCCAAGTGGTAATAGTGATAACAGAAATCGTGTTAGTGGTGGTAGGATTAGCAAGAGTCTTTGTTTTTTTCAGTAGGTTTAGTAGTAGTTGTCATGGTCATCAACACCACCATCATAGTAGTAGTAGCAGTCATAGTGATAGTAGTAGTAGTAGTAGTATCTTTTCAGCAGTGGTTGTGGTAGTAGCAGCAGTAGTAGAAGTAGTAGCAGTAGTGGTAGTAGTAGTATCTTTTCAGCAGTGGTTGTGGTAGTAGCAGCAGTAGTAGAAGTAGTAGCAGTAGTGGTAGTAGTAGTATCTTTTCAGCAGTGGTTGTGGTAGTAGCAGCAGTAGTAGAAGTAGTAGCAGTAGTGGTAGTAGTATTATCTTTTCAGAAGTGGTTGTGGTAGTAGCAGCAGTAGTAGAAGTAGTAGCAGTAGTGGTAGTAGTAGTATCTTTTCAGCAGTGGTTGTGGTAGTAGCAGCAGTAGTAGAAGTAGTAGCAGTAGTGGTAGTAGTAGTATCTTTTCAGCAGTGGTTGTGGTAGTAGCAGCAGTAGTAGAAGTAGTAGCAGTAGTGGTAGTAGTAGTATCTTTTCAGCAGTGGTTGTGGTAGTAGCAGCAGTAGTAGAAGTATTAGCAGTAGTGGTAGTAGTAGTATCTTTTCAGCAGTGGTTGTGGTAGTAGCAGCAGTAGTAGAAGTAGTAGCAGTAGTGGTAGTAGTAGTATCTTTTCAGCAGTGGTTGTGGTAGTAGCAGCAGTAGTAGAAGTAGTAGCAGTAGTGGTAGTAGTAGTATCTTTTCAGCAGTGGTTGTGGTAGTAGCAGCAGTAGTAGAAGTAGTAGCAGTAGTGGTAGTAGTAGTATCTTTTCAGCAGTGGTTGTGGTAGTAGCACCAGTAGTAGAAGTAGTAGCAGTAGTGGTAGTAGTAGTATCTTTTCAGCAGTGGTTGTGGTAGTAGCAGCAGTAGTAGAAGTAGTGGCAGTAGTGGTAGTAGTAGTATCTTTTCAGCAGTGGTTGTGGTAGTAGCAGCAGTAGTAGAAGTAGTGGTAGTAGTGGTAGTAGTAGTATCTTTTCAGCAGTGGTTGTGGTAGTAGCAGCAGTAGTAGAAGTAGTAGCAGTAGTGGTAGTAGTAGTATCTTTTCAGCAGTGGTTGTGGTAGTAGTAGTAGATGAGCTTGTAGAGGTAGTAATAGTAGCAAAGCAGCAGCAGCAGCAGTTTCTGTAGAAATATTAATGTTCATGGTCGTAAAGTAGAAGTCAGGTCAACTCAACCTTAAATGGGTGCCAGATAAAGTCCGAGGAAGTAAAGGCAGCCAGAATGATGCTATTCACATCATCCAAAGACTGCCGAGTAGTCTAAAAAATGAAGTCTAGCCTTTTATGCCCAGTATGCCGAGGGCATGGAAAAGGGTCCCTTACTTTTAATAGTAATAGTAGTCATAGACTGAAATAAGAAACAGAATAGGACAGGCAAAAACTGCATTTTACAAAATGAAAAACATCTTGTGCAATATATCCTTGTCATTGAGAGTTAGAAAAAGAATTCTTGCTTGCTACATACATCCAGTTTTAACATATGGATGTGAATCCTGGACAATCGGTAGGCAGGACAAACAATTTGTAGAGGCCTCAGAGATGTGGTTTTACAGAAGAATGCTTAGAATACCTTGGACAGCCAAAAAGAGCAACCAAGAGGTTTGGAAAGAGGCGGGAGCCCAAAGACAACTTATCACAGACATCAGAAGGAGACAGTCATCATTTTTCGGCCATGTTATGAGAAGAGGGAAAATAGAACATGTTGTGACCACTGGAAAGATCTGTGGAAAAAGGGATAGAGGAAGACAATGAGAAAAGATGCTTGACAGTCTTGTTGCATGGCATGGAGGTGTGTCGGCACACAAACTGATACATGCTGCAGGAGATCGCAGATTGTGGAAAGGCATGATCGCCCATGCCAGTCGGCAAGGCACCTAATGATGATGATGAGTAGTCATAGATAGTAAGTACTCTAATTCATTTTATAATAAAATGATGTCTTTCAATCCCTGAGGAAAAACACATGAATCTTTGGTATTGTATTTATTTCAGGCAACATTGAACAACTGAAGGAACAACATCAGCAAGAGAGAGCACAGATTGAGAGAATCCAAGAAGCAAACAGGGCCAGAATGGAGCAAGGGTTGCAGGAAAAGTTGAGGCAGAGGAGAAATCAAAGAACGAGAATGATGGAAGAATAGATAACATCTGAAAGTTGAAAGATGTATGTTTATACCAAGGTAACATCAAAGAAAGAGAATAATGGAAGACTAGATACGGCTGATAAATGAAAAATGTATATTTAAACAGAGAAATCAAAAGAAAGAATGGTGTGTGTTTAGAATGACAGTGTATGGGTGCATGTTTCAGATGGATGCATTATATTCTTTTTCACTTTCTTGCATAGATTTTTGCCCAATAAGTCTATATAAATATCCATCTCGTATCAAATGCCCAATTCGGATCGGCGTTAAAAAAAAAGAGAGTGTTTGAATATATTTTTTACTCATGCAGAATGTTAAAATCCAGTTACCTAAAAAAAGACATTAGAACCTTTCCTTATTTGACGCTGGATAATTCTATATTTGATACATAGTTGTCCTCTCGGGGGATGCCATTTTTGGTTATTTTGAAGCCCTACCCTGACTTTTGGCGGAGCCTGTGAATATAGCTGAGCCATTAAAATGGCCTAGACATATCTATAGCCTAAACAGTTGAAAGGGGTTTCTGGGATCTCTCCACGGGTGATCCTCATCTGCATGGTGGCACTTTGTGTCACCAGGTGTTTATTGCTTGTGTGGAGTCCTTGTTTGGTACAACTACCACCATTTATATTTGATGTAATTAAATGCATGGGCCAGCTTTTTCAAACTTGTTGATTAAATTTTTATTAACGTTATATTAATATGAAATATAGATAATACACAGTTGCTCTAAGAATCATCTAATGGCAACAGAAATGTGGTTTCTGGGGGGAAAAACAGAAATTGCCATGGATGATTAGAAAAACTTTTGGAGACCCCCCAAGAAAAAGGTGAAGTCAAGAGAATCTATTTCATTGCACTGAGTTTTATCCTATGAGGCTTGGTCTCCACAGAACAGCTAGCTACCTGGTGAGAGTGTCACACAAAGCATGAACTCCGTAGCTCTAATGATGGTTCCCTGTAAAAAATTGCATTCATGAACTGAATGGTGCAGCTGTAAAAGAAACCCACAACCTTCAGAGCACAAGACAAACGGTGTGACCACTTTGCTGAGAGACCCCGGAAAACCATAAATTGATTACAGAAATTAGACAAAGACAGCCAAAATGTTTTGGACATATTACAAGGAGAAATTATCTTGAAAACTTAGAGACAATATGTAAACTTGACTGGGAAAAGAGCAAGGGTAAGAAGCTGAAACACCTAGATGGCTTGACAACATGGTATGGGCGGGTCACAACCTCAGACCTGACCAGTAATGATGCAAGTTGGCAAAACATGGTTGCTTACACTTAGAAGCATAGCACAGGATGATGATATATAATTATGAAAGAAAAATCATATCCAGCACAAAACAGAACAAAAAAAATTTGTTTAGCATTATTTTTATTTTTCCAGCTACGTCAGTAAAGTTGAGAAATAAGGATCTTTTGTGTGCAGTTTCTGAAGCACCATATAAGTTGGTCTTCATTTCTCTTAGGTTGTTTTTGGTGTCCTCATTCCATTATATAGCCTTTCCCTTGCACCTGTTGATTATATTTCTCCAGTGTGGCTCTCTGTGGCACCAACCAAGGTATCTTGTCATGTGGCCAAACCACCTCAGTTATTGCTCCTTAAATAATTGTGTGACTGATTTTAGTCCTAGTTCTATTAATTTCCTACTTTTTAAAATTTTAAATTTCCTTTTTACTCTGGCAACTCTCCTATGATATCCAGACTAGATTTCGACTTGAAGACGCCCTAAGATATACAAAGCCCTTAGGGCCCTCCCATTTTAAATTATACCAGCTAATCTGAAAACAATTTAAAATATAAGCATCTTTTAACTCTTTGAGTCCCAAAGAACGCGCCATACGTTCATAGATTCCTACCTAGAAGCCCAATGAACGCAAGATGCGCTGATTTTACGTCTTTCTTGACTACCCTTGGGCCTGTGATGCTAAACCCCCTGGGACTCAAAGAGTTAATGATAAAGATAATTTAAATATTATGTCATTAAATTTTTTATTAAAAGAAATTAACAAAAATAAAAAATGTGCAAAACCACATATATTATATTATTGAATACTTTAAAAGGTTTTAGGTTACAGCGTAAAACAGTTTTTAAAAAGAAATGGATTTTACAAATGTAAATCATTGATTATGGTGTCAAAAGAAATTTGTGTTAAAAGAAAAAAATTGCTTGAAGCCCATGCAGATTATGAATCCTTAAGCTGTAGCTTATGTCTAAATCCAGCACTTATGAAATCTCATCTCATAATAAATCTTGCTAAACTACGTCCCAATGTGGGATGCAGCTTTTTTGTTTTGTTTGAAAACCCCACCCTGGCTGTTGTTGGTGGCCATAATATAATCCAGCCTATTGGTTGAATGGGGTTTCTAAGACCTGGCTCAGGTGATCCTCATCCAAATGGTGGCACTTTGTGTCACTGGATGTTTATCGCTCAGTGTGTTGTCCTGGTTGGGTTGAATGTCAGTCAGTCACATCTCATAAGTGTTATAATACTGCCAGTGTAGATCTGAAATGTAAATAAAGGACAATTAGTTGCAAATAGACTAATTAAATTTTAGAAACAGACTTATCTCCTCATTGTACAAATAGATGTATTAAATAGTGCAAATAGACAAGATTAAATGGTGCAAATAGACTAAAATTGAATGGACTGCAAATAATTATTTGGTGTAATTCGAAAAGGAAATTTAACAATTATCTTACATGCCAAAAGAGACAATAGCTAATGTTCTGTTCATTGTATTGTTGTCTTTTCTTCTGACAATCAAATCATTAAATTTTTTGGTATCTTATCAGCCCATAAATGTTTCAAGACCATGGACATAACAAGTATTCGTTTTTTTTTTTTTTAATAACTTAAAAATTCTTCTGTATTCTTGGGGGCCTTAAGATTTTCACTGTATGTTTCATATCTACTGTTTTTAATTCATGACTATGAATAAAGTTAGTAAGCTTTTATGAAACAGATATGCTACCTGCATCTCTACCGAGACTCTTTTATTAAAAATGTTGAAAAAGAATTGACATCATAGTACAGGGACACTCCCATAAGTGCTCTGTCCCCCATCTTCAGCTGCAAGTGAAGAGTTCCAATTCTGATAGCACCAGTAACTGTCTGTATATCCGTCTCACCTTTTCCTCGAGCATTTAGTGCCGGTCAGATCCTCTGGTATCTCCTCAGTGCCCCATTCTCCTGAGACTGTAATGATCTGTTTGCGCCTCTGCACTGTTCACTCGCTGCCAAAGGGCCCTTACTACATCTATCTTGCTTACACTTATTCACCACCAAGTGGTCCATAACTGGCCAGTCTATCTGCCTGCTCGTTTCCCACTGTCATTACTTGGAGAAAAATAACCAAAGGATGTTAATTACCCGGGACCTCTGAAGCGATGATTGCCACTCTGCACGGAGCATGCCTGTCTCTACCTTTCTCAACATGCTGTGTGAGTCGGTACAATATGGCATGTTTATACAGCTGACTGACCCTTTCATTAAGGGTATTGTTACAATAGTAAAGTAAAGGGACCTTTTAATGCCAGTTCAGATTCAGAAAGCATGCTGAGGAAGATCAGAACAGGTATGCTTTGTTCAGAGTGACATGCTTCGCTGCAGATCACACGGGTTAGGATTATTGTCTGGATCTTTTCACCAGGTACACTGGTGTGTTGGGAAATGAACAGGCGGACAGACTGGCTGACTCTGCACAACTTGGTGGAATACTGATACATGATAAGGCAGACGTGGTTAAAGCGTGTACAGTTGGAAGGAGCAGATGGATCATCAAAGTCTGGTGAGATTGATGCAGGGGGGAGTGATAAGAGGTTCCGGCAGGTGCTCGAGGCTCAGAGGAAGGGCAAGACGGACGTTTAATCAAAATGCTACTGGCACCATTAGTATCTAAACTCTTTGCTGGCTGCTGAAGATGGGGATGGAGTGCTTATGGGAATGTCCTGAGTGCTGTGATGTCGGTTCTTGAATCAAATCAAATCAATGCCAGTTGTGCGTCAGGTATTTGCTGCTAGGGTCATATTTTTAGTCCAGTTTGCCCTCAGTGGATGACATGGTATGCATCGTCTGGACCAACCTTACTTTTCAGACCCTTATGACCTTTTTAGGCTAGGTCATCCTGTAAGCAAAGTAAATTAAAAAAAAAATTGCCTCTACATGGATTTGAACCCTAGATTTTTATGTTGTCAGGCAAACAACTAGCCTCTAGGCCACTATGGCTACCTATCGTCTATTATTTAAATTCCTCAGCACACAGAAATGACAACAATCTGTTGTTTTTCATTTAAAAACTGCTGACAGTATCTTCTATGGTCTAATGCAATTCATTATATCTGTTGATACTAATTCATATGTGAATGTATGAATGAATCATGAATTGACATTCTTGCACTCAGGACATTCCCAAACCTACTCCATCTCTTTCCTCGGTAGCCATCAAAGAGGTGATATGCTTATAGTGCCAGTTGCAACCTCATTAAAAATAAACATATCTGTCCCCTCAGTTTTGAATATATCTTCCAGACCCTCTGCTCAACCCCACACCCCCACATGAAGATGATCTTTAAATGAACAATGAACCCCACAACATCTAGCATGAGAATGGAGGTGGAGGTGGTAATTGCAGCTCTCTGGTGGCTAGAGATCAAAATGAATACACATGTCATACTTGTAACAGGATGCTTCAAGCAGAGTGGCAAGCTTCACTGCAAAGGTCACGGGTAGTGAGCATACTTTGGATCTTTTCTCCAGGCCATGCTGGCGTGGTCGGTAATGAACAGGCAGACAGATTAGGTGGATCTGCACCACTGGGTGGGGAATTTATACATGACAAGGCAGATGTGGTCAAGGTCTTTTGGGAACAAGCAACGGAATCAGTAGAGAAATAAGATTATTATGGCCTGGGGAGAATGAGGAACCTGGGTGTAACCAGAAGATCTGGCCGACTACATTCAGAGATAAGACAAGATGGACATA